AACTAAGCGTAAAAAAAATTAAATTCCTTTATTTTTTTAATGCGCTAAAAAACCGAAAAAAAATTTTTTCTCTATTTCTTTATTTTGACTTTATTTTCGTATTCTTAGGCACAAAATGAAACTTTTTTCTCCTTGGCATTTTTTTCCAAAACGTACGCAAGTCGAAGTAATTGAGGATTGAAAAAAAAGGTTATTTTTTTACAAAAAACGCCGTAACTCGGTTAAAAAACATCGGATAGAACCCCGCGGGGGCTAATTTTAAAGGGAAAGACATTACCCTCCGAACCCGTCTGGTCGATTTGCTCTCCACCGCCTGGTTCTAAATTGGCATTGATTTAAGTCGAGGTTAAAAAAATTGAAATTTTTTTAATCAGTTTTTTTACTGTTAAAAACACATATTTTCATTTTTAAGTCTCTGCACGTCTTAAATGGAAGCTTTTGCAATTACCTTTAAAATGCCCTGCGGTTTTTTGTGATACGATGATTTCCGACCGAGATACAAAACTTTCAAGTTTGCCTAATTTTGAGGTAAGCATGGCAAAAGTGATTGACGGGCAGTGTATATATATATATATCTACTTTGGACTTTGCTTTGATCGCTCAGTAGGTCCTTCTTCCAGATATGACAAAGTAAGAGAGCAAGAGTGCATCAGCAGAGAGAGCATAATGTGAAAACTCCCACTACACACACACACTCTCTCTCTCTCTCTCTCTCTCTACAATTCCTCATCAGCTATTACTAGCCAAACTTCGAGCTCTCAATTTCTCTGATCGCACGCTAAGCTGGTTTTTTTCATACCTAGCCGACCGCATCCAGGCAGTCGTGGATGAAGGAGTTAACCTCTCGGATTGGCTCACTGTTGCCACTGGGGTTCCCCAAGGCTCGATCCTCGGCCCGTTACTTTTCGCCATCTTCATCAATGATCTGCCGACTGCCCTACGTTTTTGTCAGGATCATCCTTTATGCTGACGACTCGCAACTATACATCCACTGCAGCCCCCAAAACATCATTCAAGGCATCGCAAGGGCCGAAGAGGATGGACTGAATTTTGTGGACTGGGCTCATCGTAACGGTCTTTCGCCAAACCTAGCCAAGACTAAAGCAATCATCGTAGGTTCCCAAGCATACATCACAGCGCTCAAGAAAATCCCCTTCCCTAATATCCAAATCAATGGTACCTCCATCCCGTTCGAGAAGTCTGTCAAGATTCTAGGTCTTACCATCTCCGAAACACTTGAGTGGAAAGAGCACACAACCAACATCACGAAGAAAGTCTACGGTGCACTCCACTCTTTGCGCTTTCAAAAACGCTCTTTTCCTGAGGCTCTCCGTAAATCCTTAGTCGAGACTCTTATTTTCCCGCACTTCGATTACGCCTGCGTTACCTTTATTCATCTCGATAAAGAACGGAATCGTCAGCTTCAAAATGCTCAGAATGCATGTGTTCGGTTTGTCAAAGGCTATATCCCTTTTATTCCTACCCCTAACATCTTCACTCACATAACTCACAATAGACTCAGTTTAAACTGGATATCACTCAGCTCCCGAAGACACCAAGTACTTCTTACCCTTTTCTATTCGGTAAATTGCAGAAAACTTCCCTCGTACCTTACCACCTACCTCAAAGCTTTTAAGGATCTCTCAAATTACGATGGAAGAAATCCCCCCCCAACCCTTTAGCTACCACTCAGCCCGCACTGAAGCTTGGGCTAAGTCTTTTGTCAAGCTAGGTATGTGGCTTTGCAACAAACTCAGCATCACTCAATTCGACATCGATCGCATCCCTGAATTAAAGCAGTGGTTTAGAATGATATGTATAAATGCTGAATGGAGTGAATGGAAGCGTACAGCGTTAATCAAATCATGTACAAACACCGTAATTATTGATGAATGCATAGCGTCTCTCACTATTCCAAACGAGTCAGCCTTTAATAACTCTAACAACTATCTACTTGTTAAGGGCAGAAAACTTGATCTTCCATTTATCGATACTACCTCGGGGATAGAAATTGATGAACCCTGAAACTGCGGTATTAGCAATTAATATAATTAGCGCTATTAACTTTACCCTGATGCTTACTATAATTTGTTTTCGATCAGCTACTTCGTACATTTAACCCTACAACCTAATTATATTTACATTCATTTCTCCACCTTGTTTGTTTACCATTAAGTCTTGCGTTGATACACTGCGATACAAATTGTTACCTAGTTTTATCAACATATCTGCGAACTATTATATTTAATCTTTTCATAATTTTATCATTTGTTTTACCTCATACATGTAATTATATTATTTACTCCATGTTATTCACTATCCGCCAGACGGGGTACTACCCCAAGGTGGCAATAAATGTTCAATCAATCAATCAATCAATCTCTCTCTACACTCCTAGGCGCAAGAGCCTAAGTAATATGCTTCTTCTGATGTTACTACGCATCATCGAACACTCGTCGAACGCTAATTGGATTACACGCACCTTCTCTTTCTCTTTCTCTCTATCCCCCATATTCTTTCATACTTTTGTATAGGAAGGAAAAAGAGCTGAGTGTCTGAATTTTGACCGTAGTACTTGCATAATGGCAAGGCGTTATGAAAAAGAATGAATATGTATAGTGTTTGCTTTTTGCAAAACACTCCCGAAAAGCAACCTAGAACTGATCACTCGCTAGAATTGACACATATCGAAATAACAAGACCATTTAAAATCCAAATATATTCAGGCAATAAAAGATTTCTTATTGCATTCATAGATAACTTTTCAAAATTTCCCAATGCTTATGCGGTTATTAATAAATCATTAGGAGGAGAAGATTTAGAGAACTACCTCATTACTGAAAGATATTTGCTTAAATAGAATTTTAGACTCTGCTACAGTAGAGCGAACAATGCTAAAAAATTTTCAAAAATTATGAAACAGCAAAAGATTCAAGAAAGAGTCCAATTTTTCAAATCTAAATATGTATCGAATCCACAAATAGCACATCAGAAAGTTTCGATAGAACTGTATTAGAAAAGCTTAGATCCGTTATGATAAATTCAGACTTCTAATAATATTAAGATTTACTATAAAAGTAGCGTAGCTATTTTTAATAGAATACCTAATTACTTCATAACTATAATATTTGGATTTGTTTAAATTTCGTTCGCCTACTGTATTTCTATGTGCAATCGACGCTGTACTTGATATTAAGATTTACTATACTGTAATTAATATTAAGATTTACTATACTGTAATTAATATTAAGATTTACTATAAAAGTAGCGTAGCTATTTATAATAGAATACCTAATTACTTCATAACTATAATATTTGGATTTGTTTAAATTTCGTTTTCGCCTACTGTATTTCTATGTGCAATCGACGCTGTACTTGATCGATGTAAGCAATAAAGGGATGCACCTTTTTAAAATTTTATGGAAAGTATTTCATTCTTTTCTGTTTCACAGTAAAATTTTTGATGAGTCTAACAAATCTCTTAATGAAACTAAAGAAAAAATTCTCATTGTCGATACTCCGTGCGTATAGTGCGTCTTTCCCGTACTCTCGGCATAAAACATGCGTTGAAAATCGCACTTTCCACACGTTGTATAAAAAAATACGGTGCGGCACATTCGAGAAAGTTTCTCGTCTCGTGTACCTTTCCACCCTCGCTACACTCGGGCGTAAACGCCACACGAGACAAGAATCTACTTTCCCGCACTTGTAATGTACTTTATTGCCTACATCAATCGAATACAGCGATTGATAATAAATATATTGATATTAAATTAAATATAATTATACCAATATATTTAATATCGCTCCATCACGATATAAAGGATCACATAAATAAAATTATATATTTTCGGTGTATATTGTGTATATATTTTAAAATGTTGTGTATATACATAAAAATAATTAATATAATGTTTTTAATGATTTGTGAAACAATCTGAATCGAGTATTAATTATTTATTCTCTAACTTTGAATATGATTGAATAATTGAACATTTTTTAGATCCTATGTAATAGTACATTATGCACCAAGGGACTTACAGTGGACAATATATGTACTGTGCACCCATGGTTCACATATGATTTTTGATCAAAATTTTCAATAACTCCATAACCTCCGTAAAGTTACATTTATTAGCTCTATATGCAGGCAACGCAGTAGTATATTTTTTGTCTAAGAATAAAGTGCCTCGTGTAGGCGTGATGGGCTATTTTACCCGTTCAAGGCACACTGCGCAGTCGAATAAACATGCAATAGCGAATAAAATTGTGACAGCAATAGCACGACAGAATAATCAAAATGAAAACAGTAATACTACCGATACAAGCCAAATCTACGAGCGAAAGCAGCTGATATGAGTTTAGAGTTCGCTCACATCGATAAAATAGAACACAATTACGATATATATATTCATTGAAGATTCGCGAATACTATAGTCGGCATTGACAAACGATACAATTCGAAATAGAATTTTCCGCTCTACAACTTTTATGCAAAGGTTTTTCGAGTATTCATGGCCGTTGACAAATTATTTGTGAAAAACCGAAATCATTATCAATTTTTATCAATTTGAACAATTTCTAGAAAATTTTTACAGATAACTTTTTTAACATAGCTTACTCAGACTCTCAGGAACGACGTAAAAAACGCTGGAAATTTGTTATTTCGATTTCAGAGCTACGTTGACTGGACTATAAGATCGAATATTATTTTATATATATGTAGCGTATTTTAGAATCTTTAATTTCGCTTATAACTACTTTTGTACCATTTTGAAATAATGCAAATGCAGAATAAAATAACCACAGCGTGATTTCTAACTTATCGACATCCACTAAATAAGAAGTGTGCTCTAGTGATCAAGTCACCGGCAGTGCAAGGCTGCAAGCAAAGAAGGCAGAGGCCAGAGCCGCAGAGCGCAAAGCAAAGACCACAGACAGAGGGCGAGAGATCCACGACTAAACGCTACTGAGACAATGTGGAAGAGAACGAAGGAGGATAAAATTGCGGTCTTCCGGCGCTCCGAAGTTTACACGTACAGACTCGCGCAACTGCATCGTATATAGAGTAGTGGTGGCGGCAGCTACTACTAACAGGCACCACCACAACAAGTGTCGTGCACCGACTAACAGACTCACACATGCATTGTGCTGCAACTGTCGCCGTCTACTACACACGATAGCTATAGCACCAAGCTCTTCTCTCTTTCATCAGCACTCGGCTCAGCATCAGCAATCAGTAGCACCACCGCCGCCGTAGAGGAGAGCAAGAGGAACGGACAATTCCTCAGACGGTGAATGGGTCATGGCAAGTGATGGCGTATGTTAATGTCGCCGAGTGGAAGACCAATCAAGTGTGCGAATGGCTCAAAGGTGCGTCAAATCTCCAATTTATTACGTGCTCTTCAAAACAACAAAAAACTCGGGTGTGCGTGGAAGCAGTGCAGTGCGTGAGAGCAAAAATTGGTCGTCTCTTTGTTAGTTACTCCGTGGGAAAATGTCTTTCGCTTCTTTTCACGACATTCCTCTCTCTCTATCTCTCTCTCTCTCTCTCTCTCTCTCTCTCTCTCTCTCTCTCTCTCTCTCTCTCTCTCTCTCTCTCTCTCTCTCTCTCTCTCTCTCTCTCTCTCTCTCTCTCTCTCTCTCTCTCTCTCTCTCTCTCTCCCTCCCTTCCTCTCGTTTTTTCACTCTCATTTGTAATATCGCATCGTCTTGCTCTTAAATGTATACATGCTCGCACGCGATTCTTCAACGAGAGTGTCGCGTGATAGTGTGCGTTCATTCTCAATTATCGCGCATTCATTAAAACTCACAGGCCACGAGAGCGGGAGAGCGCCATTCATGAAAAATGATCAGCCATTCTCGTACGAACTAGTTCTGTTTGTCAATCAGTGTACATACGTATACATATGTACATGCCGTCGAGAGAAACAGAAAACGATATTTTTAGGCTTGTTTTCTCCCTCAGTCTTAAACGTATATAAACTGGCGACGATGTGTCAACTCCTCTCTCCGCTCGTAGACATTAGCGCCAATACAAAAGCAGGCATCAATAGGATCATCAGAATTCTTGGAATTCTAGCTCAAACTTGTTTATGCCATGACCGCAACTGGCGGCTCGTTTTTGAAGATCTGTAGAGAGCGAGAAAGAGAGAGAGGGAGCGCAAAAAACATCGCTCGATTCTCCTTGCAAACTCGTTACATGTTCTCTAGTCTAGCCTCGAGAAGAAGGGAGAGCAAATAAATTCGCTTACAAGCGCGCGACTAAAAGCGTAGAAAGAGAGAGACACACAAAGTAAGAGCAAAAGAAGGAGAGGGAGAACGGAGGAAAAGGGGGAGAGGGAGAACCGAGGAAAAGGGAAAAACGAGCTCAGACCGATGGACCATGCACGGACACTCAATTTATCCAAGGGCTCACGTACACGTAATCAACATTCTCCTCCATCAGATGCATCTCTTGCATCGCTCCGTTCTTTATTCCGCAGCCTTTATTGAATGCTCCTCCTTCTTTTACTCGACGAGTTTATTGAAACAATTAATGTGATAGAGCAAAACGTTTCTGCATTTTTTCCTCACATTTTTGATACGGCTTTTAAAAACCTACTGCTTTCAATTGTTAGTAAAAAATTAATGATTTCTTGAATATTCACAAAACACTTATTAGATGCAGCAATTACTATTGCTAAATAAATCTGTAATATTTTTTTTAGGATTAGAAAACTCTGTCCTACCCTATGTTCATAGTTTTATGAACCATAATGTCAATGGACAACAGTTATTGAACCTCAGACCAGAAGATTTGGAGCATCTTGGGGTATTTAAATTAGGTCATCAAGAGATCATACTTGAGGCTGTAGAATATTTGAGAAATTTTCACTATGAGTTGGACAGAGAAAATTTGCAACTTCTGGCTATGCGCCTTTCCTGTCAGGCACATAGTCTATTCAACGAGCTATCAAGACAGACAGACTCAAAGCCTGTCACTACACAAACTCTATCCGACGTAGTAGCTATTATAATGGCTGTCAAACCACTAGTGAGATGGTTGGACAGACCTCCGTTTAGTGGTCAATTAGATTATAATGATAAAAAGGCTGAACTACTGAAGTTATCCCTAGAAATGGCTACATGTGCACAACGAGACAGATTTGCAGAAAAACCAATTGAGGAAATCAGAACTACCTGTGGACAAATGGCTAAACTTGCCGATTACATCATACAGGATGTCGCAGATCCAATGATTTTACAACCTTCTTGTTTGGATTTAGCAACTTTAAAAAAAAGACCTGGCGATGATTTAGTAAGAATATTCCATTTCTAAAGATAAATATAATAGAAAAAAGATTTATCTATTGCTTAGTTCTGAAGAATTATAGAAACAATCACTATTTACAACGTTATTTAATACCTTTATATAAAAGTTTTACTCTTAAACTTAGTAAAAAAATGAGTAAAGTATGAAATTTTATGAAAATATAAAACATTTTTGAATAATTTTATAAAAGCTATAATAGATAGAGTATCTTCATTCCTGACTAAGTTAATTGCGATAGGGACACCACTTCCTTTTGCGATAATAATACGATAATAGATGCTGACTGCTTGTATTAAGTTTGTCAGTTGGTTGCTTTGTTTCGAGAGAAATTAATCGAAAAACTTTTCAGGGTTTCTGCATACTTCCGTCTTTTCATGGCGCTCATCAAATCGCGGAAATTAAATTTGGTTCGGCTGCTCACCAATGTGGAAAAATGGAAGAGGGTGATGAAATAGTACAGGTATTATACTATCTAATAATATTATTAAGATTTAAGTATAAAAAGCGTAAGAAAATAGTAATCGAAAACGAGTACGAAAGTTTTTATCACCACAAGATAATTTGAAGTGATTGTTCGTGAGCCTTGAATAGTATTTTGTGATGTAATCTATTCCGTCCGTAAATGACAAATACTATGACTCACATTTTCCAGGTTAATTATCAAACTATAGTCGGCTGGGAACGCAAGAACGTACTGGAATTGTTCCGCGAAAGCCCAGCGGAAATTTTACTAACTTTAAAGCGTCGACCCCGGCACACGAAAGTTTACGGTCAAATTTATATAAAACCTTATAGATTGCCGAGTAATAAGAAAACGCCATACACGTCGAGATGGCATCATAATTTACCATCTCCCAGACCCGAATTGTTGACAATACCGGACTTTACAATGCCACAACCACGGTTAGTTGGATTCGAATTAAAAACGAAATGCAATATTGTTAAAAAAACGGAGAAAAAACTCCATACAAAAAAATAAATGCATGTTTGCAGGCACGCTCCTGAGGTTTCCACACCCGAGTCGGCCTCGATTCTCGATACAGTCTCGATGCTTGACACAATGACAACGGACGATAGCAGTGATTCAGACAGCGAAATCGAGCCCCCATCCTCAGTACGACTGTATTCATCGAAGCCGCGCAACTTAGTTCAGAGACGCGCCACCATCACCGGTGCTTCACCCACGGTCAAGCACAGCATTGACATTGAGCAATTCTGGCGACAACTCAAGAAGGAGCACAGCACGACCTTCCAGCTACGAGACAAGGCCGCTTCATGCGCTCACGGTCTCGACAGCGTCCAGACCACCCCGTCTAGGCCACAAACCTGCCTGGGCATAGAGCAGCGAGCCAAAAAATCATCAACGACCAAGCAGTTTGAAGCTGGTAGGAAGGTGCAGTTCCAAGACGAACGTCACGCACACAATACCAAACTGGATCAAATTACGCTTAATAGTGATAGTTGTGGGAAGCAGCTGCAAAGAGGTGTCGATTCTGGTGAGTCATTTCGACTGATTCGGTTTCTTTATTCGCTATACAGTTATTTGCCTACGAGAGCAAATACTTGCGTGCCGATATACTAGTTTTTTTTTCGATCCCAGTATTCTATTACACCTTTTTTTGCAACGCTGTAATTCAGAACAAAAATTCCTCTCCATTTACCAAGTTATCAAGTGTCGCAAAGTTCATTCACACAATGACATATTACAGGAAACAATAATTCTCAGTCGCAAACGATAAACAAAGCGACCATTAACTCAGAAAGCAATAATAAAAGCAGTGATAGTAGCGTGCCTTCGGAGGAAACGCATAGACAACAAGGCTGGAGCTCGAGTCCAGTGCGAGACAATAATGAGCCACCGACCGTTCCGGCCCGAAGCTCGGTGAACAAAGAACGTGGTAGGCTTGACAAAAGTCATAGTACGCCGGCGTACGACCTCACTGAGTCGGACGACGATTTCCTCGAGAAGAAATTCGAAGCGGCACTCGACGAGCATCACAAGGAGCAACAGAAGTCGAGGGCCGCCGCCGCTATCAATGGTAGCAATAGTAGATTCTATAAGACTGATTCGCACTTCTTCGATTCTACGGAGGATTTGGAGGTAATTGAAAAAACGTTTGTAGAAAAACCTTCAAGCAATGATCGTGAGAGAACGAGACTCGTTGGTAATGTGGCCAAACGAATAAACGATATTGAAAAACACATTCACAACAAAAGGTAGTCTTTATATCCTTCATGTATTATATTTAAGATTTTATTAATGTCGAAAAATCGTCATAAAGTTTTTCATTTACAGCAACGAAAATATATCGAAACATCATCTGGTAGCATCGGCGGTAAAGGCGAACGTTTACATTAAAATTAATGATATCGATATAAACGATAATTTGGACGAGTTGGAGGTAGATTCTGGTAACATAACTACAGATACCGACACCGACGAGGAGAATAATTTTTGTAACAAAGAGATTGAATCTTCGTCAGGAGTATTAGTTTCTAATGAAAGTGCAAATAGTAGTGTTGAGTCAAGTAGTAGAGAAAGTAGCGAAGACAAATCAGAGTCGACATCAAGCTACATTGAAGGAGTTGGTACACCGAGTTGTAGCAGTGACGAAATCACTCAAAGAAATATAAGAAATAATGTCAACAATAATCTTAATGAAGCAGATAAATGTAATGGAAACGAAGATATTGATAGCAACAAAGATGCGTTAACGGAAGAAGACAATAGATCCCAAGAAAAACTAGATAGCAATAATTGCAATGACCAACTGATAAGAGCTTTGTCACCAAACATTCAAATCCATAAGAACGCTTTTGTTGAAAATATTAGCACGAAATATCCGACATCGTCGATTCTCTCACCTTCCGTGCATCCTGAAACTCCGAAAAAGGAAATCATTTTAAAACCAGAAGTGAAACCAAGACTGACACCGCCCGAGCCACCTCCGAGAAAATATTTTACTAAACCAGCTCCACTAAATTTTTCTTTGCCTCCACAATCAATAGATAATAATCCTCAAGATCATTTTCATCATCAGGTATCAAAGTTTTCATCTATGTTTGAATGTAATTAATAAAATCAAAATTTATTTTAAATTATTTCATTGTCTATTTATTGCAGATTCCACATTTACACGAAAAACCCAAGGTCCCTGATAGGCCAAGTGTAAGGAGAGACTTAAAAAAAACTGATGTACCACCGGAAGTTTACCCAAGAGAAGAAAGGACACTTCCGAAAGAACACCGTCGAAAGAGTGATCGTTTTGAAACATATTCTGACTTTGTTGAACGCTCGACAGATTTTATCGACGAGCCAAGTACGCCACAACACTCGATTAAATCTAAAAACTCGCTTGTTGATCAATACGGCTACACTCAGATCCCTGAGCCTAATCCAAGAGAAGATACTTTTACGCCAAGTCAGCCTTTGAATAATGTCGTTATATTCGAACAAGCGCAGCAAAAGCACGAGCGCTCTTTAAGTATAGATTCCGCAGACGGCTCTTGCTATTCGCGCCAAACTCAACTTAGTAACACTACTACCCCCGAGCATAAGCCAAGAACTCTTGAAAGTAAATCACACGAAAAGGGAATGGTTAATAGAGCAATGATGGTTGCCAGGAGCATGGGACTCCATGGAAATATAGCTAAGGCTAGCAGCAGTCCAAGGAGCCCTAGAAAGCAAAATATCAATTTAGCTAGTACGTGTTTTTACTATGTTTTTTTATTAGTAGTATATATCAACATTAACGTTTGATATAAGTGAAGCAAATAATTTAAAGGCAACTAATAATGATTTTAGAACGTCGACATGTTGGAGTTAAAGACGTTGCTCCTGGAGAATTAGAAGGATGGTTAACGTACAGGAGTCGAGGTGCAGGTGGAGCATGGGCTAGAGCGTGGTTTATTCTCAAAGGTGCATCACTTTACAGGTTGGTGTCTTAACAAATAAGATTATTAAGTATTCTCAAAATACCGGTAAATACATTTTACCATTACAGGTTCAAAGTACAAGATAGTACAAAAGCTGATTGTCTTATTGCTTTATCGGGATTCACAGCATCGCCAGCGCCAGAAGTAAAATCGCGTAAATTTGCTTTCAAAGTATACTATACAGGAACTGTATTTTATTTTGCTGCTGACACGGAGGATACTCTGGCTCTGTGGTTGGACGGTATAAACAAAGCTACTCTCGGAGCTGATCGTACAAGTGGTTTGTTTAGTGAAACAGACGAGAGCGACGGAGAAAATAAGAGCAAAACTAAAAGTTCGACGTCAGAATCAAAGCTACTAGCCGAAAAAACATTCGGTTCACTCAAGAAATTTGGTAAAAAAGATCAAGATATGGGTGGCGCTAGTTTAGATAGAAAGTATTTGAAATTTTTAGGTGCTAGGACTCAAAATGTACCTGTTCCTACTGCACAATTTAGAAGTTATAGAAGAGTTTTACCTACATCTACGCCAAATAGGTAATAAATATAATAGAAACGTACTTTATAATAAAAAATAGTTGCATTTGAATTAAAAATGAATTATTGCTTGAAAGGAAATCTGAAAAAATGAGCTCACCTGATCTTCAAGTAACCATTGCTGGAAGTACATTTTATGGTTTGAATACCTCTCACAGTGCTACTGACGTACTTACTTCATCACAAGATATGGGCGATTACCGCCGTACTACAGATAGGTATAAAATGCTTGATAGTAAATTTTTAATATAAGTAAATAAAAATAACACTCACATGTACAAAATTATACGTTTAGATTTCGAGGAAACCGACACCAACGACCTGATGAACTCCAGGGTTTTATAACTTTAGAAGAATTTATGCTTTCTCGTCAAGAGGAAGAATGCCAACGAACTGCCAATAATAATGCTAACAACTCAACGCGCTTCACTCCTCTACATAATGATCATGTACATTTTCAACATCGAAATATTGCTGAGAGTTCAATTAACCATGTCATTCAAAACAATGGCATGATTTACGGTTCTCCACGAAATGGTGACGATGATTTACCACCCGCACCACCACCACCTAATCCAACTCGTGGCGAATTATATGCATCAAATCATTCGTTCGATAGTGAAGCAAGCAGTAGCAGTAGCAGAAATGAAACAGCAAAGCCGAAAACTCATAAAAAACCTTGGGAACCGAGCTGTTTACAAAAAAAAAAAACATCTGATAATGATAACCCCGACGTTCAGCAACCCTATGGGCAAACAACACCAAGTGTAGACTTAACCTACAATGTGGAGATAGGTAATGATCTTCATACTGGTTTCTCAACTCTGGATTACGGAGAAAGATTAAAACCTCAACCGTGGACTAGACATACGGAAAGCAATGCTAATGCAGAATTTCAGCATGCCACTAGAAGAATCCTTAGAAACGAAGGTAATAGTACATTGCGATACAAGTGCGCAAAATAGGCATTCCTGAGTATCGTATGTAGTATCGTATGATGAGTATTGTATTTCTTAACAAATTATGCAAAATGCAGCGGCAGTTGCGAGATTATGTTAAATATGAGTGGTTAGGTAGCTCTATCCTTCGACAAAAATGCAATATTTTGGTACATTAATAATATAAAAATTTGAAATTATAATGATTGTCAACAAAATAATACCCATTTATCAAAAGAACAAAATTAATTTTTTTAAAAAAGTTTTAATGGTTTACATTATAACTGTTAATAATTACATTACACTAATTTAACAGAAATGGAACGTTGTTTGCTATATTTTTTGACTTTAAATTTGCATTAGTTTCTTTAAGAACGAGTTAAAATTCCTACACCATTTTTATGAGGTAAATAAATTCGAATAAATCTTCAAATTTACATTACAAAATTCGTGCAGAAACATTGGCTCGTCTTCAAGAAATCACTATTAATGAAAATCAGGTCTATTATAAAATTCTACAGCTAATTAATTTATACATAGTAAACGGAGAAAATATGTCGTCTTACCTTCAAAAGTTTACATCAACGAAACATGGTACTTGAAAAGTTAATATTTATAAATGTTACAGTATAAATTACAATTAATCAATTTTAGAGCCTTCTAGCTAGCGATTTCATCATAAAAAATAAAGAATTCAGCAATGAATTTGAGCTGTCACCGGTGGTTATTTGTATTGAAAACAAAATATTGCATAAGTCATAACCAAACAAGTGTTACCAATTTTGAAAAATTTATTTAATGTTTATGAAACAGCACTGTTATGAAACTCTACTGATGAAATATTTATCATAAATGAAGACTAAATAAAAAAACAAATATTGATACAAGAAATACATAGGTCGACTCAATATAGATGATAGACAATGCCATGCGTTTTAAAAATAAATTATGCATAAATTTTCTTGTGTAGTCAATGAAAAGTTGTAAAAATTTGTTTGACAATTACAAAACATAATGTAACACGATTACAAAATATAAAATAACCATCAGTAGGATACAGTTGATTTATTATTTAGTCTTCATCTATGATAAATAATTCATTGATAAAACTTTATAAACAAATTTTTTCAAAGTTCAAGTAACACTTGTTTGATTATGAGTTGCGCTAATATTTTATTTTTGACGTAAACACCGGTGACAGCTCAAAATCATTCAGAATCATCAGAATTGATTAGTCATAATCAAAGCAATTTTAATATACATTTATCAATATTAATTTTTTTAAGTACCGGCTATGTTTTGTTTCAATGAACCAGTGGAAGGAAGGCGCGACATATTTTCCCCGTTTACCATATATATTTTAGTTTGCTATAGAATTAATTACAAAAGGGGTTTTTTAATTTAACTTTTTCTAAATAAATCCATTTTGTTCTTTAGGTAGATAAATTTCTCTAGATTGTTATATAGCATCTTAGTATCTTAGGCTCAAATGTTTTCGCACTAGTATCAAAAGATATTATTTATAAATAAGACTTATTTTCATACACTTGTACCCTTGTTTCGCTCAGGCGTAAGCCACACGCGAGACAAGAACAGTACATTACCTAACTAGTACCGGAAAGTAGATTATAGTCTAGTCTGAAATTTATGCCCGACCTAAACAAGGGTCAAAAAGCACTAGTTAGGTAAACTATTAAAATACATTGCTTTATTTTTATTTAGATATTGACAGGAATTTACGTGAACAATAAAATATTCTTTTAGGTCATTCTGGTTCCAGTAGCGATCTCGCTCACCAACCGTCTTCGGAAACATTGCAACGCGCGAAAAAAGAAACAAATATAGCACGCAATGGTAGCTTTAACATTGCTGATCACCGTCGACGAGATCATGTTCATCCAGAACGAAATTGGATTGATTCTTTACGCTCAGCAGATAAAAGAAGCTTCACTGTTGATAAAGGTCGGTTGAAGAATATTGCACAGTGCCAACCAATGTCCTCGAGTTTTGACGTAGATGATACGAAAGCAGCTTATGAAATGCATCTTGATAAAGGAAACGATCAGCAAAAGAAAATAAGCACAAAAGGACTGAAGAACTTTTTTGGAACGAGAAGTCCGCAAAAGTCAGGTTGTTTAGATAACCCCAGAGAGCAACAAAAAACACTATTAGGTAAACTTTGGAAAATGTATTACTAGTCTTTGCCAGTTATTTTTAAATAATAAAAATTTTGTTCATTATTGTTTTTTTTTTTGAATTTTCAATGTTGAAAAATATACCATAATAACTTCTTTTCCATAGGTTCTCCTCGATTACATAGAGCTATCTTCGGAGATAAATCGTTTCATCAACGACAAAACAGTCGTTCTGGGAGTCAAAGTCCAGCAGAGAATAACCAAGCAGCGAGTTCGTACAGCGGAACGAGTCAATTTTCAACTTTCAATCAGAGCTTCAGTTCTATTAATTCTGCTAGTGACTGGAACACAGATGTGCCAACTTCCCACGTTCCAAAAGTGAGCATCATATATAATTTTTGTTGATTTTTATTATCAAAAATAATAATAAACTTTAATAAATATGCAAATTTAAATAGTGTATGGTTGGTGGGATCGCGCAATGCCAAAAAAGGCCACGACATCTACTGGCACCACCAACATTGCCTTACATACCACCGCCGACATCTCCGCCACCCGACTACCCAGGTCTTGAGTATCCTCCAGTCTTTGAGCCGGGAACTTATTCACTCTCTAATGCTTCACTTCTTCGACATAGAGGTTCTAAAAATAGCAGCCAGAACATGGGCGAGTAAATCTTTTTCGCGAGCACTCTTTTGCATACGTACGTGATGGTTCACACGTTCCTATCATTAAAATATTTTTGTCTTTTGCAAATAATGCAAAATAAATTTAAGTAATATGTAGAAAATTATCGGCAAATAAGTTTAACATGTCAACGCTTTACAAAAAAGAGTATAATATTATTTTCAAGATGAAGTTTTACTAACTAAGTATAGCTTGTAATTTATTTTCGTGCCTTACATAATTGGTGAATTTTGTAAAGAATTGCCAATACGCCTTAGATCTTACCATTGCTAAAAATAAGTAGGTCATGGAATGAAAGCTGTAATTTATCATTTTTGTAATTGTTGCACAATTGAGAATAGCCGTCCATAATGTGCCTATACAATAATTAATAACTAGAGAGCACGATGTATATCTTATTTGTAATTGTGTCGGCTAACGATTAAGTTAATGCTTTGTAAATATTAGTTCCTCATGGTTACGTTGTTTATATAAATTTTTATTGTTCTGAAAATGTACTAATACGTGGTACAAGTGCGCTAAGAGAAGATTGCATGTTATATTGCGCAATTTTTATATATTGTAATTTTTAACACGCTTCTCTCACGAATACAAATCCTGTTAGAAAAGCTTAACTGGTTTTAAAGCACTCTTGACTGATAAATGATATCTTCCACTATATATCGATATAAAAATTATGAATTTATAAAGTTGTTACATTTCAAATAGCACAACATTTTATTTGTATTACTATGAAGCTTTTTAGAAAATGGAATACTTCTTACAAATATTGGATAATGCAAGTCAATGGATGTAGTATTATTAATTTTAGAATTAAAGAAGTATTTTTAATACATCGTATGGAAAGTACGATTTTGATTTGCATTCGACGAAAAATGTGCATTTAAATTCGCTCTTTCCATACGTTGTTTTGAAAATTACATACCCAACATGTTCGGAAAAGATACTATTACCTCGTGTGACTTTTCATCTTAGCTTCTCTCAAGCGTAAATCTCACACGAGAGAATGATCTACTTTCTGCTACTAGTTAGGTAATATACTATTTCGTAACGGAAAATTCATATTTAAAACGATAAAAAAATCACGATTGTATTTATAATTAATTCCAATTAGTCTTCCTGAAGCAAGACAAATTGCTGAAACTTTACAATGTGCGTTAGTCAAAGATCGAATATTGTATAAATTAATTAAATTTTAGAAAGAATTTTATTTTTAAGGAAGTTTGGCCAACATACGATCACGCATACTCAAATTACGTATTTTATGTAGAACGTTGGATTTTTAAGATTGGTTAGTAATAAAAGGTTTTCATATTTATAAATATTAAACAATTTTTTTTCCAATAAAGCAATCACTTAAAGCGGAAGACCTCTTTTGCCCGTGTCTGTAACGTAATCTATTTCTCTTTGACTACACTCAATAATATTTTTGTAGCATTCATAGTTGAAGGAACAATCTTTCATAGAGCTGCTATAGTTTGCTCTTAAAGGTACACATATTGATATTTACGTTGGTCGACCTTTGATTAGTGTCTCGCAACCATTGGTCGAGTCAAGTCTGATTTAATCGGCAATAGATTCGTTGATCAATTAAAAAATACTCGATTGAAAAAGCTTGCATTGCAATATAATCTGTTGAATTTCATTTGTGAGCTCTGTCGGCAATAGAATTGTTGATCAATTTAAAGATATTTGATTAAAAAAGCTTGCAAAATAATCGAGTTGAGTCGCGAGAGTTGAAAATAGAAAGGTAAGCAGCAAATCATAAGGGATGGCAAGTTTCCTGTCAGGACCGGCAGCGCAGTTGGTTGGCGCTGGCATGCAAGCCATCGGGGTGGGTATTCCCGTAGGAGAGACCTCGACTAAGGTAATCGACGGTTTGCGTAACGTTGGGGTACCGGTGCCCCCAAAGACCTGGTTCAAGCGCAAGGACGACGACAAAGATCAGCAGCAGATAAGGCATCGTCGAGCAAAGGACGAACGCTCCAACAAGACTGTCTATGACAAGCTCGAGGCTCACGTGAACGGCGTGATACAGGTCGTCAAGCCGGTGATTGAGCTGAAAAACCTAGTGCGCGAAAACTGCTGCAAATCCGCCGAGCGTCCCAGACGAGGTCAGTCGCTGACCACTTCACGCTTCCCTTCCTGCATGATTATAGCATTCAATGAATCTCTCTTTGACTTCAAGCAATTACCTATCATCGTTTCAGCAAGCTCTCAATCTCCCACAGACGACCTAAAATATTACACACCTCAGAAGTGCTCCTCGAAGGCCTGCAATCCGTTTAATGATCAAAAATTAGCCTCTCCCAAGGTAACAAATAACAACACTTCTTGTTTTTTTTTTAAAACACCACTCGATTACCCAATGAGCTGTGTTCGTGGTACAATTTAAACAATTTTACTTCAGCGTAAAGCTGCGAATAAGCGTGAGAAACGCCCTTGCGCCAAACTACAGTACAACAGCTCCGATGAAGAGGAGCAGCACTGCATCTGCTGCTCCAGATCGAGATCGCTGTTCAAGCTGCCTTGCGGCCGCCTTATTTGTTCCAAGTGTGACGAGACAGCAGATCACGAATTAGAATGTAAGCAGTGCAAAGCAGCTGAATCAAATCACACTTACGCTTACTAGAAACTTAACTTTCCGTCAATTCCGTTTTCTATTACGGTACGCAATGGAATGTTTAATTGTCTCTCTTTTAATCGTTTTTTTTTTACTTTCCTTTCTGTAAATATTTATTAAAACTAACACGTGTATTTATTACAATCTGTATAATTTATTATGACATACGACGATAGTATCTTAATATATAAATGTTTTCGTTGCTTCGCTACAAATAATACGCATGTTGTGTTTTTTTTCTACGAAGGTGAACATTATCAAATCTATTAATTTATCTTAACAATTGATTTTGAACTGTTTTTCGGTTAAATATCATTATGAAACTTCTATTTTAATTTTCATAGTTATATGTTACGGATAAATGTGTATAACGTAAAAATAAATTTATTCTAGTCTTTAGTCATTGATACAGACTTGAATCACTTATTGAAATTCACTTAATGTTACTGAAATATTTTATCTCTTGTTAAATTGTATTTGAAAATAAAGTTAATTTCAAAATATCATTTAAAATTTTGAATTGTGAATTCTGTTTTATCGACGAAGTGCTGTCTAGCTCAGGATCGACATCGACATTGTTATAAAAATGAATCATTATTTTAAAGTAAAGCGTTGATCGTGATACCTGATACAGTACAGTGCATTTAAGTGTAAACAGCAAAACATAAATTCAAATAGTTAAGTTTAGCCAATAGATTTTTCAAATAAAACACTTTTTTCATTAGTATTCTTTTCAAACAAAGAAAAGTTCATGGCATCTTTTTCGTAACATGAGAATAGCGCAAACTCTTAGGTTAGTTGACAGGTAAATACATTTCTGTGAGTGTGCTACGTGAAAAATCTGAGTGGATGAAGTAAAAAATTTTTCGTGAAAATCCGCATCTTATTTTATTTAATATAAAAATTTCCAGTAAACATGCCTCGCACCAAAACACGACGAACGCAGAATCCAGTTGCCATTATAGATTTAACTGAGGATTCACCTTCCAACACATCTTTGAGATTATCAAGGATTCGACCAAGAACTGAAGAATTGCATGCCGATAGCAACGGCGACGATAAAATTGTAATTCCATTAGATGATTCCACTGAAGATTCTGATGGCGATGTGGAAGATTTGGGTATTCATAGAAACAGGTATAAGTCTTGAAACTTATAACATCTGTTATTAGCAATTGTCATGACATAAAAATAAAAATGTACAATTTTTAGTAGGACAGCAATTGTAGTTAATCTTGACGATACAGTACTCTTAGATGATAAACCAAGTGAGAAAACTATAGATAAGCAATTAGTGTTAAATGAATCACAAAATAAAAAAGGAAGCTTATCCTGTCCTATATGCTTTGAAAGTCTATCAGATGATAACATGATACCTATGTCTACTCCTTGTGGACATGTGTATTGTTTAGTATGTTTGAAAAAAATTACAGAAGAAAAAAGAAAATGTGCACTTTGCCAGAGATCAATTTCTTTAGGCAAATGCATACGTCTTCATATATAGGGAAATTTAGATTGAAAATTACGTTTTAAACATAAAAATTTAATTGTATCAAGTGTATTTATTATCCTAGAAATTTGACAAAGAATAGAATGTTATATACAATTTTAATTAATATCAATATTGAAAAAATGAATAAATTAAAGATATTTGTACTAAACATTTTAAGAATTATTCTATCTGTTTTTACATTCTTCTTTATATACATACATATTCCAGTATAATTTTGTTAAAGTTGGGCAGATAATAAAGTCTACTAATTTAAATCAGTATTCCTATTGTTATATAAGTTATTAGTAGTCAAAAGTTATCTCAAATAATAAAAATTCAAAAAAAATGTTTTCAGATGTTTTCATTGTTGTAACAATTAAGAGAAAAAAATCCTTTAAATATTTTTATTCATTCAAATGTCATTACTATTCATTTCCGAAGACAAGGTTTTGGTATTCCAAAAGCTTTGTGTAAGATTATTTAAACAGGGAGCAAGCTTGGCAAACATAAAGATAGGTCAATATATTTTCAAACTTAGACTTAATGAATAACAATACAGTTGAAACGTGGAATATATATATATATATATATATATATATATATTTATCATTCTGCTACTTGCAGAGGTACATTATTAACTAATCAGTTCATGACTAATTCATGCTGGATTATGAAATAAATATACCAGGATGCTAGAATAAAACACAAAGGAATAATTATTTTTTAAAGGAAATATACAAGTCAATTTATTCGCAAGTCATGTTCCACGTCGCTCTGCGTGTATTATATTACTATGATAAGTGTAATTTATATTCCGTAAATGCGCATAAGTTCCTTGGCACAATCGACTTTAAATAATTCTCAAGTTTCATCCAACTCCTGATATTGTGAAAGTTCCTTAATGCAGACGTATAGTTTTTGATGCATAAATTAAAGCTATTAACCATTTTAATGAAAAGTCATTATTGCAAGCTTATTCAATTTCATACATTTTTATAACTACTTTTCTATAGTATTGTAAAAGTTATAAGTAAAATATTTACTCGATTATTGTGCTTATTTCAAATTTATGAAAGATTCATGTAGTATTTTTTATTACTTTAAGCAAATGAGTATTGATAACAGCGTTGTTATAAGCAACGGATTAATTCATCTGCTGTATTAACTCGTTGTCAAAATTCAAAGTCCAATGAAAAGTACGAGCTTGCAATCGCAAGTTCAGATAATTCATAGAATCAATTAATGTATTTCATTCAAGTCGCATTATATATATATACACACACACACATACATAATATACGTATTTAAAGAGGATTGCGAACCCAATCCACGGAGCGCGAATCACGTGACAATAAGGGTTCGCCATGCGTGCGGAAAGTGACGGACTATGTGTATATGTATATATATATAAAATACTCTCGAGCGTAGAGTTCACCGTAAAGCCGCACGTAATTATTGCCCGCGTAGCCGCATCTATTGTTGCATTGTAACATATTATATATATATATATATATATATGTTACAATGCAATATATAAATTATATTATTTATTTATTTACGGTTGCCTGCGCGCGCAGCAAATATGTATGTTGCGTGAACAAAAGAGAAGCAGGGAGCTCCGGAGCTATAGGGAGGGCCCAATAGCCTAGCGTGGTGGCAGCACTTGACGGTGCTGCTGTTATCGTTGAGTGTCTCTATCTCTTCCGGCATGGCCGGCAGTCGTCGATGACATCTAATAGAGTGTGGAGTTTTCTTGAGGCTTTTTCCCTTTTATATGAAATAGTGTGCATCCTATGCACTTAATCGCATTCATTAATTGCTTCCGTTTGTCCACTAACGTGGCAACTTCTCTTTCTCGTGCGAATGTGTTGTGTGCATTGAACAAGTGAAGAAAAACTAAAATTGTAAATGTGCAACACGTGTGAGTGCATGTGGCGTGCGGTCATTGTACTCCGCGACGTCACTCGCGAAATTCGCGGTTAACTTCGCTTTTTTCGTCGTTAAAATTTTGTGTAATAGTGAGAATAAAAAGGGTTTTTTATGCTTTTTCCCTTAGTCCTAGTGTTCGTTATTTTCCTTTCTATTTCTCTCTAAATTAAAAACTTAACAATCAACACGATAAACTAACAATGTAACAAATAAAATTCAATAAAAATTAACAAAATAAATTTAACATTAACAAAACCATTTATTCTGCAAAATAAATACAGTTCTTCAAAACAGCTATGTAGAAGTATATAGATGCTGCGAACAAAGCTCACAAAGTCGTCGTTGCGCTGTGTCAAGAGCTGGTCGAGAGAAACAGTAAGCTGCAGTGAGTTGTGGCGCACGACAACAAAGCTTTTAAAACGCGCACGTAACACAGTCGCATCCATTATGCGTTGTCGTCAATCGCGCTCTGTACTACTAAGTGGAGAGAAAAAAACCAGCCAAGCTGCGTCTCTCTCTCTCGCTCTTTCTCTTTTTCTCTTGCGCGAGTACACAAACAAAGGAGCCTCGCTTGATAACGCTGCGCGAGTGTCACAGTCAGACACTTCATTCTCTTGCTCTTTTTGCAGTGTTTCGTATTCGAACAGAATAAATTCGGTGTAACATCGCGACGTAGTCCATATTCCGAACGTAGTGAATTCGGTGTAACGCCGTGACGTAATGCATATTTCAATCCAAGCATTGAGCGACTGATTGCAAGGAATGTGTATGCAACATCGGGAGCTTAGCGAAGAAACTGAAAGTGGAGCTGTTCAGAGTGTAATACTGGCAAGTCGATAGTATGCACGTACAGAGAAGTTCCAAAGCACACGCCAACGACTGAGGCAGATGGCCGTCAGGGGCTGAGAGGGAGAGAAAATCAACCCAGCAACTACATGCCAGCTGTGCGTGAAAAAGCTGTTTTGTGTTGTTTGCATCTCCTTTTGACACGCCAACTTGGTCAACGGAGTGTATTAAAGTGTCCGCGAGTGGCCTTCCTCAAGAGCAACGTCTTCGCCTAATTCTTTATTTAGTGATGGCTGTTCCATGAAATAAGTAGATGTGAAGTCACTATCGTTAATCAAAATTCCTCCCTGTATAGTGTGTGTCTGTCCGTCCAAGTTTCGCTCAAAACAAGTGCATCAGTTTTGTCATGGGCACCAAGCCGTTCGATTGTCTAAAATCTCGAGAGCGATATACTGATTCATGGGGAGCTTTGCCATTCTCGATGCTTTGGGAATTATGAAGGGCCTCATCCTTATATTCTGTGCTTTGGTTCAACTAGAAGGCCAGGGGGTACGAATGCATACGAACTAAGTAAACGGTGTCGCTCATGCTATTCATACTTGATGCGGCGCAATGACTCAGGCAACGTTGACATTTTGAATTTTAATATTAACTCCCACCAACACAAGCCCACATTCGCGCAAGCTACGACAATTCACCAGCCGCCGTCGTGAACATGCTACTTTTGTGTCACTGAGTTGCTTCTCAAAGGATTCAAGTGTAAAAAGTAGTAAAAAGCCTAATCTTATTTCATCGATTACATATATTAAACACACCTTCTATCGCTGAATAACAGATCAACTAGCGATTGTTAATCATGGCACTAAAGAAGAAAGACTGGCAGAACAATTACCAAATTAATTTTAAGCAACATTTTTAATTGACCAGTGCTTTTATGTTTGCCTATGATTCAAAAGTTATGCCTGTTCATCAGATTAATGTCAATCCCCCTGATTGGCAACCATCTCAGTCACAGGCATATGCTAATAGTGCAACTAGTCCAATGAGCAAGGAGCAGCGTCCACCAGAATGGACACCACGGGTAAATTTATTGATATAGCTCAAAATTTATCAGAAGAAAATAATTAGTAACTTTATTTTAGTCCAAAAAATCTATTATTCTTAGCTTAAAAAAAACTTTTATTTCTTTTATCATGCAAAAGTCATCTCCCTATTTGTCTTTTAAGAGAATATACGAGATTGAAAAAATACATAACATGCCTAAAAGAAAAACGATAAATGATCTATATAAACCTCAGCCAAGTCACTCAGAAATAACCCATCATAGAAAATTACTTCTAAAGTATAAATATTAATATATAGTGTAGGTCAATAAAATAACCATTTGGTTGTAAAGTTTACAGCATCGATTGTCTATGATTAGTACAAATAAAACATTTCTTGATACTGATATTAATAATCTTGATTAACTATTACCAATTAATATTATAACTTATATTTATAAGTTATTTTTTTCAATAAATAATAAGCAAAAATATTTATACTTTTTCATGAAATATCAAAGTTTCTAAATATTGGCTGTTTGCCATGAAAAACATATGTTTGAGTTTCAAGATCAAATCTTACAGCAAATTGAATGGGTATTTTATATAATATACCAATCACTACTATATATAGAAAAAAAGTAACTTAAGTTTTTAATCACGGTCAATTTTTCAAGTTCTTATACTAAATAAAATATATTTTTAGGAACCAGCATATGCACCCATTGTAACAGTAATACCAGATCATTGTCACTCATCAGTCAGCACATTGTCATCAAACAATCATGACATTTGTCGGTAAGCATATGAATCAATAGTTAACAAAAGACTTGAAATTTGCATGTATTTTTGAATAAGAGAAAATTTTTTGTGCTATGTAAAAAATTAATGCAATTCATAAAAATAATATGAATAAATTATGTTAAATAACAACTTAAATTTCATGAAGAATATGCCATTGTGAGGGAGAACCCGGTGCACCACTTCTGGCTCCTTGTTACTGTAGCGGTAGTCTGCGATATGTACATCAGACATGTCTTCAACAGTGGATAAAGGCATCTGATACACGTGCTTGTGAATTATGTAAATTTACTTTTATAATGCACGCCAAAACAAAACCGTTTTCCGAGGTAAAGCAGTTACTTTTATTGGTAAACAAATAACAAATAAAAATCTGCTAAAGATGTTTTGAATGTACATATTTAATAAAATAAGCTTATCAAACTATTTTTATTGAATAAAATGATAGAAATGGCTAATAATTCTTTTTTATTTAGTGGGAAAAATTGGAAATGTCGGCTCCTGAAGTCCGCAAATTATGGTGCGCAGTAGCATTTCACGCTGTTGCAGCAATGTGTGTCGCATGGTCTTTGTATGTTTTGGTAGAGAGAACTGTTGAAGAGGCTCGCAGAGGATATGTTGACTGGGGTTTCTGGATGAAACTAATTATTGTTGTGATAGGATCTACAGGAGGATTAGTCTTCATGTACATCCAGTGTAAAACTTACATAATGTTATGTAGACGCTGGAGAGCGTTTAATAGGTCAGTAAGTTTTGCATTGAAGTTAATCAGAGAATTTTATTAAAATACATTTTATCGAAGGTACTCATTCATTAATTTAATTAAATAAAAATAAAAGATGAACTTGTTGCTGATAATTAGTCATCAAAGTGATAATTTATATAAATAAAGTTTAATGTTAATTAATTTGAATAATATGGACCTTGGATAATTCAAATAAACATTAATATTTATATGACAAGTAAACAATTTTAAGTAAAATTTTGAAGAATGATAAATAATGATTGAACAACTTATTTTGTTATTCCAAATTTCTCGATAATTCAAACCCTTTACGTTACAGAAATTCAATTTAAACATTCATTAAAATTAATAGATCAAAATATTTTTTAAGGTAGATTGTTTCATAAAACTGTGTAAATTTAAAAATAAAATTTCAGAGTAATATTCATTCAAAACGCTCCAGAGAAAGTGGTGCTTCCTCCATCGCCGACAGATTCCCTTCGTGAAGTGACGGTGCCTCTGAAGGATCCAACTGCTTCGATGCCCGAGCTAAATCGCAACTTATTACAAAGAAATGTTGAGCCACCATGCGCTTCCCAAACAGTTAAACCGGACTCTGCGTCAATTTCGCAGCGACCAGAAGCTCAACTCAAACTTTATGTCTTTGACAAACTCTCTTCCTCGGAAGATAATTTGTAATATATGTTAGAGAACTAATCACGTTCCTTGAAGAAATCGTGATATTCATATGGACAAGATGTCATTTATATAGTGAACAAAGACAAATAACTAAAACAGTGATAATTTTCGAAATCCATCCCTGAGCGATAAAAATGAACGATATTTTGAATTTGAATTTGATCCAGTGCTTTAATTTTGCGTAACATGGATATACGGTTCTTATTTCCCAATTTGATCAGAGAGTGGAAATTCATAGGTGTATTCTTTTTAAAGACAGATGTTATTTTGTGCCATTTGATACATTAAATTCAATAGTCTTTATAAAAATAGTTTTCAAAGTATAATTAAAAACACATGATTATTACTTTCATTATTTTTTTCCTCAGTGGTCCGAAAGTAGCATTTTTCCGGTCGTTGCTCAATCGGCAACAAGCTAATTTTAGCCTAGCTGGGCAAAAATAATACATTACACGTTTAGGGAGTTAAAGTATTGGCAAGTCTATAGCTCGTGTAAACACGTTTTTACTTCCCGTGGTAGGTATATACTATATTGTTCATATTAGGGAGGCCGGGAATTCGCATTTCCCGGGTGCCTGGTACGGAAAATATATACGGATCACGGTCAAAAAATGGGCTAGCCCATAGCTCGTGTTTCTCATGTGCTATGGATTTACCAATACTATCCCGGCCTAGGCACGTAATCTACTAATTCATCTCGTTACTTTTGCAAATTGTGAAACTTTCCCTTTTATTACCTTGAATTTCCTCTTTTTTGGTGCAAATGTATAATATTATCTGTGATGTTATCAAATAAATTTACTATATTTAACAAACATAAAATTAGGTATTTAAATAATATCAAAGATACAACTTTCTTCCTCATTGTAATATCTGAATAAATGAAAAGATACCGATTGTATAATCAATTTTGGAACATCAAGTGAAAGTTGATTATAAATAGATAAATCGTTAAAATTTTTTATACTAATAATAACAAAATTGGCAAAAACAAAATAAATAAATCACTATTAAAACTGATCATCGATTCGATTACTATTGGCACAACAATTCACGTTATTCTAAAGTTGATATATTTTATATTTTTTGTATGCTTAGAAACATATGTGATTTGTACAATATATCGGATTTAAAGCTAAAGAGTGTAAACATTGCTAAAGGCTAAAGTTTCTAATACTTTTTATTTTCTTAGTAATGTTGTAGACTAATAAATGTAATCTACGCTTAATAAACTTGAGTCTGATATAAAAATACTTGTAAAGCTTGCATTCCTTTATGATGATGTAAAACTTTATTTTAATTACTAATACTAGTTATTCTTAATTTTGTTGTACTTACTTTCCTGTAGTTGTATTTTTGCGTTCTTCAGTGCGCGAATAATATTACAATAAAAAAAGTAAACGAATGAGAACTGTCTGATGGACTTAGTATAACAGAAGGGATAATAAAAAATGATATTAATCTATATCGAGTTTCTTGAAGCTGCCTTCGATACCAAAGAGGTCTGACGCTGATTTGGCTTTACCAGGGCGTAGCGTTTCGTTGACACGCATAGTAGCCTCTTCTTCGAGATAGAAGTCGCGATTTGCTTCCACGTTTTTCAGCACCTTATCATAAATATCCATCATTGGTCCAGCTTTTCCGCCAGCTTCGTTTGGAAGAATCTCCAGTGGTATGTGTTTTTCCAGACTTTTCAACGTGTTATGCAGAAATAGCTGTTGATCACAAAGTGCAATCAATCGTTCATTCGTGCTTTCAAGCAACAACTAATACGTAATTATTGATCGCTCGCTCTGAATCTACATCTTCTTTTTACGTAGACAGTGCATTTTATAACTGCGGACTGAAGGTATGTAGCTACTCATTACTGTTTTTTCGCAAACGTACGCGAAATATCAGAATTAAATAAGAAGCGAGAGAAATTGAAAAGTACGAAAACAAATTGTTGAACTTAATTATATTCGTCAATGAGAAATAAAAAAATTGATCGACTGGAAATAAACGTGGTAATTGTGCCAACATATCAACATACGAGGTATGTGCCAAAATATATCAATATTTTCCACTGATTCGTGAAAAAATTTTGAAAAACAATACATCACTAACCGAATCCATAAGCTCCTTCTTCATGAAAGGTTTCATGAGGCCAAGGATGAAATCCATAACCGAGGTGGTATTCATAAAGTGCAGGGCTTTGAGCCTGATAGGCACGGCCTCCTGAAGGTAGTAGAGATACTTCTTCACGCCAATAGGACTGATCCGAAGAGCGTGGACCATCTGCACTCCGACAATGTCGCAAATGAGCACGTGGCCTTTCATCGTGCCATTCTGCAGGGCCCATAAGTCGGCGATCATGTTGAAGAGGCGCATGCCGTCGTTGTAGACGAAGCGCTCCGGCTCATAGTTGATCAGCCGCGAATATATGACTCCGTAGCCCTCCGGTGTCTTTTGCTCCAGTGGCACCACCAACCTGCAATACTCAATCGCGCAATTCTTCGATGTCCGTCTACATCATCGTGCTATTCAAAAGCCTTACAGGGTACCCATGATCAATCGGAGTTCTTTCGAACCCAGAGGATCCCTGTTGGCGAAGAACTCTGGTACGTGGGTCCTGCAGGTCAAGAAATTTTCAATCGTCGTTTTCGTCGGCTCCAGTCGATAGTAGTTACTATGCAGGAAAACGACCAAGTCCAGCTTGCTAACGTTTTGCGGAAAATGCGGCTGCTTCGAATACCAGTCCATCAGATTATCCAAATCTTCCTGCTTCAGCTCGGGATTCTTTTTGAATTCCTCCTCGAGAGACACTCTCTTTAACGTATTCATTCTTCCTGTTGTCGGTAATCCCTATGATTGTAGATAAATGATTCGTTTATATGCTTCAAGTTGATTTAAAGTCAATAGATAATCAATTCAAAGTCAAGTGGAATGTATTAGCTGTCATTATTACTGGCATTATTTTATTTTCAAAAATAACTTACCGAAAAAGAAACACAAGAGACGAGCTTGATGCTGCAAGAGTTAAATAAATACTACTGTGCGAGGCGCTGCTCATTTCGAATAAAAGCCATTGGGAAAAATGCAACCATCACGCACTCGCGGATGTTCGTGGAAAAATATAGACAAGCGACATCAGCAAAGCGCGCAAGGTATAAATTATCCGTGATCACGATATTCCACCAAAAAACTTGCTTGCCACGGCTGTCTACTGAATTCAACTTTCACGTGGCTTCTCTGAGTTATCAATCAGAACATCAAATCTTTTTTACTGAAAGCTATAGACTTTTTTATTCGAGTTTTTATATCGGTTTTCGTCGAAACGCCAGAGGTGCGTCCAATCATTTCGATAGTCTTATTTTAATAATTATATTAGAAATAATCGACTAAGCAAAACTTATAGCAAGTAATTTTCAATGAATTTTTGGCATAACATTGCAACCTACTTGGCATTTCAAAGGCGACTGAATGATTTGTACGTTCATCCGCAATTAACGAACATTACCAAGCGTAAAAGTATCCCAGCTAAAAACGTACAAAGATTTGTCCAATTTTGACCTTGTACATCTTGAAAATTACGTATTTTGCTGAGCTAAATCACACAAAAACTGAGTGACGTGGTAACAATTAATCATACCTACAATCGAGAGGAACATACGCGTACTTATTTTGATATATGTGAATTCCAAATAAATCGCGGAAATGACAGGGCACATTTTTGTGCATTTAAAATAAATATAATCTTAATAAAAGCATGCTCATTTTCAATAAAACTTTTATAAGTAGTGGAATTTACTTGAACATTGAAATATTTTATTAATCATCTGATGTAAAATTCCAACAGCTCTGCAACATTATAATTAGTAGTGATCTTTGTCATCATTTTCATTTGAAAATCTTTTTTTCAACAAAGGAGCTTAGTAAATGAAAATACAGCTTTCTAAATTTATCCAAAAAATTTGCAGATTAAAATAATTCATAGTATATTAATTTAATTTTTAAAACTTTTATTGTCTAGTAACATTTTAATGATATAATATGATAATAAAAATAGTTATATATACTAGTTATATAACAGTGATACAAATAATAAAAACTACAAACTCAATTGCAATAAATCTTATACAAATTTACTTTATCAATAATGAAAAATCTAATTTACATAATTAGACGTTTCCCGGTTGTACAATCAGTGTTTAACTATATACCGCGCTCTATTCGGAAAAAAAAATCGGTGTGGCGAATTTAATTAGTAGAAATAATAGATCATTAAAAAACTTAGTTTTCCCTAATTATTACAACAATCTTGGAACTTTGCAAAATTGTCTAATACTAGTATAGATTCAATCACTTACAATGTATATATTACAGTGGTGATTGAATCATTTTACATTTTAGTAAATGCAACTTGAACGATTCCTACTCATTGATTTAACAGCTACTATTAAACAACACGTGAAACATAAAAGAATTGAAAATCTACATTTTCACTGCCGAATCCAGGTGTATATCCTAAATTTTGAAAATCAAAGTTTATATCGTTTTATATTGCATTAATTATAATATATAATTAATAAATTATAAAACATATATTTTGTGACTATATTATATCATTTCAAAATAGTATTATTTTGATCTATTAGAACTTTTTAACGTTACAGTATTTTTCCCTTTCTACATAATGCATCAACCATGATAATTATTTCAAGCTGACTCTGGCATGGTTTTAGTTAACACTGAAATTGGTTGAATTAGTTCATTTTCGTGTTACCATCTGTAAACACGAAAATGCAACATTTTATTTAGTTAATTGTTCACGCAATAGCTTTCGCTTCGGGCAAGAAGCTCTCCCAATGCTTAATGAGCTGATTTTGATGCTGCAGCATCAATTCAAGGTATTGAGTTAACTGTTTTTTAAAGTCCTGTATTCTTATTATCTCACAACGCTCTACCTCTTTTCTTATCATTTGAGATATGTTATCGAACTCTTCCTGTCCACGCTCGACCTTAGCTTCCCACTCGATCACTTCCGTAGCTGCTTGACTTGTCTTATCTGTACGACCAGCTTGCTCAAGACGAGCCTTTTGCTCGCGTTTTTTGTTCAATATCATTTGTGCATGTTGCCAATTTTGAAAGACCTTAACTCGTTCGTGAAAAACATCCTACAAAATATAAATATTTGTTTGCTTCTTTTCCATTGAGTAGCAATCAATCGATGTATTAAAACAAACTCACCTTAATAGCCCCAATAAGTGCAACATAATCCCGTAGCATTTCTCCAAACTGGTACAAATCACAATTGGCTTGAGCTTTTCTCACTGATTCAACTTTCTCTAACGTTTCAGCTAATTGAGCCAAAGCTCTACCAAGTGATGCACTAGGCTCACCGTGTCCCAAAACAGCAATAGATCGCGCAGTAGCATCCGTACAATGGGCCAATTCTTTTCTTTGACTTGTTAAAACATCTACCGCAGCATGTAAGCTACGAAGTTGTGAATCAAGTGAATCGATGTGAGTCACCATTTCTTCAAACCACTAAGTAAAGATAAACTTTGATTAGTTTTGTACAAGAAAATCAATGGTTCATAACGCGTCACATATCAATGTGAAGCGTTTTTTTACCGTATCATTTTCATCCATTTTATACGTTATTTTATTAACTGTTTCTCCGACTTTATTGAATAACCGCATAACTCCAGCCCCACTCAAAGCAGAAGTATTTGTAGCTTTCGGTAATTCCATGTCTAAAACATGTTCAAATGACCATACATAATTTTGTCATTAAATAAAAAACACTTACAAATTAAAAAAAACGTTACCTGCTTCTAAAAACTCTCGAAAATCTGGATCTATACAGAAAATAGGATGTGCTGCTACTCTATTCAAAAATCGCTCTAAAGCGGCTCTACGTCTTTCGATAAATTCGGATGAAAGAGAGTTCTGTTCTTGAGTTTTTTCTCCCGACATTTTTACTTTAGTCGTGCCTACAACAATAATTAATAGTACAATTGAATGCCATTGTGAAAAAATACATTAAACTAAAAAACATAATATTATCAAACATACCAATGACATTTTTTTCAGGAGCTGGAGGTATAATTCTTCCACTACGTAAGTATTTATCTGTGAGTTTATCGTGCAAGCCAAGAAAATCACTAAAACGTCTAATTACACTAAAACTTCTTTTTTTATACATCTGAATATTAGTTTTAGTTTCAACTTTGTATGCTACATATGAGCCCATACCATCACCCATTTTTTGTGGAGAAGTGATTGTGATTTCCATAAACATGTCAGATGGTTCTGTTGGTACCTGTTTAGAAGAAAAAAAACCTTAGAAAAAATTTAAATCAATTACTTAAAATAAGATATAATATAATATATATTTACTTCTTCCATTGATTGAGATTTAATTATGTTACTTGGAGGCTCTCCTTCATCATTAATTGGAACATCATGTAGATCTCCAATATCACTACCCGTTGGATCCAAAGGAGGACTAAGTGGACCTGATGGAGCAGCTGGGCTTGACAATGTAGACAATGAATTATCTTGTGTGGCATCTTTCAACGATAACTTTGGCAGATTTGTCTGAATATTGGATTCACCATTAAATGGTGAAATATTTTCATGCGTATTTTGTTCCTATTATAAATATGTAATATAAATTTTTACTTTACTTATATATTGTTATACCATAAAGGTTGAATAAACATAGAATTTTTTAATTACTGCTAATAATAAAATTGATAATATTATTAAAACCTCACAATCACATAATGAAAATTATTAATTGTATCATATTAAAATTATTGTAACTATTTATTTCAGAATGCTTCTCTGTTTATCTAAATAATGATCTGGGGAATCAATAATAAAAAGGGGCGGATACATGACCTAAATTGGAGCAAATTAAATTCTCAGAAAGTGAAGATTTTGAAAAATAAATATATAGTAAATCTATGTATTAATGTAATTTCTAACATATGATCTCTGGGATTTTTAAAATAAAATAAAAGGAAATTAATATACAAAACTGACATTTTTTGAACCTAGACTGCTATAAGTTGAACAATAATATTAAAAAAAGTAAAGTAGAAAAATTGAAACAATGTAGTATACTTTATATTACCTGTATTGCAGAGGTAAAAATATCACTATCATCGTCGTCAAGATCAATTTCATGTTTAGGTTCATCGTTGTCGAAGAGTGGTACAAAGTCTTTATTGTCAGCCATCTTTGCCAATCTGTCAACCTCTATTTTCTACAGTCTGTCGCTATTCGTTATTCGGATGTGCTGACAAAGTATAATATATGTTATGCGGCACACTGTGAAAAATATATATGCATCAACAATTAGTACATTAATATTTATCACGAAAAAAAACTTTCAAATATTTATATTTATGTAACTTGAATGCATTTGCAATTGATTAAAAAATTTAATTTGTAGATTAAAATGGAATAGTAAATTATACCAAACATGAAAAATAATATTTATTTCTTACATTTAGAAACAAAAGATTATATTTAGTTTGAAAGAAAAATTCAATGGTAAAAGATACATTTAACTAAGTGTCTTCGATATTGCTAAGATATGACATTCTCGTTCTAAATGTCTATATAAAAGTCCGAAGATATGTTATTTCGTGTACCTTACTATGTATTACAATTCCTTATTCCACTGTAACTATGAATTTAATTGTGGCTAGAGAAACAGAAGAAGCCATACCCATCTGTTGATACCACAAAAACTAAAAGTTCAACTTACAATGCTGTTATCGATGATTAACATAAGGGAGTGTTCACAACAACGCCACAGAAAATCATCAAAATATTTCTTTTCACTGCATTTACGTCATCACGTGGCGTTGACATTTTGTAGGATCAGATAAAGAAAGTAAAAATAAATAAGAACTATAGTATCTTTCAACTTAAAAAAGTTGTACTAAATTTATTAACAACTGTATCACCTATCTAGCCTACTTCGACAACGTAGTTGCAGTTCACTCGATATACGTCGATACAAGTGACATAATACAAAATACGACGACCAAGCTCAATTCCAGTTTAATAGACAAAATTTTTTTTTTTAGAATTTCTTCACTAAAAGTTTTTGGAAGGTCATCAACATGACTGATGAATCAAATGGCGAATCGGGATTTGAATTTGTAGAAAAAAAATCAGAAGAGATTCTAAGCATTGCTATGACGGAAATATCTAAATCGGGTTAGCAAACTGATAATACCAAATTAGTCGTTCAAATTAGTGGGACATCAATGTTTATTTAATTGATCAAATCCATTAGCTACATACAAATTTTACATGTCTTTATCATTAGGAAAAATATTTTGCTTTTATCAATCATGTTGCTTTTGTTGTTGGGATAATAGGAACAGCTGTCACATCACATGCAACTGGAGGTTTAGTAAATATAGCACCACCAAGTGCACTACCAAGTTTTGTTACCAGCTCAGTGGCTACTACTAACTCTCTAATAAATCAATCACAAGAATTGTTAAAAAATGAAAGTATTAAATCTCCTTTGCAACTATCGGAAGGTATTACAACTACACAACCAACTGCATCTACTTTTACAGATAATATATCACAAGGTCCACAAGTATTAATTGCACCAGATAGTCCTACAATGGATACTGGGGCTTTTGCAGGAAGTTTATTCACATGGGTTAAAGACACAGTTGCAAATAGTAATGTTTTGAGTAAAGTTGCAGAAAAAGCTAAAAGTAGTGTTAATTCCATGATAACAACGTTAGATCCTCAGATGCGAGAATTTATATGTAAGTAACTTATTAATATCTATAGTTCTTCAAAACAAATTTATTATTCTCTTTTCAATTCCAATAATATCTATTAATAACAAAAATATAATGAATTTTTTGTAATATATTTGAATGTAGCTATAATTTATAATAAAAAAGTTTAGTCTATTTAATTTCAACTTAAAAAATATTTTTTAATGTTAATACATGGCAAAAGGTTAATACATAACTGTGCCAAGAATTTAATTTTAGCTTTGTAAACTGACTCATATATGCTGTTCTATTTTTAAAATATGGCCATTATCCAGTTTTAAATCAAAGTTTGGCAATGCCCGAGTGTCAGTGTTAGAATTGTTGGTGTCAAAGGCAAAGAAGCTTAAGAAGTCTAAATACAATGTAAAATTTTTTTTTGATTTCTCAAAACCTGTAGAAAGGTGAAAAATAAATATCAAACATGAAAAGTAAAATTAATTCAAACATTAAACAACCATGTTGTTAAACTTAGTATAGATCATGGAAACATAAGATAACCAATGAAAACAATGTTAGTTAATGCTCAGACCTACATTCGTGCATTTTTAGAATTATATATTTCAGATTCTGGTGGTGATATTGAAATTATAATTGCTTCTGATAAGGATGCCAAGATTGCTCCTGTACGAGAAGCTTTTCAAAATATTTTTGGGAACGCAACAGTAAAGTGAGTATTTCTATTGAAAAATATTCATAAATAATTTATTTATAAATATTTACAAGTTTTAAAAATTAGGTTTCCTTTCTAAGGTGAATTTATTTATTATTGTAGAGTAATATATGTATATATAATTATTTACAGTGGTACAAAAGTTGAAACATCGAGTGAAGCAGCTCAACCTGTTGGTTTTGCTGCAGGAGTAAAAGCTGCACAAGAAAGAATAGCTGCTGTGCGAAAAATTCCTTCTATTCCAACTGACATTCCAATCATAGCAGTAGAAAATTTCTTGTTAGAAGTTGGTCAAGGCAAGTGGTATGATTTGGGAGTAATTATTTTGGAAGATATTAAACAAAACATCAATTTACAAACCTTCACTCAAATGACACCTGTCCCAAGCCAAATAGTTGAAATAGCACAGGAATCAACTCCAAAAAATTATTCCAAAGATGGACTTGCTGTTACTATTGGTAGTTTAATGGGTGCTAATTTACAGGTATCCTTAGAATTATTTATTTTCCCTGCTTTGCATTAGCTACATATAAACTAAAATAAAATTTGTATCCTCTGCTACCTAAAAATCTTTAAAACATTTATTTTCAGGTGCCTCGTACTGAATGGCACAGTGCCTTGACTGGAGTATCAAGAAAAGATATTATATTCTTAGCTGCTCAGTCTCTTGCAGGAATATACAAAAATACCATAAATCCAGTTTAGGAAAATCCTTATTTTTACACATATATAAGTTATACTTTTTTAAAAATATTTATACTTCTACTAAAAATTAACATTTTTATAAATATTCTAACCTAAAGATCTATTGTTATTTTAAAAGTAATTGGAAATATCATCACAATTTATATTTATGTTACGTAAACATTCAAAGTAGAATTTCCAATGAAATAAAAATATGGATAATATTAATGACTAATATGTAAATAAGATTTACGTACGTTAAAATGTAATAAATTAATAAGTTATATAAAAATTTTCATTTACTTATCTGCCTCGACTAACAGTGCAAATATGGTAAAACGAAAACTCTGTATTATGTATTCATTTTTAAAAATTTGTAGGATTTCAATTGTAAAAGTGTTTTATAAATTCAATTAGGACATGTAATTCAATCGTAAAATTGAATGTCAAATTGTAAAAAATAATAAATATGTTAATATATCACTGAAGCAAATTAATTTTCAAGTATTTGAGTAACTTAGCTAATTTTGTTCAATCAATAATATTTTCTTATTACAAATAATAGAATTGTTTATTTTATTCAGTCAAATGGGCGAGCTTAATGGGACAACTTAACAGGACAAACAGTAAAAAGTAAAAAGATAAAATTACAAAATGTTTTTAAGCACAACATATTGAACTTTTTTTCTAAAACAAAAGCCACTGGCAGCTTTTATTGCGATTCTTTTTAATTAAATAAATGTATAAAATAGTATTCCCCGTGCTAAAGTAAGAGTTTTTCCGTTTCTTCATTCCTGCTTTTTAATTACAATTTATAGTAGTTGTCCATATTTCTGTTTTGTATTTATAATTTTTATTTTCCACGATGTTGCGCGGAGGAACAAAGTTCATATAACGGCCGATGGAAGAGACGTATACTGCTCCAGCGATATTAATTGAATTACAATATTTAAATAATTATTTAAATATAATGTATCCATCCGTGAGGGTTACAGTTTGTCGAGGTATGAAGCCAAGTCTGGCAGACCTTCCTTCAGCCCCTTCCTCTTGCGCGTGTCCTGTAAAAAAATTTAAATTAATCAATGATGATAAATCAAAATAACCTACAAACTTAAACCACTTAGTGTATTTATTAAATTGAAAAGTATAATGTATGTTTCTTTATTCAGATAAACCAGAGTTGTCTGGAACACCAAAACTTCAAAAACAAATTTACTTTTCCACGAATTTAAAAACAACAAGGGTATAGCAATCCACAGTTATTAGTTATGATCGTGGAATGACATGAAAGCTTATAATCATCATTTAGTTGATTGATTTAATTACCTGTACAACTTGGTATGGTCGGGTGCCAGCATCCAGTGGGTCACCTGGTAAGATTTGCCAGTGATCGAAGACGCACTGTGGGAAAGCTTGTCCTCCAGTGTTAGAACGCAAATCAGCAGTGAATCCGAACGATTCGTTGACAGGAAGGTATGCCTTTACGACGAACATAGGTGTACCAGCCACTTGTTGTTCCTCAAATACGTGACCACGTCTACGATTGAGCACACCATAGATACCACCCACAGCGACTTCGGGACACTATATATAAAAATGATCGAGACTGATAGAAGCTGATTCTAAATTGAATTAGCATGTGAAAAATAAATTAAAAACAAATCCATCAGATTGTCAAAGATAATTACGGGAACTTGATGTGTATAAACCATTGTATTACGATGTTTAATAATATTTATAGAACAAACTAACATTAATGTCCTTGGAAACATTAGTGTACAAAGTATTTACTACTTACTTGAATTTCGCAGAGATATACAGGCTCCATAAGTCTTGGTGAGGCAGTGAGTAAGCAAGCATAAAGACAACGTCTCGTCGTGGGGATGATTTGTCCACCGCCTCTGTGAATAGCGTCAGCGTGTAACGTAACGTCGTAGATGTTGAAACGAACGCCTCGCAGATTCTCTTCAGAGAGAACACCCTCTTTTGAGGCCCACTGGAATCCGGCAACCACGGAATCCTTGATTTCATTGAGGTATTGAACTCCCTTTGTGCAGTCGACAAGGATGTTGGGTCCAGTTCCATCAGGACCGAAACACCAGATTTTCCTGGCCTCTGTGACATCGTAATCGTACTTCTCGCTCAAATAACGAGCACGCACCTTGAAGTCATCTCGTGGATTTACATCACCCTAAAATATACAAGTTCATTCGGTTAAGCTCATGAAATATAATTATATTTATCATAAACATTACTCTTTAGAAGTAATTATATCAGATTCTGTTCATAGCCTCTATCAAAGTTATTCAGAAGAGGTGTCAGAAATATTTTAGAACGTTCATCATAATGTAAGTTTATAATTTAGAAAATGTTTGAACCATCAACAGAATAGAAATGTATTTTTAGTTGAAAAATCTTTTAGAACAATCGTACACTGTCAATATCTTCAGCAAGACCGTCGGGCATAGGCTGGGCTTTCATGAACAGACGGTTGTGCTTGTTGGGTGACTTGGATAAGCACATCTGGTCAGACTCTTCTGAAACTGTTTCTCTGTACGATACAACTGGGTCCGACTTCTTAATAGGAATACAAGCGTGGTCTTCCTCGAGATCTTTCAAGCAAATCTCAAGATGTAACTCTCCAGCGCCAGCAATAATGTGTTCGCCAGATTCTTCAATGATACATTGAACCATAGGATCTGATTTAGCCAAACGTTTCAAACCTAAAAATTCAATTTGATTATTAATAACCTAGTTTGAAAATGGAATAATTGATTTCATTATTTAAATTATTCAGGTGTCAACGATAATCACGGTAGTTCATAACCCAGTGCTCAAAATGTTTTTCATCATAATAAAAAAAAAAAGAAAATGATTAACGTTATAGTTTTTAACTATACCTTCTACAAGCTTTGGCAGATCAGCTGGGTTCTTGGGCTCAACAGCGACACGTACGACAGGTGATACAGAAAATTTCATAACTTTCATGTTGTGAGCTTCCTTGTAAGTGGTGATTGTTCCAGTCTTGACCAAGAATTGATCGACACCGACAAGACCGCAAATATTGCCTGAAAAAAAAAAAAGATCAAATGTGTTCGTTTTCAAGGAATATTAAAAAAAAAAAGACATAATAAAATCAAATAATTATCGTAAATGTTAATGTCAAATTATTTTTTTCTCAAACAAGTATTTTCTGTACAGATCTATGAATTATCACCATGTAAAGTATAGAAAAAAGTTGCATTTGTAGTACCAAAAGTCGTATGTAACCAATCGAACTTACCAGATGGAACGTCTTCTATGGCTTCAACGTAACGACCCATCATGAGGATAGTACGTTGGATGGCTTTTTCATACAGATCTTCCTTCTTGCCTGGTTGGAAGTTGGGTCCCATGATACGAGCCTTCATACCAGTAGATACCTTTCCAGAGAAGACACGTCCAAAGGCATAGAAACGACCCTTATCAGATGTTGGTACCATTTTGGAAACGTACATCATAAGAGGACCATTGGGATCACAATTCTGAAATAACAAAAATGTTTCTTTAGAATTTGCAGCATAAATTGATTTTGAATTAAATATTTTTAAACTACTGAAAATCAGTTGGCCGTTCTTTATGTCTGTCAAATATTTTCAGAACAGGTCTGTGATAGAACAATCATCATACTTAAATAAATTATTTTAAATTATATTTTTTATAGTAGTAGATTGTAGGATTGTTATTACCTTAATTCCAACGGCAGCTTCGTCATCTTGAGGTCCTTCGTATAACATTTCCATTCTGTACTTCTGAGCTGTTACTGGAGATGGTAAGTGAATGGCAATCATCTGAAGTAAAGCTTCACCAGCTGGCAACCAAGTACGCATGACAACCTAAATAAAATATTAAAGTTAAAAATCCACAAGAACAAAACATTTTTTTAATAAACATGTAAGTTAAAAAAATTATCAAATTAAGTTCTTTATCTTTCTCATAATTGTTCAGAAGAGTTATAAAAACTATTACTTAGAATAAGTATTACATGAATAAAAGAATTTCACTAATAAACTAGAGGAAAAAATTAATTAGTGTTCATAATTACCTTAAGGAGTGCTTTTCCATCCTTATCTTTATCTTCAGGTTTGAGTACAATGCCTAATTTTTTAAGCAAACCTTCACATTCATCTTTCTTGTAGTTCATGATGCAGTCAAAGACCTAAATACGAAAAATTCACGTTTATTAAACTTTTAGTTTTGGAGACAATATTTATTTAATGTTATAAAGCTGTGGCGAAATGTCGTAGCATATCATTATCAAGCATAAGGATAGAGGCTCAATGATAGCGTTTAGACGTAATCACCGCTCACGTGACAGTTAAGTCTCGCAATATTTAATCTCCTTCTATGAGTGCACTGTCTGCACTGTCAAGGTACATGAATCAGTTGACTTCAAAAGAAGACAACGTTTTCTGTACTACAGAGAGACGCTTATGTGCTAGAAGGATTGTAAAAATATAAAAATATTTTTACCTTGTAGATAGGGTCCAAGACGTACATACAAAACGAACGCTTGTTGTCAACTTCCTTCTGCTTGCTCCATTTCTTAGTTTTGGGGTTGAAGAAAGATTCTCCCCAAAGTCTGTTCATCATCTTAACAGTGTCTACACCAAATTTCTCTGCATACATCTCAGAGAATTGTTTCAGGGTAAAAGCCCACCCATGAAGACCAGATCCAAAACCAACTGAACCTTTGCTTGGGTCAACCTGTAAATAAATAAATAGATAAATATTTTGATCTACTTTACTTGTGTAATAATGACTAAAATCAATACACTCAGTTGGCCGTTCTTTATGTCTGTCAAATATTTTCAGAACAGGTCTGTGATAGAACAATCATCATTTAAAAGAATGTATCTAAAGAAATGTTAGAAAATTAAGCTACTTACACGAACTTCACCCATAGGTCCATCATCATCAGAATATGTAGCAATGATAACGTTAACATTTTCAACAATACGCTGGAAAGTCTGATAAAGATCTTCACTGTCCAGTTGAAGTTCCAAAAGAGCACGGTCCATCTTGTTCATAAAAAGAACAGGCTTGATACGTTCAGCAATAGCTTGACGTAACACAGTTTCAGTTTGTACACACACACCTTGAGAAGAGAATATTTATAAAAATAGAGTAAAAATAATTAACAAACTTTAAAGAAAACATCTCACTAATATAGAAAGCCTTACTTACCAGAAACACAGTCAACAACAACAAGAGCTCCATCAGTAACACGGAGAGCAGCTGTGACTTCACTGGAGAAATCAACGTGCCCAGGTGAATCGATAAGATTTATCAAAAAACCTTTCTCCTCCTTATCACGTTGGTCAGGGTTGGTAATGAAAACTAAATCCTTGGGTTCAAGCTCAAAGAACATAGAGATGGCCCTATGAAACGATAATTATATCTGTTATGTATGTCACACTAAGCAACATAGATTAGGTGGACTAGCATTGAAGTAACATACGTGGATTTGATGGTGATACATCTCTCCTGTTCATCTTTGCGGGTGTCAGTGAAACGGGTTTCTCCTGCCTTAGCACCGGCAATAATACCAGCTTTGGACACAAGGGAGTCAGTCAATGTTGATTTTCCATGATCCACATGGGCAATGACGGACATGTTCCTGATGTTCTTCTTTTTGTCCATCATGCCACGAATCTCGTCTACCGTGAAGTTCACCTGAAATCAATGATGCCAAGAAAAAATTAGTAAAATGGGCCATTGAGAAAGGCAAGAATGATCAAGCCGTCAAGCCGTGACAACAAGAAGGAAAGTAGTAACTATAACGAAAGTACCTTCAGGTTGATTCATTTTTACCGGAATAATTGCACTTGACGCATTATTAAACAAACGACAGGACAACAGCTTTTAACCTCAACTGGTGCTGCGTCGCTTTGGCGAGCGTTGTCCACGTGGTTCGCGGGCAGACAAGTTGCTTGCAATTTTCATTTGACATTCTCAAGAGATGTGTGTTAACGCAAGCGATGCAAGATAATTGTGGATAACGGTTTTAACATGTGCACCTTCGATAGAGTATGCATAGGAAGTATTGTAGAATGGCTTAGCGAGATCGTCAGATAGTATCTCGGATTCAGTGAGAACGGTCGAGAAAATGGACGAAAATCGAAGGACAGAAGGTGCAAGAGCCATTGCTCTAGACGAAAAGACAGTCAAGCCGAAAACGAGGTGTGAGCACGGGGGCCACGAGAGATAGAGTTGCGCAATCTCAAGCAATCAGTTAGATTTTCCGAATTTCCAGCGGGTGCCAGAGCTTCGGTAGAGCAAATATTGCGCACTAGAGTAAAAGCAGAGCTCAAGGAAGCGTTGTTCGGAACTATTTGGGGGTGTAACTACGTACCATCTTGGATGTTGTTGGATTACGGCAGGTCTGCTTGAAAATATACGTGCGCCAACAATGGCGGACTCCCTGGGAAAGAACGATGTGAGTCCTGCGTACAGTTACGGGGACGGAGGGAGCTGCTGGTTACTGCTGCTGAACGTCACTCGTGGCGCGCGGAGCAACGAAAGACAGAGAAAAGCCAAGAGAGACGTTGACTCAGCCGATGCTAGCAGTGCGCGCGCATCACATCGCGGTGATCGCGTATAGAGTAGAAACTACTATTCTTAAATAATCTCCATAATACGCCGTACTCGATTGAGAAGGCTTACGAACTTGCGATTCCAAGACGACTGAGGGCGCCAGTCGACGATGTTTTACGTAAGACGTAGTGACACCTCTTGACCTCTCTGAGTTCTCTGACTTGAATTATTTTCAAACTTGCAACTTGCAACATTCAGTAACGTTTATGCTGTATGTAATCGCAAATTACTGAAAATTTTGTAATAACCACGAAATTCTTCGTGTGAAATCGATCTATTTACCTATAAAATAAGCTCGAATAACTATTTTTGTATTATATATTTCACGTTGAATAATGTTATATGCCATGACATGTTATTTGGAAGTTTTATAAAAAAAATTTTGAAAATAATAGCTCTAAGTATTTGGACACTTAATCATTAATTTTAACGAATTTTCGTCGTGTATTCCCACCCTCAAGAATACACAGCGATAAAATAAATTATTCAAGTCCCTTTTCAGAGTAGCGCTTTGACCCTCGCTACCGGTTGCATGTACGACAAAGATCTTTTTCAAAAGAACGTATTCTTAAGATCTTCATCTTTTATACATCGACAATTACTTTTGGAGCAATATTTATAGTTTTGACCGCTATACTTTCTTATTTTTTACTGTAAATTAGTGCTCAAAATAATCACGTCTAAAACAGTGACATCGGATCATTTATAATTCTATAATCAATACTACGACATTATCATTACAACAAGGAAAGTCAATATGTCACTACCAACATAGTAAATATTTGTTTTTTTTTTTCTTTCAAATTTATACGTTGGCAAAAGTCTCAGGATTTTAATTATGGAGAAATTGAAAGAAAACACAGATTATCAAAAGCCAAGCTGTTTGCGTGCAAGCTTACTTTTTTCTGTCGCTCGTTCAAATGCTGTGCCTGCCATTCTCATCACCTGACTCATAAATTCAACCCCATAAAAAGATTCGCACACTTCGGAGTCTCGTGGCACGAAAGCTCACGAGCTTCGCATTCCAGCTAAGCGTCGACATGTACGAATTTGAATAGATAGCGATTTTAGATGAAAAACAGGTTCGGTTTGTTCGTACTATACCAAATATAGCGTGAGCAGTTGACGAAATACCAATTTTATTATGATTATTTGTAGTTTGCGTTGATCCAAGTAAATGGAATAGTGCACCTTCTTCACCCTAGCATGTATTTTAATTACAATTATTACCAAAATGGTCGATGTAGATTGAAGTAAAACTGAGATGTAAGAAGATGGAGACATACACAATAACTCGATTAATGATCCATACTAATGAGTGTGATACAAACAATCCATCAAATTCGTCAATGCACTGTTACAATATATGTACTAGTGTTAATGCCTCGTCAATCGTTTTATAATAAAGTAGGAAAGGTTTTTGATCAGTATTGCATCTTTTCCAAACAGTTTAGTACTACAAGTTTGATCAACACATTCATGGATGAGAACTTTGTTTAAAATGTAGATGCGACGAGCTGCAGCGTTGATAAATGAAAATATTGTATAGGAAACGCTGAGTGTTGCATTCTTCCGAATTGGGTGCATATACAAATAGACGATTGGTAAAGTTCAGCGTGTTTGCGATTAAAGCTTTGGAGTCTAGGCGTGCAATTCGCAGAAAGAATCAATGAGGCGGTATAACGCCCGGCCGAGTTAGCGCGCAAGCGTGTGATCGGAATGATTCTGTGAGCGGCTAATCCAGGTCTGCGGACCTTATATATATATCTCTCCTTGCGCCTGCATGTCAATTGCTCACCTCGACGCGCGCAGTCTGCATGCGACCGCGCGTACGTAAATAATTAAGGTGTTGCCTTGGCTGGCGCGCGGCGTCGACGCGGGTCGACGACCCTCTTTACACTTGCTTTCTCTTTCGAAGCGACTGAACTTTGATTATCGCGCTCGCCTGGAATAAAAATCAAGGGGTGCGCCGCTGTTGCTCACCTCGACATTGATTTATTTTTCTTCCTTGCTCCTCGTCTCAGCTTTTCCGAAGCGCGCTCGAGCTTTATATTTTTCACGCGCGTGATCGCAAAGATTCCATTTCCGCGCGCATTTCCTAAACTGCAGATTAAAAAATAGGCGGATTATTTTACTGTTGTTGGCGATAGAAATTCATAATTTTATCGGCAAATATTACAATGGTACTGCGATCAGGGAGAAAAATGTTTTGTAAATATAAATCCTAATCTGTAATTATTTTTGCCATCGGATACTTGAAAAAGAATTAAGAATCTAAGAGATCCGATGCCCAAACAATATAGATCGCAGTCATGAGTTACTTACCTCGATGCGAGCAAGGACATTTAGTTAGTATGCACGCCGAGTTTGCCTATGATCGATTCTGCTCTATTGTCATAAATATAAGATATAGCCTAGTGTCGTGTGTGGCTCAGATGTTGACTTGTGATTAGAAATGTGAGTCACGAGCGCACCTATGAAAAATATTAATTGGACTTGTCCTTTTTATTGGATTGAATGTTCAGCCGAGCTTCCGTATAACGTGTGTTTTGCGAATGAGAGAAGTGAGAATTTGGTACAAGATGCGAATTTATTAATGTAATTGCAAAGTCATATAAAAACGACAATATTTACAGATATCGGGTTCGGCTGCGTCCATTTGTATCGGTAAAATCGAGTTGACGAGGACCGTTGAAGAAATAAGCTAGAGACGAAGGCTATGGCTATCTAAAGAGGGCGATCTTAATTGATAATTTGCCTGATGCAGCGTGCGAGCGATCCAGCGTATAATGCGACATCAGACGATTTTCCGTGCTGGCTCCGCTCTCACCGCGATGCGACTTGGCTTTTTTCGCGCCGACATCTGCCCGGCTGAGCTCGGATCGTCCGCGGCCTCGTTACTTCTTCGTAGCAAGTTCGATATGTCCATTCTCTGCAGCTCGCTCCTACTCAGAGCCTGCGCTCTGTTGTAGTTACTGTTGTTTATGCCACCCTTGAACAATTAATGCCTTAGTTTTTTTCACTTTCACTCACTTTCTTATTTTCAATACGATGCCCTGTAACACACCTCTTTTTCCTGAATTATGCCCGCCTTGTATTATCGTAACCAAACTGCACATCATTTCGAGAAAAAAATTATCAAATAAAACAGGTTGTTTTCTATTTAAAGAAATATTTCACTCGAAAATCCTTTTTATTATTTTCTCGATTTTGATTTTACAAGATAATGCGATTGTCGAAGTGATTCTCGGTACATACATTTAGAAAAAGTCTCCGTGATACAAGCTGTTTAACAACGACATCAAATAGTACATCACCTAACTAGTTTGGGAAAGTAGATTCTTGCCTCGTGTGAGGTTTATACCCGAACCACGGATATTTTTCAATACAACGTATGGAAAGCGCGAATTTGTGAGCACGTTTTTCGACGAGTGTACGGCAAAGTCGTACTTTACGCACGGCGTATTAAAAATTGTACTATCTCAAGTCTAGAAATAGCCTAGTCTTTTTTTCAATAATTCTTTGACAAAATAAACATTAGAAAATTGTTTGTGTATGAATCGTACATGTCGTAAGTTGTATCAAAATGTTACAAATGTCATACAAAAATACTTCAAGTTACTCTGTACAAGTTTATATACATACATCGGCGTTCAAATTTTCAGCTATTGTTGATTGATCTTATTGTAAGAAAGTGATGAAGATTACACGTTGAAAAAAATTAAGTATCAATTAAAATTAATAACGTAAATTCAGAATGAAAGTACGTGAAAATAATATACGATTTCAATGAAACACATGGTGTCTACGAATATCAGTGCATTTATATGCACTCAAAATAAGTTTGAATGAATAAGCAAACGGCTGTAAAAAACACACACACAAATGAAATATTATAGCTGCGAAATGTCGCAATCTTTTTTAAAGTGTGCGGAAAGAAGTTTGTGTGCTAAATGCGACTGTGGTTTGTTATTTATAGTCACTAGTAAAATACCTTAGTTGGGACTCGGCAATTTCTTTCGTGAATAGCTAATCGATCGGGCAGAAAAGTTCTTTTGCACTTTGAGCACGGAATCAGGAGCGCCTTGAACATTTAAATGATATAGAATTTTTTTTTCTTAATCACTTGATTAAACGACTTAAATCAGACGTTTTTATATGGTGCAGTAGCATATTTCGCTTTACAAATAATCTTCGTAGCTTACTTGCCGTGCAACATCCATATAAACGAGTAACATTCGAAAAAGGAAAAAGATTCGGCCGGCTTTTCGTTCGCGTGTCATGCCCGAAAGCAAACAAGTAAAATAAATGGCAATTAAACGTGGTATATGTACAACATTGGAGCATGCGGAGCGTGTTTTGGACAATAAAAATTGAAAAGCGGTCGAGTGTTTTCAGCGTATCGTCCGAGGACGAAGCGAAGAGTCGTCAGGCTTAATGCGCTGTTACCTGGCTGTATTCCCAAGCTGTAGTGTTCCAATCCTCGTGATCAATGGGAACGTTTGGTCGTTGCGGGACGTTGCGACGCTGCGAGCTCGGTAACGCTTTATTTTCCCGATGCCATTTCTGCGCTCGTACGCAGTAAAATGAAACGGAATCAGTCACGATTAAGGCATGAAATCAAGAACAGAACGAATTTCCGTCGAGAAAGGAATCGTTCGTTTGAATAAAGACAAGTATCATGCAGAATGTTGAGATGGGCATATCGAAATCGATAGTCTCATTGAATATGCAACGAGACGACTGTGCTCGACGCATAACTCGTATAGCCAGTGTAAGTACGGCAGAAATAAAGTAGCGGGCGTGCGACCGATGGGGATAGAATTAGATGGAGTAAGAAGTACCTGCAAGCACTTGGGCTCGTGAATGGGAAAGCTGGCGGTGCCGAACTCTCGTCCGCAGATGTAACAAGTGACAGTCCGAGGTCGTCGTTTACCCGTCGACGTGGCTGATTTGTCCTCGTTCGGCTTATTCGGATTCGCGACCGAGTTCACTTTCCTCTCTTGTCTCGCCAAACCTGCCTCTTGCTCGCTCGATGTTTTCTCATCTCCGGACGTCGACGTCGCTGTAGGGACATAATGCCAAGGCTGATTTTATTCTGTTTGCTCGTGCGTGCGCGCAGTCGTGCGGCTGGAAGTGCCAGCGAAACATCGCTCGACGTGACGTGCGAAAGCGAAGGCCAATAGCCAATAACCAGTCGACAGCGAAACGGAAGAGGCGCAGCGGACGAGTCAGTGGAAACAAGCCGATACGGTCAGACGCACGCGACGCGCGCGACACGAACGAACAAACGACGTCGGCAGTCGGGACGAGCCTGGCGAAACCACTCTCCGCTGATAATCTCCAGCGCCGCGCAATGTATTGAAATGCACTCGCATTAGCAATGGAACTCGAGCTGCATATCGCGGACGAATGCAAGGCGCTGCGGCGACGTTCGGATATGGAGCGAGATCGGCGACTCACCGCTGGGCTGCTGATCGGACGAAGGCGAGGCTGGCTGCCGATCGAGAACGGTAGCGGCCAGCTGTCGCTCGAGTACTTCCACCCGGCTGGGCGCTCTGATGCTCGAGCCGGGGGATCGGCCGCCCGGCGAGTCGGGCGGACTCTTCGGGTGACTGTGAAAGCGCTCGGGCTGAGCGGCCCGACCGCACGCCCGGCACGGTTCCGTCGGCAGCGCCGACCTCCTGGCCCTCGACGTGGACGCGTGGCCGGCGGTGAACAACGCCACGTCGCTCGAGCTGACCGTGTTGCGCGAGCTTCGACATCGCACTGGCGATAACTGCGTCAGGGGGCTGCCGCTGCTCCTCTGCCTTTCCTACGCCCAATCATTTCTCGTTGTAGCGTTTGCAACAAGGAGCCCTTCTCCAAGTTGCAGCCGTTGCAAAAATTATTCGACATATCGAGAAAAACGTCTAACGGCCTCTTTACATTTCAAATCACTGTAAACTTATAATAAATTACATCAATGAATTATTCGCTAACCGAAACGGAATTGAATAAACAGGCCGACAAGCATCACCGATGGCGTCATCAAATTCAATCAGTGTCCCGATATATAAGGTAAGTAAAGCGTTCCGCGCGAAACAATGGCCTACGGCAATTAGTCAGCCGGTGTCTATATGTCACAGGAACATCGACGCTCGCATCGACATCGTCATCGGCTCAATAATATCGCGTGCAAAGCGCACCAACTATTGCGCGCCGGGTGACAAGCTAGCGACAAGTGGAACATAATTCACCCTGTTTCCGTTGTTATTGTCGTCGTCGAGCTTTCTGGCGGTGCTGCTCGCCGTCCTACAGTCCGATTCGGAGTTGGTCGCCGACGAGTCCGAGCTGGACTTGCGATTGACGGCGCCCGCCAATTGCGCTCTCGGCCTCACCAGCTGCACTCCGTTGTTGTTGTTATTGTTGATGTTGCGGTTGTTGTTGTTGTTGTTGCTGTTGCCCTTGGTGCAATTCTCGAGACTTCTGAGCGTAGAGTTGTCCAGCAGCGGATTCCTGGCTAAGCTCAGGCTTATGCGCGTGAGCGAATCGGTCAGCGACTCCTGGTGACATTTGTTTACGTCCGATCATGCGAGTTGCAAGCTCCGTCTGCGACAAGCCTCGACGCGGGAGGAGAGCCGTCGAAGGCAGCTGCTTCAACGGTTGCCGAAAGGCAATGGGCAGGCTTACTTTACTGAGGAGCGACATATCGAGCTTGTCGATGAGCCGAGGGTCGAGGACGAGCGGTGCCTCGAGACTGGCCGTCCCAGGCCTCGCTTCCTCCTCCTCCTCCTCCTCCTCCTCCTCCTCCTCGGGACTACAGCTCTCGTGCTCGCTCGTGCTCGGCGGTCGACTCTTCCTCGCGCGCCTTTTGCGCATCTTCGGCCAGGTGTCGCAGCAGCTACTGCCAGCGCTCGCCTCCTTCTCCGAGTCTGCGGACAGAACAGAGTATAGCTCGAGCTCGTTCTAGCTTCGTCGCCCGACTCGTGGAGAGCTATAAGTGGCCGTTTACTCGAATGGACAATGTGCCGCGAGTACGGCTGGAAGCTACGCTATAGGGTGACTGACTTGTGTGCGAATGGGGGTTACCCATGCGTGAGAGCGTGAGAGACGTAGGTTGTCGCGAAGGAAGGGCTGTTTCAGCGTTCGCGACCTGCCGGTGGTCGAGCGGCAGCGGCACAGATTGTGCGCAGACAAAAAGCGCGACAGGCGCGGCTACCTGGGCTACTCTGCAAGTCTTGGCGAATCACCAGGAAGGTCTTGTCAGAGGGCAGCTCGGCCGATCCTCGTGACCACTTGATCATTGTTCCGCCTGATAGGCCGATTGGCGTGGGCTCTTGCAGCGCGGCGGCTGCCTCACATGCCGATATCCGTCGTCCGCGATGCAGCTTGCCTACTCGGCCCGATACACTAGTCAATTTTGAGCTGACCTGAAAATTAATCGCCAACTTTAGCTCGCGCTGCTTTCGTTGCCGAGGTTAGCTTTCAAACGCGCGCACACACGCGCGCGCGAATCGCTACTTCTCCAGCTTGATTTTTATTCGATGCGCACAGCCTACATTCTCGCTTGGCTTTCTTTCTTGCTTTTATTGCCACTCGGCGTCACTTATTTGCAATGAAACCGCCTCTCGAGCCCTCTATCGATCCAGATCGCGCTCGTAAAAAAAAAGTTGCGCGGTCATCGAGCGGGAAAAAAATTCGAAAAGGATAGACGATAATTTGCGGCGACACTGCTTGCTCATTTATTTGCAGACGAAGAGCGAAGCATTCCGAAGAATAGCACGTATACGCGTCTTGATCAGCGGCAAGTATTATCTGACGCCGCCACTGAATCGGTGTCGACGTGTAAATCAAAAGCCAGACTGCGGAAGCCAATCTGTCAATCTGCTTTTTCTTTTACGAGAGGCCAGCTCGACCAAGTTTATTAACGCGTCAAGTTAGGATTACATGCACTGGAGCGCGCGCGAGCTTCTAGGGCAGCCCGTTGTCTTTGTGCTCGATCTAGCGTGCTTCGCGGAAAAGCGCCAACCAGTCGCTTTACCTGGCATTGCGTTGCGGTATTACCGATGAACAGCGAGTCGTTTGCTCAATCGACGAATGATGCGTTGAAATTAGCACCTAGTGGCCACCGGTTTTCGCTCACAAGCAGGCAATAAATAACGAGAAGCCGATGCACTGCACACTTATCGAAGAAAACACGAGTGTTGAAAGGCCAAGCGAAAATTAGGGCGAGGCGCGCGCGCGCGTTCCAAGTTCGATACGATCGACTAGCGTGGCGCCGGTCGACTGAGTCAGAGACTCTCGCCGAGGCGGCATCACCTTGCCATTGCCGCTAGGGAACGACCGCGAGGCATCGATCCAACCGCGCGCTTTACCGCCTCCCACCTGCCCCAGCGTACATCGCTATGTCGCTTGTTTGTACTTGTATACAACAGCTGCGCGGGCTCGCGCGCGGCTCCGCTTCCGATCTCATCGAAGCCTACATCTGCGAACCAACCCCCACTGCGATCCCAACCGCGCCGACCGTTTTCCTCGGCGATTTCTCTCCCTCTTTTCTTTTATATCGAACGCAATTAACCCCTTTGCCTTACCGATCGCGAGCACCACTAACATCACTCTCCAGACCCGACGCGCGATAACTGATTTACTTTTGCCGCTCTCTGCGATACCCGGCAAATCAAGCCGGCAGACAACAGAGACGTTTTTTCACCTTTACTACGCTTGTCGGATGTCAACCAAATGGATCGCTACAAACTATTTCAATGCTCACTTATTTATTATACAACTTTGTTTGCTCGTCTGCGACAAGTCCTATATGTAATTACAGAGATGTTTATCGTTCCCATAGAATCAATTAATCATCATTGACTCACTGCTCACTGGGCTGCGGCGATCACGTTATCTTTCCTTTTTCGTATTCAAGTACTCGAAGATTCGGGAGCTCGATGAGCATTTTATGCGCCTACGCATCTTCGCGTACAAAAGCGTTTCGCACGACCCGTTTTTCTTTAAGGTTCTCCTGGATGAATCATAGAACCGTACAAATCCTTAGCAAATATCTTTTATGGTAAACGTTACAGTTTTAAAACCCGCTTCATGATTTATTTTTCACTTTCTTCTTTTTATTTTCCAATTTTTTTTTCTCAACGATGTAATTTATAATCGTTGGATCTCGTTTAGTATATTATTTCAATAATATCAGATCCCCTTGTTGCACTTTTCCCTTCCCCTTTAATATAAAAAAAAATAATAAAGCGAGATATATCTTCATATTTTATTCAATAATCTTCAACGCGTTTTAAATAGAATTATTAGGATTTTTAATTAAAAATAATTTCTTTGAAAAATTCTTTTATTCAATATGAATCATGATTTCATTACGATTAATATTTCGATACTTTTTACAAGCTCATTTTTCTTCATATCTGAATCACTCTCGTTTAAACAAACATCGTACTATTAAATATAATACATATTCAAATAGTATATGAACAAATTATCGACGATATCGATATCTCTTAAAGTGGAACCATAATTGAAAAATATTATTATGGAATTGACATCGGAAACCACGTTTGTACGAATATTCCCACTCTCTATTTACAATTTTAAAAGCTATATCTTCATATGGAGGTCCAGCTTTGAATCTAAGTATTGCAAAGTCTTTGTTATCTCCACATGGAGTCTGTAAAAGAAAAATAGTATAGTCAAATTTCTATGAAAATTATATAGAACTCATAAATTAAAATGGAAAGCATTTGAAAGAAAATTAAAATACACAATAATACATTACAACACAAGTGTAGGCATTTCCAACGTTAAATTTAAAAACATTTTTCAAATGTGTAATTATATTTTTTCTTACCAAAAAATACTCCGGCGTGACGTTTTTATCGATCAGATCTGGATAAAAAATATTAAACTTGTAGCCTTGAACAATTTTAGGCGGCGGATTATCCATGTCGTAGTGAGTTTGATTATATTTATTCCACTCGAAACCTGTATGTACTCTATTGAAATAACGAGGTTTTCTTGGTCGATATTTATCTGACCATAGATATACCTGCGCCTCTAAAGACGACTCAACACTAAACTCAGCTTCGTCGGATCCCATATTCTTACTAACTTCTCTACGCATAGCATGTTCTTCTGCAGTCAGAACACTTTGTACTTTGTTGCCAGTTCTAAGAACTTGATTTCTCGCAAATTCTAAACGTTGAGCATCATCTTCCTCCAAAGTTACTATTGTACCAGGTTCGAGGTCTGATTGCTGAATATATGGCGGTGAATAAGAGCCAGATTCTTCGATTTCTTCCTCCCTAAACACAGCATTAATTATTAATAATTTCAAGTAAGATAAGAATATTTCAAGAAAAGTATATAAAAACAAAGTCAAAGTCAAATAATTTATTCCATAACATACTCTGAATGGGTTTCTTCGTCATTCGCAGGTGCCTCGCTAGTAGACGGTTCTTGATCCGTTTCTATACTACTTGGTTCTAAATCAGTTCTTTGTGCTTCCATAGGCTCGCTATCGTTTCTTGCTACTCCCTGTTCGGCCATCAAAATATTTAATTTTTGCTTTAAATTTTCTTGATGGCGATCTCTTAGTCGTGCTCGGGCCATGTGAGCTTTAATGATAACATTTTTTATTAATCTATGTTAACACATATTCAAACTATTTTATTAACTATTATATTATATTAATTATTTATAAAATTACCTTTCAATTGAGATAGTAAACTTTCCCAGTATCCAATATCAACACCTTCAGCTTTACCACTAATTTTATTTTCAATTCTTGTTTGTAAGGCTTCTAATTGTGCTGCTGTTTTGCCTTTGAAAATTGCTGTTACATCTTGCGCAACCGACTCATGTATGCCTTCTCGTCTATTCAAAGCTGAAAATTGAAATATTTGATCATTAAATGAATCAGTTATATCATTCTTATAAAAAAAAAAAGTATATCAGAATTGTAAACAGAAAAGAAACAAATATCTTGAATTTAATTTTCACTCTTAAAAAGAGTGATTTGAATTAAAGTTTTTTTTTAATTTCTAAAAAATAATATTTGAAAACAAGAAGTATATCATATGCAATCTAATTTGAAGCTTTTATAATTTTTATGATTTAAAAATCAATTTACAAATTCTTTATTTTATTAAATTAATAAATTTGATGAATGTGGCAAATTGAACTTATACTGCCAGCCAATTTTTATGTATTATTTGTTTTACTAATAACTTGAATCATAATATCTTACCCATTTGATATTCTGATTGCTGTTGTAATTTTTTCAGTTTTTGCAACTCATCCTCAACTATAATTGTGATATCATTCCAATAATCTAGGTTTTTACCTCGCTCAAGTTCTTTATAAACTTTTATATCTTCTATTAAGTCTTCTAAGTCTTTTATATGTAATCCTCGAAGATATGTGTAAGGTTCATGCATTTCTACTGCGTCAACTTCATCTTCGGCTCCAATGTATTTTGCCAGTAGATCAATAGGCTTTGCTCTTCCATCTTGAATTCTTATACGAGATCGTAATCTTGCTTGCTCTAAATGAAATTGATCTTCTTGTCGATGCCACAGTTCTAATTGTGCAGCTTCTTTTCCCCTTTGCTGTAAAGCAGCCTCTTCCTCTCTTTGTTGTCTCAGTAACTCTCGTTCTTGTCTTCGTTTTTTTACTTTTTCTAATTCTCTTTTATTTTCTTCTTGCTTGTATCTGTTCCGCAACTCTAGTTGTTCCCGACTTACTTCTGTTAATCCTTCCTTTTCTAATTTTTTTCCCCAAACAAAAGGTTGTAGCAAATTTGCATCACCAAATGGATTATCAGTATTTGTATAATGTAAATAGTCATTGTCCCAACCCATTCTTTCTTTTCTTTTTCGTTCCTTGGCTTCTTTCTTCTGCAATCTTCTTAATCTCTTTTCTTCTGGGGTTTCTTTCGCTTTCAATAACTCCTTTTGTTTTCTCCTCTCTTCAACCATTTTCAATCTTTGATTCTTCAGTTTCTTTTGTAATTTTACTGATCCATCACTAGAACTCGATGACGACGACGATGACGACGATGTAGAGGAAGCTGATGACAACCTACAAACAAAAAACAACCTAAGTATTCCTTCAAAACACAAATCATTTTATTAAGAAATGAAAATTTACCTTCGTCGTGATTTACGTTTTTTTGATGAAGGTGACACTAAACGGTCTCTATGTTTTGATTTTTTGTTATTGTTGTCTTTTTCTGACTTTTTACTAGCAGGTTCATCATGATATCCATGTCGACTTTTTTCTCTATGTCTTTCTCGTCCTCTATTTTTACTCCTTTCTCTATTCTTTTCCTTATCCTTTTCCCGTTCTCTATCATAGTCCCTCTCACGATCTCTTTCCCTTTCTTTTACTTTACTCATATCTTGTCGTTTTTACTTTTTCACCTGAAAAAAATTATAATAAATTTGTGTTTTAATTAAAAATTATAACCTCAATTTGTATAAAAATAATACTTCAAACATATCACTTAGTAAGTCACTGTCTTTGGCAAATCAGTGAACTCCTCATAATACATGTGCAATTCACGGACAAATTAGTGTTAAAAATTTACTATAATTGTTACAAAAATATTGAAGAAAAATAATAACAGATAATGAAAGAGATTATTTCATTGAACAATATATCTTTCTTCACAGATAGCGTAAGCACTAGGCGCACACACATAAATATATTATGCGTATTGCATATATATACACATATAACTCAGTAGGTAAAGAGATACATCTGTGTTCAAGTCAGAGTCCAACATTATCTACAAAGCGTACATATACGCGCATTATATGTATACACAACCTAGATATACTTATTTATCACATGTAGTGCTAAAATTTTTTTTCAGAATAGGCCCCCTGTCTAAATAGAACTGTTAACTAAAGAGAGAGTGGGAGAGATCGGTTAGACCCTGGCACAAAAATAATTGATTTTAATTAAAAAATGACAAATAATTAGTTTGAATATAATTGTACCATTTAAAAAGAACAATTTAACAATTTTTATCCTATGAAAAAGTGAAATAAAAAACAATAGAATGAAATCTCGGAAAATCTATTCTTCGACACAAAAATGTTCATTTTCGAAATGAAACACTGCAAATAGATTCAGTTCAATTTGTACTAACTAAAATTAGAAAAATGATAATTTGTGTTCTGCAATACAAATCAATTAAGTTCTTGAGAATGGCATTGATTAAATTTTTAAATAGCAGCGGTTTTCCTTTTAAGCTCCGCGATATATATACTAATAGACGCCATACATCATTGCAATTGTATTGTAATATGTTAGATACATGATGATGTGTAGTGTGTGTGTATACAGTGCATGTGTATGTTACATACGTGCCGTGTATTACTGTCCGGACATTGTTTGAAAAATTGTCATAATATCTAATTATACATTTGTTCATATCGTTTTTTTCCTCTTAATTTTATGTTATGTTTTATTAAAAATATAACCAGACCAGATAGAAAATGATCTTTTATTTCTTAAATAGATTTATAATAAATGGCGTTATTGTATAATACTCGTTGAAAACACACACACACATACACACAGGGCGCTTTCGCGCAATAGTAAAACTGCGACGACGGAACATTCTGAGAGCTCTTTCTTTTGGATTTTTTTTATTTTTCCGAGAGATACAAATTATAAAATTGTTATTTTTAAATAGCACATATGAAATCGAAGCTAATTACGTGTCATGTTTTGTGATTATTAGTTGTTTTCGTGCTATGGTCTGACCGATCAGAAAAAGTTTCATCAGAGATTAGGTCTTTTCTAATATCTGCTTTCATGTTTCGGATTGTGACTAATTGATTTATCGACTTGTCTTGATAACGTGAAAAATAAAAATTATGCATTTAGACTTTTATTTCTGATCTTTCATTTATTGAACGATATTGCAATCAAAATAATTGATTAGATTTTGTAAATATAGTCTATTTCGTATGTACGCGGGTATTTTCAAATATCATAATATTCTGATAACAGAAGCCTAAATTTCATAAGATAGAAGACTGAGATAATAATTATTAATCATAATGAAAGACAATAAAAAAGAACACGATTCTCATATTTTTATAATCCTTTGGGGGTTTATTATACATATTATTTTGCTATGGGGAGTTTTGGATGCAAACTTTCATTCCCTTATTATATCAGGATTACCTGTGATTAAAGCACCTGCAGGTGCTCCAGCAAAACGAATTCTGATTTTTGTTGCTGATGGACTTCGCTATAGAACTTTCAAACAATATACTCCTCCTTATCTGCGGTTTGTATCTTAAAATATATTATAATACAGATATATCAATTTACAAAAATTATAGAATATCATTTTTATTATTTCAGGTCAATCATTGAAAAAGATGGTGTCTCAAGTATTTCTCATACTCGAATGCCAACAGAATCTAGACCTGGAAATATAGCTATTGTAGCTGGATTATATGAAGATCCCAGTGCTATCTTTAAAGGATGGAAGGAAAATCCTGTTGATTTTGATACTGTATTTAATCAAAGTAGATCATCTTGGCTATGGGGTAGTCCAGATATCATTTCTTTATTTACAAAAGGTCGAGTCAAACTGTAAATTCCTATAATTTGATGAAATACTTGCATAATAATTATAATAAAAAAATTATTAGGTGGTAATTCAAATATACGCGCAGGAAGCTACCCAGCTGCTTGGCAAAACTTTGTCAAGGAAACCAATTCAGCAAAGCGATTAGATAATTGGGTATTTGAACAATATTCACAGTGGTTAAAAACAGAGGGACCAATATATAAGACTAATGATAAAATAGTACTTTACTTTCATCTGTTAGGCTGTGATACTATAGGACACGCTTCCAAACCACAATCAAAGTAATTCATTTTTTGACTTTTTTTCTTTACAATTAAATTAATTTTTCATATCATAAATTTTGTTTTTTTAAATAAAAATTATTCTGCAATATCATTTTTTTAGAGACTATGTAGAAGTTATGATGGAAGTAGATCGAAATATAAAAAAAGTAGTTCGAGAAACTGAACGTTACTTTGGAAATGGCACAACTGCTTACATTTTTACTGCTGATCATGGAATGACTGATTGGGGTTCTCATGGTAGTGGTTCAACTGATGAAACAGAAACACCATTTGTTGCCTGGGGTGCAGGTATAAAAAAAGGTCCTTTATACCATAATATTGAGCAAGCTGATGTCACGCCTCTCATTTCTACTCTAATTGGTATATCTATTCCTGTGAATAATGAGGTAAATTTTCTATGTTGTATTTCAAATAAATAATTTATTCTCACTAAACTCTTATTAATCAATTATTTTGTATTTTAGGGCATACTGCCTTATGAATTGTTAGATCTGAAATATGAAAATTTTATCTCACAAGCTTTTCTGAAAAATGCTCAACAGCTTGCTGAACAGGTCAAAGCCAATAGGGAATTGACAGTAGGTCAGAGTTTAGTTAATATGTATTCTAAAGATGAAGAATTTAAAATGAAACTTACTAATGCTGAAAATTCACTAGAAATAAGTGATAATCAGCAATTTTTAAAAGAATGTAAAAGCATAACTAGATTAGCCAAAGAGGTCATTACTTACTATAGACGTTATCAAACAGACAGATTTTTATTCTGCTTAATGCTTATGTGGGTTGGGTGGATTATATTGCTTTATACTCATATAGGTGGTATACCAGGAAAAGATATTCCATTTGGACCTATTACATGGTTAACATTAGCAAATATATCTCTTGTTGTCTGTATGATTCCTTTAACTATTGAATATGCAGGTATTAACATTTTCCTGTAGAAAATAAAATTTTATAGTAATCTACTAAAAATCTTCTAAAATTTAGTTACAGGTTGCAAGGAGTGGCGATTACTAGGATATGGAATAATTGGTGCTGTATCTGTTTGGTTGGCTAGCAGAAGTATCATAATACATATTATGCCTCCTATTAGCTTGATTTATAAACCATGGTATGAAGTCATAGGAACTATAATAATGATTCCAACAATGCTTGCTGGTCTATCATATAGATGGGCTTTTAGTATTAGTGTGTTGTTGGCTGTTATATTGGAAAAAAAAATTTTTTCCAAAAATGCAAAAACTACCTTTATTTTTACCGGAGCTACTTTAGCAGTTTTTCCATTATTACCTGTAGTTGGACCAGAACCAAAAGTATACATAGTGTATGAATAATAAATTTCCAAGTATATTAGTTCTGTCTAATTTTATAAACTTTAATAAATCATTATGTTTATTTTTTACAGATTATTAGCTTTGGGTATAAGTTTAATAGCAATAATAAACAAGAAAAGTATTTACAGATACATTAAAGCTATTGAAATTTCACGACTTGTTCTGACGTCGCTTTTATGTTTGAATATTATTGATGGTCGGTCTTTCTTTTCTTGGTTCTTAATGTTTAGCACACCATTCGTCATATGGCTGCATCCCAAAGACTGGGAACAAAGAATATTTGGTGTTACTATAGCTTTGATGAGCCCTTTAGCTCTGTTATCAGCTTCGTATGAACCTTTGTTTTTTTTAATTTTTGCAAGTCATTTACAGTATTGGCCAATATATGAGTACTCATTCAAGTCAAAAGGTGGGCCACAAATTCTAAGATTAAGAGATGTCAGCACTGCGGCTTTTCTTGTATCCTTTATATATTTAATGTGCTTCGCATAGTTTTGAAATAAAAGTAATGAATATTATTCCTAAATAAATATTTAGATGTTGTACACGTTATTAAGCTTCTTTGGTACTGGCAATATGGCAAGTATTAGTTCGTTTGACCCATCCTGGACACGTCACTTTTTAACAGTATTTTCGCCATTTACAATGACGACGCTCATATTATTGAAGACTGTTATTCCATTAATACTTGTTGGATGTATTATCCGTACGCTAGCGAAAGATTCAACAATATTTTGTGCGGTTTTACTGTTGGGGGATTGTCTGGCACTACCACTCATGTACAGGGTGGTCTCAGTGGGAAGTTGGCTTGATATCGGTAGCAGTATTAGTCGGTTTGTCATAGCTATTGTGCTCCCTTGTCTTCTCGTGCTTGTTTATTACATGAGTAAGCCCTTCACAACTTTTAGTTTGCAAGAATTCTTAGGGTATAAATCTATCAAAAGTCAACGACTTAAAATTTAAATTTCTTGAGTCTTCCCGTTGTATTAATTTATACAACTTAGCGAAATAGTGCATTATCGTAGAATGACATTTTAGTTATTAGTTCATTGCTTTTAATTTATTTTGCTTTATAAAAATATTGTTTATCAAAGTTAGAACAGATGAAATATGAGATATATTCATAAAATATCACACCAAGTGTTGTTACCGTTTTTGTTATAAATTACTCATTACATTACATTTGTAGCTAATAAAATTGAAACTTCTTAACAGTAAATATTGTGGATATTTATTTAGAGATGCTAGTTGCTTCTGAAAAAACAACACAGTGGTCATTTCAACATTATTAGCATGTTGACAGCAGTGTGGCCCATATATGGGTCCAATTTTTCATTAGTATGTTTTTGAATTTTATAGAAAAATTTGATGTCTACTTTTTAAATACTGTAGCATAATAATATCTGCATATATTTTACAATAGCAGACTATTTTATTACAATATCCTAAAAAGATTTAAAACAAACCATTTTAAAGATGAATCTAAAAGAATATTTAGTGAGCTTTTTTTGTGTTAAATAAACAAACTTTTCAAACTGTCGCGAAAGCTCTAACTATAGAGCTTTTGAAGTTTCTGACCTCAATTTTTATTACAATACAGAAAAATCTTAACATTTTATAATGGTTGAAGAATGTAAACAATCTAAACACTTGAATAATTCAAGACTTAGAGGTTTATTAAGAGTAAAGAAAGTTTATAGGTTGGTTATTACGAATAGCTATGAAGCTGTAAAGTTTAAGTTAACTTGATAGCTTAAAAGGAAAGCTTGAACTGGTGTGGGAGTTCAAAAAGTCCAAAACATAATTTGCTCGACTCTGATTAGAGTTCAGATCCAAACTGACTCGAGCTTTCGTAGAAGACTATTCTTATAACTGTTTTGCTGAAATGTATTAGAAATACGAAAATATACAAGAAATACTGACCACCCAAGTTAATCACATATATCACATCATTTGAATGATCAAAATCCACAAATATTTTTGTAAAATGTCTTCTTTTAGTTGTAATAAAATTAGATAATAAAATTGATATTAAAAACTATATTCAAAGAATAAGAAAATTTATTTGAAGCATAGATTTGTTTGATGTACGGAAATTGTTTAAATTGTAATTATAAGTGTAATTACTCGCCAGCAAGTAAAACTATTATAGAATGTGCCATAACAAAATAAAAGCTTTAGAAACTATTGTCAATATTTTTACATCAAAAAGACAAGTGACAACATGAAAAACCAAGCAGTTTAGCATCTAAGAACTACAAATGTTCAATCATCCTTAAATTATTTAGTAATAAATTGATGTGTATTGACTAGATTTAAATAAACTAACAAAAATGAAAATATGCAAAACTCTTAGAAAGGTTCATTAGAAATGAAAATTAGTTCATAAATTTGACTGATTATATGTATGTACATTTCTTGCTTTCATTTCCTATAATATTTAAATTGTAACAAGTTTTATGTACAAATGAACTTTGTAGTAAAACCAAATATAGTAACTATAAAATACATTAATCACTGATACAAAAAACCAAGATTATTTATCTCTCTTAATTTGTTACTACCAGGAAAGAAATTCGACATTACCATTACCATTTCTTAAAAGTCACTTGCCTTTGAATGTATTAAGTTAACTTGGTTTTTGCTTGATCACACTTTGATTGTTCTCTTCACTAGTTTTGTTGTTAATGGATTCATGCTTCTTTTCAGGAAGCTTATTTTTGGTTTTCTTTGCTAGATCTTCAAGTGATTGCAGTAGATAATTCAATTCAGCTTCTTGCTTAAGAGTAGCTTCATACAATGCTTGAATATCGTCAGTAAATTTTTGTAATTGCATCTGCCTGAGTTCTTCTTTCTTAGCTTCCTTTGCTACTTGACGATTGTATTCCAACAAAAGGCAACCACCTGCTACACTGAAGATGATGATTTCACTCATTAAACTAGCACCAAGTTCAATGGCCATTTGTTCATTCAACTTAGCTACTTTAGTAGGTTTGCCCAAGTTCATTAAATACATTTTGGCTTTGACTTCTGCCCAGTGATAAACTAAAAATATAATGTATTTTTAATTGACATCTTCAAATATTTATCACAGAAAATTATTTAAGATTTGAAATATGAAGTAATATGTTATTAGTAATATACTTACATTGAGCTGGAGGTATAATGAAATAAGTTCTGAAGACAGCATGATTCTTTGCATTGTTAACAATCATTTTGGACAAAGGTTTACTAATTTGTTTGATAAAAAGAACTCCTAATTTAGCAGCAGGAAAAATTCCTACAGCCATTGTGCTGCTTTAAATGACTACTTCGATAAAAAGTTTGTTACCAATCTTAACTTCTTACTTGTATCTGTTACAAAACAGTATAATTATTATTAAACATGTTTTTGGGAACATATAAGATAAGTGTAATAAAACAATGCAATAAGTATCTAAATAAACAATTTAGTTGTGTTTATCTGAAAAATCTCTAACAATTAAATTACAAGGTCACATAATTAATTTTGACATAATTGATTTTGACAAATTGTACTGTTTATTGTAATATTCATCTACTGATAAATTTGTACTTGTTATTTTTATTAAGAAGGTCAAATAGAAACAGCCTAAAAGTTTCGCGACCTCTTCTCTAACCTGTACTTTGCAAAATATTGGCAAAATATCAATTACGTAAAGACTCGATTGACTAACAGAATGAAAGACTTACATATTGATCTATACGCCAATACAGAGTATCTTTATTCATAATTTATAAAACGTTAAAGATTTTCAACTTTCCGTTCAAATTTTCATAGCGAAACAAGTAAAACATTGCCTCACGATCGCTCACCTGCTTGATACTCCAATAATCCAAAACGCATGCGCAAAGCACTTGCAAAATTTAATTTAAAATTTAATTTCGCAAATAATATCATTGAAATAAATTATTGAAAAAGTAGTTTTTATTCTTCATGATTTATATGATTGACATATTAGTTTTTTATATATTATAGCTTTACAATTTACATATTGCATTATTATTATTTACAATAAATAAAATTATGAACGTGATCATCTCTATTTAAAAACTTACTTAAATGATAGTTTATATAATTATGTAATTCAGACTGAATTATTTTTAACTATTATTACATTCTCGATCGCATCAACTAAATACTTCGTCTTGATGTTTTTATAACTTGATTATTAATTATTTTCATTTATATTATAAACCTAAAATGTCTATGAATGTAAATTGTCAAATAAATAAGAATTGTTCAGCTTATAAGTGGTTTTTACTATTGTAATAGGGTCTGGAGACACTGAGTGACAGAATTTTTTAAAACTTTACGCTATACTGTTGCATAAACAGCGGATGTCATCATTTTCTCAAAATTTTTATATCGAAATTAAATATATTAATTAGATCAAAAGTTGTTAAATTTTAAAAAGTAATGATAAAATTTGTTCAAAAGGCTGTATTTCATATACTAATAAAAATATAGAGATCAACTTTTTGTTAAATACACGTAAAGCTTAATTAAACTTAGAAAATATTTGTAATAATAAACAATAATTTTTTATTTTCAAAAGTCATTAACTTTATTCTTAAACCAAAAAGTAGCTTTTTTTAACTTCTGTTTCTACGAATTTCCGAGGAATTTTTATATAAAGAACAGTTATGAAATTCAAATATATGGGAACCGTGGACCATCAAGACAGGCGCCTCGCCGCGCTGTGCGGTATTGAGTGAACGCGTACTATTGTAGAAAACTGCTTTCTTTTTTGGCCCTTTCTTCGATCTATCTAGCCAAAACTCTGATTTATATTTGATTTTATGAAAATATGCCATTTTTACATTAAGCATATGATAATTAAATAATAATATATATTATTTTAATCGCGCTTGAGACCGACGTTTTCAAATTTGCGACTGCGTTAAAAATATTTTATTATTTAATACAAATTAAAATTAATAAATGAATACGAATAATCCTATCGTATTAAATTCGATAGTCTCTGAAAGTCTTGTATATTTAAGCCTTAAATTATCTTCATCACTTACGAGAATGTAAGAGTGAAACGTTTATTGTGTATTCGCTACTAGTCTCAGCTTTTTTAAATCTATCTTTTAATTCATTTATGAAATCCTCTTGAATCGTTAACCAAAACACAATCTTTTAATTAAAAAGTACAAGACAAGGAAAAGTCTATTAACGTTTCACATTCTATTTTTCAAGTTAGGATATTGATACTTAAAAAGCGTGAAAGACTCGTATATATAGTGTGCAAAACAATAAACGACTTTAAACTTGCATACTTTCACCATTTTGCTTTACATTTCTAAAACACTGCTTGGACAATCTTTCACAGCCTAAACAGGTTCTACTGATATCATCTTCACGACAAAACGCTTCGACGATTGCAGTTATGTCAAGTGTCAATAATGTATAAATATTAGAACGGACGATGGATATGATAAAATGCTTTCTTTTGACGTACTTTTATTGATTTTAAAGTAGTATTAAAAGTTCCGATTCAATAGCGTTTATGCTTATTAAAAGTAGAACTGTTAATATATGAATTTTGTCTGCCTGTTCTTTACTATTTTCAAATTTTGTTTTTATTTCCTTAATCAAACTGAAATGGATTTTCCTCTTTATAAAATGGACTTTTATAGTTTTTTATCAGTCAAGTTTTCAAACAAATCAATAGAGCATCAATTTTTTCTATAACTACACGAGGTTTTTCCAGATCTGTTGAGATTAAACACAGTAATTTAAATTAATAAATTTAATAAATTGCAGTTACCGGAATTTAAAGTTCAAGTTGTTTATGGCTTCCGACTACAAATATTTTCATATTGTTACCTTCAAGCTGAAGATCTTCATCAGTTTTTGGCGACAAGCATAATTTGATTGAATTACATTCAGGTGAACTGCTACTAAATCTTAATCCTCGTGATCTATGTCCATTGCCTCTAAATTAGTCTATTTCCATATATTCTTTTTGTTGTAACATTTTCATCTTGACAAATGTAATCGACGTATTGATTACCTTCTGCTTTAGTCACTATTATGCACATAATTACTGATATCTTTTGTTATATTTTACCATAGTTTTTCTCTCTACAATTATTATGTAGCACTTTCTTTTACAAGATTCACAAAGTCAATCTTTACCACTAAGATATGAACAGAAACTCTGATAAAATAATTGTAGCAATACGGTAAAATGCCCGAGGTGAAACTTGCGGACCTTAAAAATATTTTTGGACACTTGCTTCTATCTGTGGCAGTCTCATGGTTCGACCATCCACATCCAGATGGACAGACCAGCCACGAGCGGCAAGGAATACGTTCACTGCATATATATATAAATCCGCATAGCGATACGAACAGCACTTAAATTCGAGCGTACTATATGAGGGAGATGTTACCGGCCGTCGAGCCTCACTGACGAGTCCAGTCGATAGCATCGGGACGAAACGCTTTCTACCTTACCAACCTCTCGAGTGTGAGCTTGGCTACCTCACACTACGACCAACCTTTTACACGAGACTCCTTGGTACATACAACATACATTCATACATACAATTGCCTACAATACATCTCCATCTCTCATACAGCCAAAAATCTATTGTATTCTGTTGTACAAGATGCAGAATTCAAACATGAAAATATTTTCAAGTTATGTAATCCAGCCACATTGAATATATTTGATAATTTTTAATTAAGAAAAAAAAATAGAAAAGGTTTTAGTTAAAAGACTTATAATAATTTTAAATTAATTCAATTATGAATATCATTATTATAATGGCCATCTCCATTGGAAATAAATATACAAATTTTATTATAGAATTTCTTTAAAATCTGTATAAATATTTTGCAATAGGTTAATAACTTTTCATTTAATTAATGTATCGGTACGAAAATTTGGAATAATGATGACCTTATTCTACATTGTGAAGTTTGAAAAACCTTTCTCTCTCTCATTCTCCCTCTCTCTCTCATTTTTCCTCTCTCTCTTTCTCATTCTCTTTCTTTGTTTCTTTTTCTCTCTCTTTCTCTCTCTTGCCTGCTATTGGACGAACCGAGCCGGTAATTGCAACGAACCCGAGTCGACGCGACATGACGCGATACCCACGCCATCGGCCATTCATTCCGATTCCGGCAGCCAACGACGCCGGAGATAATTGTAGTATCATATATGTAAGTACATACATCGCGAACAGCACCATTTTGAATTGTAATTTAAATTTTGAGGTTATGAAAAAAAGTGTCGTAAACATATTATGATTGAAGAATCAATGATGTTACCTCCAGGGATGGAAAATGTTTATCAAGAAAATGAACCTTTACAAAATCATAAAGTCACATCAAATACTGATAAAAGGAATCGTCCAAAGAAAAAGAAGAAGAAAAATAAGAAGAAGAGAAACGAGATAACGACATCTAAAAAAATTATTGATTCTGCTGAAAGAAAAGATGATGAACCCGAAGTTGAATATATCCAAGATATACCCACAATCAATGATCTCGAGCCAATGTACCGGCAATTTGCTAAAATCTTTGATGCATTCAAGTTGGTTGAGAATGAAAAAAATAGTACAGATACTGGTGAGACGATCAGCGAATATCCACCTCCTGATGCAATTGTCAATAATAAAATTGGTAATGGTATGGATGATTATGACGATGATGCACCTCAGCAACGACATCATCAGCATGGTGACAACGAAACTCCACGATTATCAAAGAGGAAACTGAAAAAATTAACAAGACTTAGCGTAGCAGAACTCAAACAACTAGTGGGACGACCAGATGTTGTAGAAATGCATGATGTTACTGCAAGAGATCCAAAGTTACTAGTCCAATTGAAAGCCTACAGAAATACAGTACCTGTTCCAAGACACTGGTGTTTCAAGAGAAAATACTTGCAAGGAAAGAGAGGTATAGAAAAACCTCCATTTGATTTACCTGCTTTCATTAAACGAACAGGTATCACTGAGATGCGAGCTTCTCTACAAGAAAAAGATGAATCCAAGACTTTGAAGGCCAAAATGAGAGAGCGTGCTAGGCCGAAATTGGGCAAAATAGATATTGACTATCAAAAACTTCACGATGCATTCTTCAAATGGCAAACCAAGCCAAGAATGACTATTCATGGTGATCTATATTATGAAGGTAAAGAGTATGAAACACGACTAAAAGAAAAGAAACCTGGAGAATTGTCAGATGAATTGAGAACTGCCCTTGGTATGCCTATTGGACCAAATTGCCACAAAGTACCCCCTCCATGGTTGATTGCTATGCAGCGTTATGGACCACCTCCAAGTTATCCAAATTTGAAAATTCCTGGCTTAAATGCTCCAATCCCAGAAGGGTGTGCTTTTGGCTATCATGCAGGTGGTTGGGGTAAACCTCCGGTAGATGAAAGTGGACGACCCCTGTATGGTGATGTTTTTGGTGTTCAAAGAGCTCCTGGAGGTGATGCTATGGATGAAGAGATTGACAGAGGCTTATGGGGTGAACCAGAATCTGAATCGTCTGGTGAAGAAGATGAAGAAGATGAGGATGAGGAGAAAGAAGAAGAAGGTACGTTTACATTCTGCCCTTAAGAAATTAATTTATCTTTTTTTTTGTTTAGAATTTGCAATATTTTATTAAATATGATTATAATTGTCCTTTTTTATGACAGGTAAAGAAGATGCTACAGGACTGGTCACTCCCGGAGCTGAAGGTTTGATAACTCCAAGTGGAATCACATCTATTCCTGCTGGTCTTGAAACTCCAGAAACAATAGAATTAAGGAAACGCAAGATAGAAAGTGAAATGGAAGGAGGAGAAACACCTGCATTGTATACTGTCTTGCAAGAAAGACGAACAGAGGGATTAGGTAGTAGCATGATGGGTAGCACACATGTGTATGATATGACAGGTGCAGGTGGTCAAGCTCCACCATCTGTGATAGCTGCACGACGAGGTGCAGTTTCGACATCTGAAGTCAGGGCAACAGAAAGAGAAGGAGCAGTTGAATTAGCTCTGGATCCAAGTGAGTTGGATTTGGACTCTGAGGCTATGGCTACAAGATATGAAGAGACAATGCGTAATCGGCAAGCTTTACGACGTGAAGATTTATCAGACATGTTACAAGATCACGTTCAAAGACAAAAGGTAAATTTTTTATCTTGATACAGAACATGCACCAAAATACGTTATACTAATCTATTACTTTCTTTTTTTTAATTCAGAGCAAACGAAAACGTCAACAAAACCAGGAAAGCAAGTCATCAAAGAAATACAAAGAATTCAAATTTTAAGCCTTTTGATTCGGGTTTTTGTAATATACCTTGTATAAGCTTACTTCGTTATGATATAGTATAATAACTCAATACAATAGCTTGTTTACTATTAATCAATGACAATTAAAGTAATAAAACAATTTGATTGTACAGAAAATAAAAAACAGGAAGCATAAATCTAATTAGATTGGTACAAATTTTATGTTTGATTATTGTTCTATTACAGACTGTTTCTGAGATCTACACCCTCACATTTTTATCAAAGTTTGACACATTTATTATTTATGTAAATTGAATTATTTGCCCCGATATTCAAGCAATAAAATCAATTATTTCAAAAGTAATTAACAAATTTTCGATTTTTGTTTTAATGTAAATATTTCGTTCACTATAAAGATATTTAAATGAATGTTTTTAAATACTTGTAATGTTATGTACACAAGATCATTGCGAATGTAAATTAAATTCTTTCAAGAAAGCTAAACACTTTATACACACTTACTCATAATTAAAAAAGTTGAAAATTCGTGTTCCTTAACATGTTTTCTATCGAAAACCATCAATAAAAAACATGTTAACTACTATAGATGATGAATGATTAGCAATACAAGCTAGCGATGTCCGGTACGCCACGCCACAGTCTACGTTGCGACTTATGAGAGTGGATTAAGAAGTACTCTACCCGGATATTAATTTGCATGCAGTTGAAAACCGAATTATTTTGAAATATTAACCATTAATGGGATTAAATAGATTTTTTCTGGCAAGTTATGGGGTTACAACTTTCCAAAATAAGGTCTTTGACCTACCCGCGTTTGATCAGATCGATGGTCAACTGTCGAAAATAATTTAAATTTTGAACTTCGCGGGTCGCAAATTAATGTCTGAACAGTGTATGTTTTCAATGAAGACACGTTTTTCGTAAAAACTTTTTGTACAACGCAATCTCCTTTTGGAATACTTTTGCTAACGTTCTGACAATATTTTAAATCCTCTAAAAAACATATATCCAACTTTTCAAACAATAGTTTCTATCTTAACGATGACCTTGTTTTAGTTGAATTTTTTTTTCTGTAAGTCGTGTTTTCATGTTGGGGAAAAGAAAAAAGTCGCAGAAAGGTTAACTTAGAGGAGTATGGTGGATACTTTAGAAATTTGTAGCTCAATTTTTGCAATTATTTAACCATGACATTTTCGACTTTATCGAAAACAGATGTACAGTTACGTTTAAATTCGTTGAATCAATATCTAATGGTTATCATAGATGATGAAGGATCCTTATAAATATTACCTAACTTTGCTTTTATTTCTTTATACGTTTTTTCAAACATAAAAATCAAATTGCTTTTTTTTCATTGTATCGAAACATGTTTAACATATTTAATACAAATAGCTGTAAAATTAAAACTCATTTATAACAGTATGAATCATTTTTCACGGCGTCACGTGGAAGATTGCAGTGCATACTGCTTAATCGTACTGCCTACTAAACTTAACAATATCACCTATCTTCAAACACGGTTAATCATTAATCTATCCTTGTAGTGCTTTATGTTCAAAAGAGTTCATTTGGTTCTATATGTCTATAATACATACGAGTTACTAGTTTTTCTCAAAGCTTGAGAAATTATTAAAAAAATATTTGATAAAAATTTAAGGGACCGAGCAAATTTTGTTTTCATTACCATCTAGTTCACACACACATATAGGATAAGACAATAGAGGATAATAAAACGTTTATATATATACTTAGTTTATTTATTAATTGTTGCGACGGAAGTCATCAAACTTGAAAATTTAATAAAAATATTCACAGTGAGCATTCTTTCTCTCATTTGCTCTCGCGTTCTTTCGCACAATCTTCGCCTTACCGTGGTCGCGCGCATTCGTCTAGTGTAAATACGGGTCAGCGAACTTGGCGTTAATATACTCGACAATTTCTTTAAAGTTTCATTTCTTATTAAATGTCGCACCTTGACGCAGCTTGGACACATCACGGATAACCATCCTTGCTTACGCTATTAAATCACCGATGTTTCCATTTCTGGATTTTATTTTTTACTTTTTATTATGCATGTATTTATAATAATTATATACAGAACTAGGCATTTACTCGAGACTTGATACAGGAGTACTTTTATTTTTCAATTTTCGACAAAAAAAAATTCTTATGCTAATCATTTTTTTATTTAATTTTTTCTTTATCTAATAAGAAGTGTTAGAGAAGAGCACTGATATTAATAAAATACTAAAACTAAGCTTGATTGTGTATCAGAAAATTAACTAACTCACTACATATACATAAGTAAATAAACATATTTAGGATTTCGATGTTTGTACAAAATTTTTGACGAGCACGAATCCACATCACTTAATTATACTAATTAACGAACTCAAAGAACATAAAAACAAAAGAACAATTAATAACCTCACTCCTGAAAGCCATTTGAATTATGATACCTAGTTCCGCTACGACATTTTTTTTGCATTTTCATCGTTATTACGTACTTACGTGTGCCCATGGCTGTGTATGTTTGTGTGTGGCGCTCATATGCATATGTACATTTAATTAATAATAATAATTATTATTAATAACAACAATATAATTGATACGAATAGAAAATTATAGTTCACGATGAATGACTCGATTTCATTTTGAAAATTGAGGATATCAACACATATCGATCGAAAGTTTAATGGTCACTAGTCGTCATTAGCATGTTACTTAATCGTTCACCATTTTAGTCAATTTAGCGACGCTCACTATATTGTATTTTGGCCTCGGCCGCTCAAAGACTGCGAGAGCACAAAGCACGCATCATTCGCTATATTCTATTATAGATCTTTCTTTTGATCGCGCATATACTGGCTATCAGCTCTTCACACTCGTTATCGCTACTGCTTCCTCGAAATCGTGCCAAAGTCTCGAGATTCCAAACTCATTCAGTCGAGTATGACGACCATGTCGTCGGATCGTACCGTCCGTTGAGGTACATTCAGTCGACGCCAAGGCTTGCGAGCGGCTCGTCGCAACTCTATGGCCGTCAAAGTTTTTCTAATTCTCCTAAAAATGGGAAAAAGGAAGAAGCGTTAATTTGGTTAAATCCAAAGCGTAAACGACCGTGAACGAATAAAAGCAGAGAGAAAGATGACGATTGCTTACTTGGTCTGCTCCGTAGCGCGGAAGTAGAGGTCATCGGGGGCATCCATCCAGGACATGACTTGTTTGCGAGCGTTGCTCCGAGACATGGGCCCCTGAGACAGCATACCGTGAGGATGAGCGGCGCGACCATTGAGTGGCGTCGTAACCAGAGGCGGTATCACGGACGCCCCGGCCACGGTAGCCGGACTCGCGGCAGTGGGGTGATCGGCGCGCGCGTTAGCATGCAGTGGCTGAGCATGGTGTGCGCGCTTCGGAGGCGGCTGCCCCGGCGAGACTGCGTTGATGGCTATACCTGCAGCAAGCGGAAATCGGTCGCTCGTTAGAGCTGTCCTTAGCGCGGTCGCGAGCGTCGCTTCACTTACCATCCGCGCCGTTCAGCTCATCGAACGGTGCCCTTGTGCGCTTCAAAGTGTTTTGTGGCGTCTGCAAAATGGGTGGAACGGGAGGAGTGGCGGAGAGTCGATCGACCACGTCCGACTTGTTGGGCACTCTCTCGTAAAGAAGACTGCCGTCTGACGAACAGAAAGGCGGTTTTAGCGGGACTTGCCGGTCGTCGGGGGCGCAAGCCGCGCCGCGGGGACGCTCACCTGGCGCCTTGGGGGGCCGCGGGAAGGAGACGTGCTCGGGCTGCTTGAGCATGCCCGGAGCGGTGAGCAGCAGCCAGTCCCAGTCGCCGGGCTTGCTGGGCTGGGGGTGGTCGCCGAGGCGCGTGGCAATGTCGTTGACGCGCGGCCGCAGCCGCGGGCGCGGGGCGCGCCCCAGCAGGCGCAGCTCCTGCGGCGTCTTGGCAGCGAGCTGTGGCGAGGCGCAGAGGTGCCGCAGCGGCGCCGCGTTGATGGGCTGGTGGGGCGCGCGCGCCGCGTGCCGGCTCCTGAGCTGCGCGGCGCAGAGGCGGCGCGCCGCGCGGGCCAGCGCCGAGGTGCGCAGGTAGAAGGCCGAGCGCGTCTTCATGACGGGTCGCGGCGAGCCGCCGCCGACTCCCAGGACCGTGGGCACGCCGGCGGGCACGCCGCCGGTCCCGGCGCCGCCCCGCACGTCCAGCCCGTGCGCCGAGGCGTAGTGGCGGCTGAGGTGCGCCTTGAGCTTGAACTCCTTGCCGCAGGAGGGGATGCTGCAGCGGTGCGGCCGGTGCGCGCCCGCGGCGCCCTTGCCCTCCTCGTCCGAGTTGGCCCCGCTGCGCTTGCGCTCGGCCTCGATCTCGTCCATTCGCGTGGGGCACTGCAAAGGTAAAGGGAAGCCGGGGCGCGCGGCGATGAGCGCGAGTCCGAGGTCGGCGGCGCGCCGGCGACTTACCTTGAGCCCGCCGTACTTCTTCCAGTAGGTCCAGCAGAGCTGACAGAGGCGGTACTGCATGTGCGACGGCCCCCACGGGTACCACTGGGCGCTCTGCAGCGTCTGGCAGCTCTCGCACGGCTTGCCCGAGGCGGCGGCCAGCAGCATGGCCGCGTCCTGGGCCAGGTTGCCGTTGCTGCTGCCGTTGAGAATGCTGACGGAGGCCGGCTGCGGCTTGCCGTTGCTGCTGGGCGGCTGACTGTTGCCGATGGGGATGATGGAGGCGCCGCCCTGCGTGGTGGCCGGGGGCGCCGAGTTCTGCGCGGCGCCCTTGCTGTAGTTCGGTATGTAGACCTGCTTGAGCTTGCTCTCGGCCTCGACGGCCTTGACGCGCTTCTGCTGCACGTAGCGGTCGGTCGTCTTCCACATGTAGTAGTACTCGATGATGTTCTTGAGGCTCTTCCAGTGCAGGAAGTCCGTTCTGATGTCGCCAAAGTCCTTGCCGTACTTCTCGAGCGCCTCCTCGAAGAGGTTGGCCTCGGAGGCCGACCACTCCTCCATCTCGTCGCGGCAGAGCACCGGGCCCGAGCTCGGGACCAGGCTCGACATGGCCTTGGCCACGTCGTAGTTGTGTCGGTGAAGCGTGTCCATGGCGTGGAAGAGGGTGATGTCGCGCGAGGCCGCGGCCGCGGACATGTGCAGCGAGGGCTGCTTCACCGAGGACGAGCAGTCGAGGGCGCGCGCGAAAGTGCCCACGGAGCGCGACACCACCAGGAACTGGTCGATCTGGCGGTCGGTCAGCGAGTGCCGCGGCGTCCAGACCAGCTGCTCCAGGTCCTGCTGGCGGCGCGCGTCGGCCTCGCGTTCCGCCGCCGACAGTGGGTGCGCGGCGATGTTGTCCGCCTGGTAGCGGCTGCCCACGCGAATCTCGCCCTTGTCGGCGAGCAGCGTGCGCTGCGCCGGGTCGAACACCAGGCAGTAGAAGAACGAGTCCTCCTTGTTCAGGTAGGTCAGCAGCGACTCGGTCTCGTTGAGCAGGGTCACGCAGCACTTGCCGCGGATGTGGGTGGCGGGCATGGTCTCCACCTGGCGCGACAGGAACAGCTCGCGGTGCTTCATCTGGTGGCGTTGCTTCAGGCTCAGCTCGCTGGCTGCCTGGTTGCCCAGGTTGGTGGCGGCCACGACCGCCGCCGTGGCCGCGGCCACGGCTGCCGACGCCGCTCCCGCGCCCGCGATGCCATCGGCGCCGGCGCTGGCGCTGCTGCTGCTGCTACTGCTGCTGCTGCCGTTGCCCGGCATCGACGACGACGCCGCTGCCGCCGCCGCCGCCACTGCTGCCGCCGCCTTCGCGACGCTCTCGTCCACTCCAACTGTCGAAACGATCGCACTTTTAGCGTCCGCTTTCCCATCCTACTCGGCATGCTGCTTGATCGAGCTCTGTCCATCTCAATGTTACTCCGCCAGACTGAAATGCGCGCGCGCGCGCGTTCGCTTTGACGTTGCGCGCGGAAAGCCGCGGGCGGACGGACAAAAGCGCGCGCGGATATCGCAATCGATGCGGGACGAAGGCCTGGGATTCGGCCTGGAAAATTCTGCTGAAATTGCACGCACGCCGGGCCGCCAGCGAGAGCGGAGGGGAGAGGCGAGCCGAAAAAACGAGACGCGCGCGCGCGCGCGATCACGACTGCGCTCGGCGAAACAAAAGGAACGCTTCTCGCCAACGATTCGTTGCAAAGAGAGTGCAGCAATCGGCTGATTGTTGGCTTATCGGCGAGAGCGCGTCAAGATTACGGGGGGTGAGGGGCAAGGCGTTCACCTAGGCGCGACAGTCATCGAATGCAAGCGCAGACCAAGTTATCGCGAAAGGTCGTGGCAGGCAAAATGCGCTGACTGGGAGCAAATCAATATTACAGCATCGGTGGCAGCAATCGCAAGTAAATCTTGGCCAGGGAGCGTAAGTCCACTCGCATCGTCGGCCACAGATGCAGAATCGACGTCGGCGCTCGTTCGCACGCAGACGCGACCTCCGCTCGCTGCTCCTATCGTCCTGTCTGCAGGCGATGAGCGGCTCACGCGTATCAATCGTCGCAAGCAAAATATACGTAAACGAGCGCGAACGCATGCGACACTGAACAAGTATGTGTGCAACATCGAACAACGAAGACAGCTACATGTGAACGAGATGAAAGGAAAGCTACACATCGACGGACGGGAGCATGTGGGTGTGTACGCGAACGCACAGCGGAAGCCTCAGATTACTAAAGTGTCATCACACACGCAGCGTTGGCCGCCTCGCGAAAAAAAAAAAAAAAAAAAAAGAAAGAGAGAAAAAGGACCCGGGACGGGATGCTGGAGAGGAGAGAATGACACAACAGGAGACGGGGGAGAGACGAGGACGAAAGGGCGGCACACTCGTCGGAGCGAGCGTCGAGTCGCGACGGTGGAGCGCGCGAAGCCGGTGGCAGCATACGCGGCTCCGGCCATTGCGCGCGTGCCGGCGCTGCGGCGAGATGCACCGGAAAGAAGGTGGGAAGTGATCGGCGCGTGTGCGCCCGCTCCGAAGCCGCGAGCCAGGCTCCGGCTCGCGGCCGGCCTACCTTGACGCTGCCGGAGCGAGCAGCTCTGTCTCTTTGGCCTTACAGCGATCTGCCTAGTTCTCGCGGCAGCCGCCAAGATTACAAAGAATTTCGTTCGTTTTCGCTCGTGGACGGGACGAGGCTTGGCCAACGGCGCTATCGGTCGCCTGCTATCATCACTGGCTTCCGCCGCTGCGCGTTGCTTTCGCAACATCGATCAGTCGCAACGCGACTAGTATATAATATCAAGGGGCTTTTTCGCGAGCCGACGTGCGACGAAAGATATATGTACGTGTGCATGCGACACAGAGAGAAAGAGAGATAAAAGAGATACAGATAGAAATAGAGAGACTGTGTGTGAGAGAGAGAGAGAGAGAGAGAGAGAGAGAGAGAGAGAGAGAGAGTGAGAGAGATAGAGAAAGAAAGGTGGTCGATGATGATCGTTGGACTCACCAGCAGCGTGGTGGCAGTCGAGCCAGGGGGAACTGGCTGCGAGGCTCGCCGCCTCGTCCTTGGCAGACTCCTCGGCGAGCAGCTTCGGCAAGTCCGAGCTCTGCTGCTCGGCCACTACATGTCGTGCGTGCATGTGCATTCGGTTACTTTCTGTCGTGCTGTGCTCGCTCGCGGAACGAAAACGCGCGACATTCCGTCACAGGGACGCGGCTCCGAACGCGAACAAAGAATTAATCGGGAAAGCGCGCAGCTGTGCGCGCTCTGCAATTGAATTTCGGCCCGATCGATTCGAGCGACGAACTGCAGCAGCGATGCCGTACGTCCGGCACGCTCGCTCTCTCTCTTTTCATAGCCACCGTTGTCTTTCGCCTCGATATTACTTTTGGCCCTCCGCGCGCCTGCTAGTTATTGCACATCGTCCACTTCTCTCGAATAGAATTAATTAAAAGCACACGAGAAGTATGCGCTTTGATACATATCTAGGCTCCGCCGAAGCACGTCTTTCGCCCGAATTATTTTAACCTCCGTTTTTTTTTTGCTTTTTTTTTCTTTCGTTTCATTCCTTTCTTTTTTCTTCTTTGTTTTCTTTGTTTTATATATATGAGAGAAACGACTTTTCATCGAGCGAATTGTGACAAAAATAAAAGATGAAGAACAAAACTCGCTTGACAGAGTACAAATGAGAGTAACGCAAAAAATCAAACGACTCGGGCATTCGGAATAAGTTGACCTGCACTGACACTGATTTCTCAACGCCGTGCACGAGCGACAATATTGCAAACGCTCGAGAAATTGTAAAAAAAAAACAGCCCAGACGAGGTGACATGTGAAATTGGGTATTGGTGTAATTGCCGCAGACATTATTGGAGACACGCGTGCGCAAGGCATGAAAGACTAGCTAAGAAAAGATGGAATTTTTTAGGGGGTTCTCGGTCTTTTTATCGTTACAAGGTGCAAAACCGGTCGGCGTCTATCTGTGTGTGTGTGTGTGTGTGTGTGTGTGTGCGCGCGCGCGCACGCGAGATACATCAAGACGCCCGAGGCTTAATTTATAGTAATTGTTCGGAATCACGAAAGCAATCTCGAGTAAGGTGTATCCCTTTTCTCCGAGCAAAAATCATGCCGACTCTCGAGCCTCTACCTTTTTTGCCTGCTTTCGTATCAACTAGTTTCCCGCTACGGAGCTTTGACCACTGACTTAACACTACGTATACGAATCAATGATATCTTTGGTTGAACGCAGAGGGCAATCTCAACAGCTATCGGCTCGCCTAATTATCCAATGGTAGAACAACATTGACAACTGTCTCATCTCGCCGCATTAAATTCGACGCGCTCTCATATATGTGGAAAGAAATTCAAGAGGTACGCGTGCGCCGTACAAGCCAGAAGATTCGACACGAGTGTGTATGCCTGTGTGGGTTCGCGTGAAAGCGTCCAAGTGTTGGAGCAGTGAAAAGGGAGCCCCTGAGTGCCAAGACGCGCGGGGAACTACTGGCGCACACGCGCGCGCAGATACACAGTCGGAAATCGAGAGAAAGAGAAAAAAGTCTGCAGAGCGCGAGCACTGAAAATGAGAGTGCGAGAGACGCGAGATTCCAGATAAGAGCACGAACGTCGGGACGGAGGAAAGGAGAGATGGAGGGAGGGAGGGAGGGAGGCAAAATTATGACTCGGCTTCGGAACCGCGAAGAAGAAAGGAAAGAAAAAGGCAGTGGTCGCGGCCATATCTCGAAAAACCATTTTTCCGAGAAAAAACAAATAACAAAACCGAGCATGGTCGGCGACTAGTAGATGAAAAACAACGCAAGAGAGAGTATACATTATGGCCGAAAGTAGACAACGTCGACAAAAAACACAAAATGCTCTCCATATCGCGCTTGGTACTCTGGATAAAAAGTCGTGAGAGAAAAGCGGGGGAAGGGGGTGGGGCGCACATCCGGAAAATAGGAAGTGCGGCAGCCTGAGAGGGAGAGAGAGAGAGAGCGCGCGCGGCCGGTCTTTTTACGCGCACACGTATATGCGAGTACGCGCGCGCGAGAGAGAGAGAGAGAGAGAGAGAGAGGCAGGCAGGCAGGTAATGAAGGCGCTGCTGGCGGCGGCGGCGTCGGTGGCGACAAGAGGAGTAGGAGGAGGTGGAGATGCCAGATAAAGGGAGAGGGGCAGAACGAGAGAGAAACTGCAGCGACAAAGAGAGAGAGAAAGAGAGAGAGAGAGAGAGAGAAAGAAAGAGAGAGAGAGAGAGCAAGAGAAAGAGAGACGGACTCGAAACTCTCGTTCTGGCGCTGCCACGTCGATATGTTTCTCTGTACTCTGGGCTTCCAACGAAATTTGCAATAAATATGCAAACGGCCGTACGACTCGGCGTTGGCGGCAGCCTCGAGCGAAGACAGTGGCGCGGCCGTCAGCCATACTCAGCCGACGACGTTGATCGGCCAACGCTTCTTTCCGCGCCGAGGAACGGTCGTCGACGTGGATTTTCACGTGTAGTAAAATCGCGGAACAGGGGATCGAGGCAAAGTGGCGAGCGGCGGCGCGTGCAAGAGCGAGGCCGACAGCGGCGGCAGCCCCCAGCGGTGGCCGTACGGTGGACGGGGCGTCAGTCATTCATTTAGTTGGCCGCCACGAGGGGGTGGCTCTCTCGCTCTCGCACTCGCGCCGCGGCTGCCGCCTGCCTGCCTCTCTGTCTGGTCGGCAGAGCGAAGCGGAGCAGAGCAGCAGATCGATACAAGCGTCCCTCAGCCTCTTCCGCGTCCTCCTCCTCCTCCGCCTCCTCCAGCCCGGAACAGAACCGGCGTTCGCTCCGCTCTGCCCGCCGGCTTTACTTATTAAACATTCCTACTGCTCTCGCAAGCTCCCCGAACAGCCGAGAGGCCCGGCGCGATCATCGCCGCCGCACCAGCTGATCGCCATCGTCTCCTATGTTCTCTCTCTCTCTCTCTCTCTCTCTCTCTCTCTCTCTCTCTCTCTCTCTCTGGAGGTTCGTGCACTTTCACTCCGCGCCGATCGACCGATCTCTCGACCCAATCGGACAGCCACCGTGAGCCCCGGCCTTCTCGTTGCTGTACTCTACCCGACAGCAATTAGCAGCTGCCTCGCTCGCCGTGCGAAGGTAACGCCGCTCTCGACCCGACCGCACAAGGTCTCCGCCCGCCATCCGATAGGCCGCGATTAACGCCTAGATATATCCGCGTTGCCGTCGATAACTAATTTGTCTGTACGCCCAATCCGACACAGGAGCGTCGTCTCTTTTCCCAACCAAGCTTGTCCCCCTTTTCTCTCTCTCTCTCTCTCTCTCGAAAATCGATAAGATCCTCTCCTCCCAGCTCGCGTGTTTCGCGCAGCGACCATAGCTCCCCAAAAATCTCTCGCTCGCTCGTTACACGCGCCGTTCGTTTATTTTCGAGCTCGATTGTCTATCGACGTTCGCATACATTTTTAGCAGTGTTCTTCTCTTGTTGCGTAATGATTCGACCGAGCCGTTATTTGTAAGACGCTTTTCATGGCACAGAAACGAACAAACGAGATATTGCACGGAGCATCTAACAGTGTAATGCCCAACTCGTGCGAAAATCGCTTAGTCCGACATTTGATAGTTAAGGTACTTTGCAAAACGACGCGTGGAGAGCGCCAACCGAAGTGCGCGTTTTTCGCCGAGCGTGCGGCAAAGTCGTACTTTCCGCAGGGCCTGTTGAAAAGCTTTCGGTCGCACCAATTCCGTTTCAATTAGACGCATCGCCAATCGATACTCGATATTATTCCAATTAAAACGATGAATCTGCGTTTCCACTGCTAATCAAATATCTCTAGTCGACTTGAAAATACAAATCAATCTCTCGTGACGAATCCAGTCAATCGAGCTTACCAAGGAATATGTTGATTGTCGCGGAATTGGCTCAACTGCAGCAGCGGCGGTAGCAGCAGCAGCGGCGGCAGCAGCAGCTCGTAAAGTGTAAAAATACAGTTGCAACCACTACAAATAACGTTACTACCGATTGCTTCTAATCAGCTTCAATGAATGCACCGAATCGTCCATTTGGATCAAGTGAACGAGCACAATGCCCCTCTGCTATCCAAAACGCTTAACGATGCTCGTGCCGTTTCGACGCAGCAGATAACGACTTGGCGGTTGGTCGACGTGTCGCCGCTCACGTCATTTTCGCACAGACTTTTGCGTAAAAACGAAGAAAAACAAGACGCCAACGACGAAAAAAGAGGCACACAATGAAGCTCGAACGCGCAACGGCGTGTCCAACATCGGCGGAAAATCGATGCTCCCGACCCATACTCCCGGGCGCTAGGTTCGCGGCGGGCCGGCCGGTCAACCCCCGTTTTCGCGAAATTACGAGCGCGCGCCGCGTACCTACCCTGTTTGAAAATGGCACTCCGATTGCGCCGTGTTTTTGCGCGATTCCCCTATTCGCGCTCACATCGCCCGTACCACACTCGTCATAAAGCCTACGCGAAAGAATAGCGCGTGTAATTGACTGTGGCAGAGCCATGCATTTTCCAGGCCAAGCCTCCTTTTCTTAGGCATTGATGCGCTTGATTAGTGAGCAGTTAACACTAGACTTTGTTTCAACAATCCAATAATGTAGCTTATATTTTTAGACGCAGCTCGATCAAGTAGCCGTCACATTTTTCATTATGTCGTCGCTTGACCACGAAACTTAATGGGTAGGAAAAAGAAAGAATTCGTTCGTAAACGATGATGAAATGGCATGCTGTTGAAAAAGATTGAGAAGCAGACTCAATGAATAAAAGTATTGTTCTCTCATATGATTGCACGCGGACAGTTTGCGCCGAGGCTCGACAGTCGAAACACAGCAAGGCATAGCTGGACGCTACCTTGCGTTTCGAGCGACCCGGGAAAACCAGTAGGCGCGCAGTCAAGAAGGCTAAGAAACGAAATGTCGCTTCGGGTGGGCCGGGCCCGAGCTGCGACGTTCGAGGGCGCGTTCGAGAGCGCGTTCGGGGGCACACGCGAGATCGCCAGCGAAATGTAGCGGTGCAAGCTAGCGGCGGCCAATCCCGAAGTGAATCGCCTGTCGATGTCGCGATCGAAAAAAAGATAGCTGTAGGCCTAGATAGGTGGTGAACTTACACTGGTGTTTGTCGGCGAGCATGATCAGGGTCGGCGGCAGGTCCCTCCGCCTGAAGAAGCACATCACCTTGGCTTCCACATTACCATTGGCCGTCTGCAAGAGCCGAGTATATCGATTAGTTTTCCTTGCCTGTAGGTGTGCGTCGCTGCCTCTGTTGTGTTGGTGCGCGCTCGTGTAACGCACAGCGACGCTCATTACGCGCCTCTCCCTATACGTATATATATATTGGACAAACGGAAGAGAGCACACGGATTTCGCCTTTGATCTCCTCGCTCTAATTAATCCGCGCCCACGACTGCTCCTTTTCCGCACTTCATGGCGACAACTTTCCCTTGGTTCAACTCTACTTCCTTTTTCGGCCAAATATTCCAATGCTCTCAACCAAAACTCAACCCCAATCCGCACTTTTTCCCACCAAGTCCTTCGCCGTATTCCCGACAATCGACTGGTTTGATAACGAATCCATCATTTTAGACTGCATACACTTCTCCCGGCTTTTCAGTATAATAATCCAAGCTATTTTCATTAATGTTATCAATAGTAGTATACACATACCTTATTCAACTCCTCTATTCTTCGTATCTGGTAAGGGGAGTTCGACGATGTCTCAAAATAGACATAATCTGCAAAATAAAAGTCACAAAAATTTTATTGGTTCCTTTTACGTCATATTTCACGTATTCAATGCATTGCATACTTGTTTGAATAATGCCAATAATTTTTTTAAAGCGTTTTTCTCCAATCACGTGTCTTAGATTTAGTAATTTATCCAAAAACGCAACATGTATTTTTTAAGATGAAGCTGCAACATGCATACGAAGATCAAAACTCAATGGAAAGATCTATGGTATATGGTTTGACCATTAACAACGAACGAAACTTGTTGTGAGTTTTCGTTAGCTGCCCTTAAAAACTACAGAGAATATTGTCATGCAACCTGGTAAATGCTATTTGTATTGACATCGGCAAATCGTCTGCATACGAGCAGAGCAATGCTGCAAAATTGACAGATACATGTGGGCGTGAATCTACGCGAATGTTAGCAATCCCAAGCCTAATAGAAGGAAGGTAAGAGTACACGCATGGCTGGGGTGAAGGAATATCGCGCGGAAAAGAAAAGTGCGTAAGGTAAGCGAAGCAGGGGAACGCCGCGGTCTCAGAGCTGCGTACACGACGCGAATGACCCACTCGAATGCACTCGAGCGAGTGCAGCAGTAGCATTCTCGACACCTGAGCGTAAGTGAGTGGGTACCTGCGTGCCGCCAAAGTTAACGAGCTTCGACAGCGTCATTAAACAAGACACTCGTTTCTCGCTTTCTCGCTTTTTCTCTCTCTCTCTCTCTCTCTCTCTCTCTCGCGTATCGAAAGTCGCGTTGGCGCGACGCGCCGCTTAATTGAGCCGGTGATATTTGCACGCGGGAGAGGAGGGGTGGGACGAGAGCCGCAGAAGGAAGAAAAAGGACGGGAAAGCGGCTGAGGAGTCGAAGGCCAAGCCGAGAGCGCGACAGATGGGGATGGGGCTCGGTCGTATGGACGGCCGTAGAAGCGTGGCTGCTTCGCTGCGGGGGCAGGGACTCGGCTCAGCCCTTGGAACGAATCGCCGAAGAAACGCAGCCACGCAGCCACGCAGCCGAACGAGCCAACGGCTCTGTCCGCTAAGCTCGCCAAGCGAAGGCCAAACGAAGGCAAAGCGAAACGCGGCGGGAAATTGGCGCTCGTTGGCGTGCACGCGCAGGTGCAACGCTCCTCGCTCGCTTTCCGGCTGGCACGCCGCGCGATAGACGGCCTACTTTTTGCTCTACTCGATCATTGGAAATCCATTCGGCCAGCACCAGGTATGTGCACGCTATGCCAACGACGTCAAAGCAAATCAATTGGCTCGCCGCGCAGCCGAGACGATGTTTGCGAAGCGACCGAAGGCTGCCGAGGCATCCTTGCTCCTTCGAGTTTTAAGCGAACGCGAGATCGCGATGACAGGCGCGTCAATGGGAGCGTCAATTGGAGCGTCAAACGAGATGAGAGAACGAGTTAAAAATATTCTTTGAGCGTTTATCGATCGATCGCTCGCAGCAACAACTTCCGGCGAGCGCGCACTATAATGGTCAATTTCGAAGCCTGCATTTTTGCATTGCAACGGTTCATATTGGATTCCGATAAATATTGACGAGGAAACGAGCGAGCACATCGAGCATGCGGCAGCCAAAGATATAGATCGGAGAGGGCCGCGCGGTAGCCCAAGTTTAACGAGAAGAAAACTGGAAAAGACGAAGAAAGTGTTCGACAGGGATTTTCGTAGCAATTAGTGCAACTCAAACGGCAGGGCAGCATTGAGGAAAGAGAAAGAGAGAGAGAGAGCAGAGAGCCAGTTGAAGAAGATAGGAAGCTATATAATAGTCGACTGGCTAGGCAATGCAAAAGCGCGTATGTGTGTAGCAAGCAGCGGAGCGAGCGAACGAGAGAGATAGAAAGAGAGAGAAGCTATAACGGATTTCGTGCACGGTGCGCTCGACGAAGCTTTGGGGAAAACGGAAGGGAGAGAAGAGTGCGGCGAGCGAGAGCAAGAGCGGGGCGAGAGAGAAGGGGCCACAGGGGGAGGAAAGCCGAGCAATAAAATGCCGACAGAGACGCCGATGTGCCGGCAGCAGTGCGCACAGTACCTGAAAAAGAAAAGCCACAGAGAGAAAGAGAGAGAGAGAGAGAGAGAAAGCTGATTTGGAGGGGCCGATTTATTGCGATGCTATACCTGACCAGCCGCAGAAGCTTCGAGACAACTCGCATACGCACTCATAAACTCTCTTTCTCGACCATTAAAAATAGATTGACGTCGTGCGCGAGCTGATCGACTCTGCAAGACTTTTTCAAAGAATGCACATTGCAGCTGGCAAAGTTCCGACCCGCGGTCAGCTGCCGAATACTACGATGCAATTAATGATCGTCGCTGGCTACTGCAAAAAACTTTGATGATAATCCCGTCTGCGAGAGTCCACAGGCGATTGAACGCACAATTAACGTTGATCGATAGCCAAAGGCGAGCGGGCGCGACATTGAAAAAGACGCATATGGCAGGCAAAAGTATCGATTGGCCAAAGCGGAATATCGAACAAGCGGTGCACCGCCAGCAGCAGCAACAGCGTGCTGGCGTTCGGCAGACAAAGAGAGAGAGAGAGAGAGAGAGAGAGAGAGAGAGAGAGAGAGAAAACGCGAGAGGGCGATCGGCCTCGGACTGCAATCAGCGGCTTGGGCTAATCAGGAATCTGCTCGTGTACTTATTTCGCGCGCGCCTAATCAAAAAAGAGAAGACTCTCGACGCGGTAAGTAGTTGCCGCGATCTCTTTCTCTCTCGCGCTCTTGCTCGGGCAGGCCAAATAAAAAGAAGAGAGCGGAAGAGTGAAGGGGGAGGTTGGGGAGGGGGCAGTCTCTTTCTCGGCGGCGAGGGGAGTAGCGCCGGCTGCAGGGACGAACGAAAAGGAGGCAACGCGAGCAGTCAGCCCGACTAATGGAAACGGGGGGAGGCACACACACACTCTCTCTCTCTCTCTCTTTCTTGCTATACCTCGGACACGACGCACTCGCTCGCACACGCTCCAACGCCACTACTTCCACATCAGCCGCTCACCCATGTTCATCGCCTTTCAACTGTCCGCATCTCGCGCTTCTTCTACAATGCAGCTGTTTTGTCAACAATATTACCCATCATGTCAAACACCCTTTTCGACTTTTGACCATGGCTTTCTCTGGAATTTTTCAGTGCACTATAGCTCAAAAGCATGCCTTGTTGACAAACTTGACCCACAGCCTAAATATAGAACATTCCACTATTCTTATAAATACATACCATTGCAAATTGTATGAGATACACATAGTAGCTGCCTATACTACCTATCTTGCACTCATATAGAAACTTAACATATCTTTACTTGTTTTGTCTTTAAACCATTGGCATCACTTGTGTATGAAATTCATTGAACAGCGAGAGATGAGGTTTTCGTAGTGAAGATAGATTACTCACCTCCCACTCTATACATATTGGCTGTCATGTTGCTAGAGTCTTGATAGCCTCCGAGAGCGAAATTAGCGTTCTCGTGGTTGCTGTGACTTTCGTGATATTCGGCCGGCATCGGCATGAAGAAAGTTTAGTTTTTCTATTTCTCACATGTACACAGTACACAACTATTGATCAATGCAGCCGGCTGCTTCGCACTTTTTCAACAGCACTTTGCCACATTACGTTACAATTGTCCTTAATTGATTATCAAAAATGCTATACAAAATTTTATTCTTATTCTTCTGTAGAAAATATCAACTATTCTAATTTTCCAAGATTCCTCCTCACAATAATCAAGTTATCAGCTATATGTATCATAGATTCTGAAACAGAAAAATATCTTAATGAGTATATCGATGGTACACAGACTTATTCCTACATCAAATTATCAACAAATACCTATATACATTTTACTAAAGATGAAATAATCAATTAGATTAATTAATAAAACAAGTAGACATCAGAGCTCTCAAAATTTCAAATTTAAAAATACATTGTGATAACCTTAAAGATTGAGATTATTAAACTCAGTTGTTAGTATTAATAGTTTACACAATTTGATCAATCTAATAGTAAAAAACAAGAAATATTTCCAGTTAGATATCAAGTGTTTGGAGAACGAAGGTTGTCCCGATGAGGCATTTATCAACACTCATGACTATCAACAACGCAAACCTAACCAAATCACCAGGGATGATAGTTAGCGTGCAGACATACGTACGTTATTGTACAGTGTACAAATTGTGAAAGGAAATAGATTCTACTACTGACAAGTAGTTCGCTGAAGATAAAAAATTATTCAAGAGAAATCACCTGGCAGTGAGATACTGGCTGTTCTCGCCTCGTCCTACGAACAGCAGGGTAAGCGACAGAAGCAGCAGCAGCAGTCACACTTATTCCCGGTTCACAGGGTCTAAGCAGCATCCTCGTTGTACTCTGCGATCCCAATCTCTTTCCGGTTTGTTTCTTCGACTACAAGTTGCTACAGCAGCGGTAATAGAAGTAGCAGGGTAGCAACTCAGCGGCGCGGAGCAACACCGCCATTTTCGTTATGTGTATGTTGCCTCCGCAGCACAGCAGCAGCAGCACAGCACAGCAGCGGCGGCAAATGAGAAAAGCCGCACGCGACGCGGTGGATGCGCGTACTGTTTTTCAAAGCGTGTACGGGAACTTAGAACCGCGTCTTTTTTTCCTCTCTTTGGTTAATGGGTTCTCGAACGACGCGCGGGTCCGCTGCTAACGCAGCTCTTGCGCGTGTCTGCCTGTCGAATCGGCGAGAGGCAATGGCCGTTGGGGACAGACAATTCGTGTCTGTCTGTCTGTGTGTGTCTCTCTCTCTCTCTCTTGCTGTTAGCAGAGTAACTCACGCTCGTTACAGTTCGCGCCCACGCGCAAAATATCGGTGGCAGCGTCAAGTGGATGGTCGCTGGCTACAGTCGGTCAGCGATCGCGCGTCTTATCGCTCGTGTTGCTCGCCAGACTATACGTGGTCAGCGTGCAGCTATGCAGCCGCTCTCTCCTTGCACACGACTACCGCTCTAACGCACCGCTCTAGCTCTACTGGCACTAAGCTTGCTCTACAGAGTTCTACTAGACACACTACACGCGCGCGCGCCAGCGTCCCGTCGGCTACTCCACACGCACAAACGATATATATTATATATACTTACATTTATGCAGACCAGGGAACACGCACACGCAAACACAGACGCACTGGCGTAGCGGAACCGCCACGCAGCCGAAGATTGCCGACGCTAGCGTCTCCGAGCGGCAGATGTGGAAAACAGCCTATTCGACATGGACACGTCCTTGTCTAGCTGATTTATGGTCCCCTCGCACTCGTACCCTCAGACCCGGTTCGGCGGCCAATTCTCCTATATAGTGCCGTCTCGCTCTGACGCCGGACTTGTATGTATGCATGTACATACATAAGCTATAGCGCACGCGTACATACACTACACCGGCATCCAGTCACTACTGAACGCTACTGACATCTGCAATTGTGCCCCAGACCCGCCAACTTCCAAATACATCTATTTTTCAAAATTCTATTAAATTTATGTTTCATAACCGAAGTTTAGACAATACATAAACCAATCAGAACCATTTTTTAGCAACCCAAAAATTGGTTATAGTTCATCAAGCATTTGAATTTAATTTAAACTTCAAGAAAAAACCACATTTGTACCTGCGTTGATATAACTTTAATAACGGCTGTTATTGATAGATCACCAATTTGGTCGGAAAAGTAATAAAATATCAACATAAGGTTGTCCGTCTGTACAGTCGCTATATCCTTATAGATAAAACATGGAATAAAGGGATAAATAAAACTAAAATTTAGCAGTATATGAAATATTTATATTTATGAAATTAGTCTTTCTATACAACGTCTTTCATTCGTATCGCCTTTCAACTTTACTCTTCTTCTCTTTCTTTAATAATATATTTAATAAAAATAATCTGAACAGTCGACACGCGTACATAATAGCAAAAGATAATACAATAAATGATGGATGGATAAATGAAAGGAAAATCAATAGTTTTATCGCTTGCCATCGATTTAAAAAGAAACTTGAACAAGTCTCGCCTTTCTCGTGCAAAACAATACAATATATAAGGAAAGATATACCGTATTAGGAGAAATATATTTGCATTAGTGAAAATGCGTTTTTCCTTGTTTTTACAAAATAAATAGATTGGAAAAGAAAGTCTCATTTGCACAAAATCTCAATTCATTCAACATTCTCTCATCTTTTCAGTCTCTCTAGATTGTTGTCGCGCATTGTCCATTTTCATTTTTTTCAAAAATAACAAATACACACTCTCCTGTTCTTTAACAATTGAGTATACAATGTATATATATTTACATACGTAAATTGGATCAGCTTCAGTTAATTAGTCATTTCGCACGTTCCGTAAATTTTTTTAAAATAACCTTTAGCATTTTAATAGAATGAAAAAAGTAAATAAACATACATTTTTCGGTTGACCTGACAACAAAATAAATAAAAATAATACTATTTTCATTCAAAAGTACGTGCTACTCACTTGTTCTCAATAATCATCGTGTATTAATATTATTTTACATCATATAATGCCAATTTATCTAATAATAATTTACATCACACGATTCTTTTTTTTTCTTTAATTGATCAAATCTGCCATTATACTCACAGGTGGTACATTTGCTCATATATTTTATTACTTTTGTACGTTCCATCGCTATACCCTCTCTTTATTTATTTTTGTTTCATCAAGAAAACTAAGGCACGCACTATGTTCCAAGTTTATTATCCTTTTGTTTTTCAGTGATATTACAAATATAAATAATAAAATATTTTTATACATACATTTTTAAAATTTTCCAAATAGGCCCAGTCGAGTCTACTACAATTTTAAGAAAATTGAGGCACAAAGAGAGCTGATGGTCCAAAGTATTTTACGTGCACTTTATATAGAAAGAACGTTATACTTTCTAAATAAAAAAGAAAACAATGACACTAATATTCATAAATGTCGATTCCTTTAGGTAATATCTTTGTCTGTACATATTCCTTATATATATATTTCATATGTTTGCTCTTAAAATATAGAGGATAGTGGTACTTTTTATAATAATGGTTGTAATAATGGAAAAATACATCGTTAATGAAAGTCGATAACAAAATAAATGTAAGCAAAACATGGTGGGTTTATCTGCACTTGATGAACAATCTTCTCAATAAGCAATACTCATAGCTAGCGAGCAGTTGAGAATTTGAGTGCAGCTATAACAAGAACAAGAAACACTCTTGCCTCGCAAGAAAGAGAGGAAGAATAAACACGCAAAGTTACTGAGGAGGTAAAAATCAATAAAGAATGAAGTATTATATATAATAAAGGAATGGAAGGAATGGAAGGACAGTTGACTCTTTTTAAAAGTCTCGTCAATCACAACGAGCTATAAATTTTGCGCCGAAATTTTATAATACACGTACGTATTGCAAATTGACTTTCCAGTATTCTGCTTAATACTTCTGCAGCCTATTCAGCTACGCTACGCCGTTGTCAATTCTAATTTTCGATTTTGAAAAACGTTCGTTTACCTTATGAAAAATACATAGTATATTTAGGAACTTGACAACGACTGTGAAAAGGAAAGTCATGAAATATTTTTATATATACAAGTTTAATTAACCAAACCGTTTCTCATTCCGGCGACAAATCTCGCACAGTCGCCACATGCATTTTTAAATGTTCTGCTTAAACGACCTGCCCTTAATCATGTTGCGAATGTCTACAGGAATGGAACTTGTGACAATGCGATTCACAAAGTCACAATACTCAAGTCTTCATTTATCAAAATAGTTTGATATGTTTTTAGAATAAATATGTATATTGTTTAGAAATACAACTATAACACAGTTATTGTCTTTCAATATTACAGTTGTTTTATAGTTCTCCAAGAACTTGGTTGTTTAGCTTGATAAAGTGAATCTAAATCGTTATCTGTTTCTAGTTTTAGCATTTTAGAGAGAACAAAAATTACATTGATAATTTACTTTTGAATATTTCAACATCGACTTAAAAGAGTATTTTCGCATTATATATTTTCAATTAAAGTATAATAACTATAAACTTGAACTTTAGCTGACATTCAAATGTTTAGAAATTTTCTTATAAAAATATCCACAAAACAAATATTAAATTTAGATAAAAATTTGACGGCATTTTAGTTCTTTTGTTTATTTGTACTCGCCACATTTTTACATTTTTACGAAACGATATAGAATTGTTGTTTTTAAATCGGCATTAAAGATGTTCATTGTAAATTATCAAAATTTCATGTTGTATCCATACTCTTTATAAAAATATACTTGCATGTATATCTTCAATAATAATTAAAAATACTGCCAAATTTATGCTATAACATTGAAATCTATAATTTTTTATTGTAACTTTATTTATTAGTTTTACGTGGAATATACAAAGACGTAATATATTTCGATTTTTTGTTATTTAAATATTGTATTATTCAAAAATAAAAATTTTCAATAATTTGTGTGAAAATTCTACAAATTTCACAATAAATAATACCATATATGTTAATGTTACAGCTAATGTTTAAAGGTATGGAAATACTGAAATCTTACAAATGTAGTACTTTAATATAAATCATTAAAACTTTACATCCATAATTCAAAAACTAGAACATTATTGTAAAAGTGAAATTCCTTTCTAATTTGTCTTTTTGAAGGTTTTTTAATAATTATAATATCAGATATATTATGAACAACCCTACATACAATATACTTTGATAACTGATATGGAAAACTGAAAAGTTGTTAATAAATCTGCGCAATGAGCATTCATTTCACATATTTGCTTGAATATAAACGATATAGAAACCTTAAACTTCGTAATTGGCTGGTAATCTTCACAATTTGTATTCAAAATGAAAGGGAAATTTACCTACCGCATAAATGTTACCAAATGGTATGCAATAGAAAATAATATTGTCCTCTCATTTTATGTTAAAGTCACTCAAAATTAAACGTCTTTTTTTTACTCTCATAATAGTCAAAATGCTGGGCAAAGTCATTACCTTCAATGGCAAAGAACAACGTAATATTGAATTTGTTTAAAATCATTAACTAGCTTTATGTTTTTCTAACACAGCCAGTCTTGAGAGAGTAAAACATTCTAGAAAAAATATTGTCATTTAAGCAGAACAATGCGGTGACGAATGGTACGAGAATATGAACACCAAAAAACAGCGGTATATTGTCGTCACTACTCGAGTTTCTATCTACTACATACATACTGCTTAGTTTGTATCAGGGATGGACATTGCTAAAGTATTCATAACGTTTCGTCGTTGCACGGGCAGTGTTCGTGGGCATGGATTATTCAAAGTTTGCTTATTCATTTTCAAAACGTCCATTTGTAAGGCACCAACTTTTGGGCTCTTGAGATTCAACCCGCGTGCTTGGACAGATTCAGAGGCATATCTGTAATATATACATTTGATTTTAGGTATGTTAATGAAGCTTTGCTTATTTCATCGCATAAATAAATTTATAGGCTGTGTCGGGAAGCACAATTAGAAAAAAAACAAGCAATAAATTAACAATAAATATTAATAAACTAGAAACATTCAACAACATTTAACTTAATGTTTGACTGACCTGAAGGAGGAGTGAGAGTCTGCTCTCTGTAATCCTTGTAGTGATGTGCAGGTGGCGAAGGCGAGGGAGTGTGATGAGAAGGCTGTGGAGGCGCCGGGTAGAGGGGCATAGGCGGGTAATGAACCGGTTGCGAATAGTGCATCCAGCAAAAAGGAGGCGCCCGATAAGCAGCCGCCGGTGGCATCATCGGCATACCATACAACGGCGGTTGATGAATCGAGGATGCAGCAGCATTGGGGCTCAAGTAAGCCGCTGCCGCGGCAGCAGCAGCTGCCATACCCGGATCCATTCGACTAGAGCGCGGGTAGATCGGCTGCGCCGACGGCGACAGCTGGTGCTGTGGCGAGTGAACTTGGTGTTGAGGCGAGTGCACTTGGTGTTGAGGGGACGAATGATGATGACGCTCCTGGGGCTTCAATAGGTTGCGCAGAAAACCCGGCTCACTCTCCGGACCACTCGGCTTGTCCTCGCCTAGGATACTCGTTATGCTGTACGAAGATAGCTGCTTTGACACTGGAGCTGGACTTTCGTTTATATGCTTTTTCAAAAAAATTATATTTTAATTTCATCACTTTGCTTTTAAACATCACGGGCACGCGCGTGCGCGCGCGTGTATTATTTTTTTTTAATTATAATGCAAATGAAACGAATAAAAACTAAAATGTCAATGTTATATTTTATCAATACTTTCTATTTAGAAGTTAAAGCGTTTCAAAGTTGTCATGGTCTTATAGTCAGTGAAAACGAAAAATTAATTCTTAATTGATGAATACTTTTGCAAAATTAATGATGTTGAAAAAAATAGAATGGTTATCAATTGACATTTCATTAGTTATTTTTAGAAAACTACTTTGTCTATGTAACATTATAGAATTTGAATTTACCACAGTGGTGTTTGTGGTGTGAGGTGGTGTTGCCCTTCTTTTAGATGCTTGATCCTCAAGCGTAACTCGCTCAAGCTCGCGCAGTATACGCTTTCGTGGTGAGACAACATTTGGATCCAAAAGCCGCGCGAGCTTATCAATAATGATGTTGATGCTCTTATTGGCCGGGACACCATTGAGCTTGCGAATCCCTGTTGCGGTTAAAACTTGTTGCTGAAGTTGAGATTGTGGTTTCTGATGATTGGCAAGCGAATCTTGAAGCTGCGCTAGAGACGAATTTGGATCCAGTGGCTGCCTTCTTTTGCGGGCTATCAGTCTCGGATGAAGGCACAGTCGTGTTTTAGGATTACGTCGGTAATAAAAGTTAAACTTAGTCGATATGTTACGCCTGGGATGGCTCTGCTTCCAACAATGGTCGCGCTGCCATGGACTCGACTGGATCGACGAGTTATCGTCTGACACTATAGAAACATAAAAATTTCAAAGTCAATAAAGTTGTCACTTTATTAATAACTTCTCATAAACAATATATGAGCATGGTATAGAAAACTGAAATCTTCACGAGTTATTTTAAGAGACAACAGGTATTTATGATTAGAGACGTAATCTTATTATAACAACATTTGTTATATTTGTATATCACGTGAAACTAGGTGTCAAGGATTGTTACTATTGCACAATGCACCAAAATAAGGAATTGCTTTTTATTAGAACTAGCAGAAAAAAAATGTTATGTTTTTTTGAGTTTTTTTTAACTTAATAGTATTTATCATATATTTAGGAAACGATTTCTATTTTATGTTATTACTTAAGCAACTTCGTATATGTATTGAAATGAACATGCTAAACTTAAAGAAAAATTGAATAAATTAAAAAAAAATGAACGAATCGACGAGAGAAGCCAATGAATGTTCAGGAAAAAAAACACTGACCACTGAGAGAGGCCGAACTCTCCTGTCGGCTAGGTGTGACACTGGCTGGCGGCCAAAAGGTTTTCTTGGGCACAGGAAACCAGGTGGTTCTCTCGCCGTCTCTACGATGCGACAACTCAAGGATAAACTTGCCATCCTTAAAGAACTTGAGTCTACCCCCTGGAGTAGTGTGATTGCTGTTGTTGGGCAAACTTGCAGGAGCAGCAAGCTCATGTTCCTCGGTGGTGGTGCTGCTGCTACTGCTATTGGGCCTCTGCTGCTGAAGCTGAGGCTGAGGCGAAACAGGTCCTTTGCCATTGGATTGATGCTGCTGCTTACCCAGCTGCTGGAGCACCGCCGTGGAAGGCTCTCGCGAGCACATCTCTGTCATGGCCCTCACGTTGTGGCTTGCCTGAGGCTGCAGACTCTTGCATCCCGAAGACTTTTCACGCATCCTGCTGTTCTTGCACCAGCCATTCTTTGCCTGTAAATTTTTATTAAATGAATGAGTAGTTTACACGGAATGCCAATCTTTTCACTAGTTCATAGAAAGGACAATTCAAAATAATATCAGTCCTTATAAAATGAGTTATTAAATGAATCATCGATATAAAGCTTCTGTAAAAAAATATGACTGTGATAAATACATCCTTGCACATTCTTGTATTCATTAGCAACTATGATGCATTTTAGCAGCTTTTTTATGTTGGATTTTAATAATATTTTAAAAGTAGATTAGCATCAAATAATAACATAATAATCCCATAAACACTTCCATTCAAAAATAAATATATTACAAATTTCATAAACATGCTTAGCTTACATGTTCATAATTCACAAATGACATGATGACATTTAAAAATATTAAAACAATTAATTTTGCCATTACACCATGGATGAAGAAGATTGATCAATTCTTGTTTACAAATAACTATAGCATATAATAAAAAAAAGTATGCATCTGCTTATCTCAAGAAATATTTGTATCAAAAAGTTGTCATTATTTTGTACAGTTGCCTATGCGAATAAATATCCTTAATACACACCTAAAAAAGGATTATATAACGAATAGCGTATAATTCTGTTTCAAGTTTCATCAAAATCTATTCCAATTATCACTTGTTTCATCCATATTTCATCAAGGAAACCATGCCTCAGTTATTAAAAATAAAAAATTGGCAATAAATACATGAAATGAATGCACTTGTTAAAAATACACTTGAACCTGAATCACTTCTGTACCACTTTTCACTTCCTGTTTAAGTATATGTATCAGCATCTCACTTTTCCAAAAACGAATATGATAGAAAGAGAAAACAGTACGCAGATATGTACCTTAGCCACACATTTTTGGTAGTAGGTTGTTGATCCTTGATTTGCCAGATTTTACAAAGTTGGTGTCAAACCACAATTGTATTCTGCATTTGTTGGAAGAGTAACAGCAGCTTGAAGGGCTGGCAGCGATGAGCACTGGCATGTGCTTTTTGGTTGCACCAAGAGTCTTTAACCAAGCAGCCAAAGCTGTCGTTTTTAGGACTGTTCAACACCCACGTAAAGCACTGAATCGGTGGGTAGAATGCGGACGATTAGCAGCCTCGATACCGCTGCTCTGGGGAATGCGATACTGCGTTAGCGCATCGCAAGTGCAGATGTGACAATCAAGTTGTCCGAGAGGTGACGAGACGAGTCACAATTACGGGGCGAGGGTGCAAGAAGTTGGTTCGGCAAGCACAGCAGCTGCACAACCCGTATGACCTTCATGCGCCCGATCCGAAGAGAGTTGCAGCGGCAGCGGTGACGGTGGCGGCAGCAGCATCATCATCCTCTCGTGCGGACACACACACATGCGCGCCAGTTCTCGTATCGCCGAGTGCATGAAGCAGCAGCACCGTGGCACTCGAAGATGTTGTTGCCATTCGGCAATTAGGATATACGACGGAATAGCTGCAGTGCGTATACGCGTGTGGGTGTACGACGTGCTTGCGTGCGCCGCCCTCCCTCGGGGCGAGGGCCAAGTTGTAGATCTAAGGCGAAGAAACGGGAGCGGTTGCGGCCAAATGTTTGTGAATGCTAGCCTTTTACCCCGTCCATTTGGCAGCTGCGCTCCGCTCTGGCTACTGCTGCTGGCACTTTCTCGCGAATTTTCGAGGTGCGGAGCTAGCTCGCTCGCACCGTTTGCCGAGTGCGTATGGCCAGCTCTCCTCTTTTGCTCTTACTCCGTCCTCCGTCAGGCGCGCTCTCGCCAATCTGTGTGTGTATGCGTGTTGGTATGGGTAATCCGGGTGCTTCCGTTTCTTTACGTGGGCGCCGCGCGTTTTTCCTTCTTTTTTCGCTCTCTCTCTCTCGCTGGCGCGCGCCTGATGCACACACACACACACACATACACCGCAGCCGCTTCGTGTTTTCAGTCTCTCTCTCTCTCTCTCTCTCTCTCTCTCTTTCTCGCTTCGTCCGGCCGTTGTATGTATATGTGGGTCCGATGGCCTGCTAGTACTCGTGTGCGGCCGCCTTACGCCTTCGGCCGTTTCTTTTTTTCTCCAAGCTCGTAGCTCGCTCCGTCTCTCTCTCTCTCTCTCTCTCTCTCTCTCTCTCTCTCTCGCTTCCCAGCTCGCTACTCCTCGCTTCTTGTGTGTGCGCGTGTATGCGCGCGCGAGAGAGTTTCGTCGCGAGCTGTTGCACCGTGACTGCCTGCCACGACTGCTTTCATTCTCTCTCTCTCTCTCTCTTTCTCTCTTTCTCTCTTTCTCTCTTTCTCTCTTTCTCTCTTCCTCTCCGCTTGTCTTCCACCGATCTCCGAATGCTCAACTCCATTCGGAGACCCATATGCCACCTCGATTCAGTGTACGCGCCACTTCAAACTATCAAAATTTTTGTAGTAATGCTCCGAAGCTCTACGGAAGTGAGAAAGAGAGCGAATATTGTAGCTTAAGCCTATTCTGTGCTGTTTTTAGCGCGCTTCTTGAGGCACATCTTTAAAGGATAATATCTCTAGAGCGAGGAATGTTAGAGTTCTTTACTCCGTTCGTTGCGCTCTTGTTACTTTCTCCGTCTTTCTGTCTTTTTCTCTTTCTATTGCAAGCCAGCAAAATCGCTGACTCTCTATATCTCCTAATTGTTTTTTTACATCGTTTCATCTTCCTTTTCTCTCGCGGACAGCGGAGAGGCGCCGCCGTTTCGTATGATGAAAATTGTCACGAGATCAGCGTTTCGCTTTCTTTGATCGTTGTTGTAATTCTTCTCGTGAAAGACGTCACTTATTTTTTTTATCTTTTACATATGAATGTCTGATATAAATAGCTTAGGCTGTACATTTTACGGTTCAAATAAATTGCAAGTCTTGGCAGCTATTTAAAAAAATTCCGAGGACAATGCGTATTGTTTCTGTAATTGCAAAATATTCCATTGTGATTATGCTTGGAGATCAAAAAACTTTGACAACGCAGGCATTCTTTCCTCCTTTACGAACTATTCGACTATTTCCTGTATATATACGATATAAAATTAAAACGTATACAAAACTATTCAACATTATTGTGTAAGTTTGATGAATTTCCCCAACGTTACTTGATGTATATCATTGCGCTACAATTATAATATATTAACTATATTATTTGTGTTTATTTCATTAATAGATAGTATATTAAATAACTAGTGCAGGAAAGTAGATTCTTGTCTCGTATGAAGCTTACGCCTGAGAGAAGCGAGGGTGGAAAGACATACGAGACGATCTCTTTCCCAAACATGTTATACACACACACACACTGATATACACGCAGTATTTCTGAAAACGACTTATGGAAAGCGCCTATTTGAACGCACGCTCGCTTACATTGATCCTTATTTCACATGGTCTTTAAAGATACTGTATAGTCAACGTGTTTAAGAACGAGATTGTCATTTCACGTATCTTTCCACAAATAAATATAAACATTTTTAGAGCAATACTCCGAAGCTTAGTAATACGTCGAAGCCTTTCTACAAAAGAACGCGTGGAAAGCGTTTTCCACACGTTGTTTTGAAAAATACCGTAATATACATGTTCAGAAATGAGATTATGGTCTCGTGTGCCTCTTTCCATCCTCGCTTCGCCCGGGCGTAAATCTCACATGAAACAACAATCCAATTTCCTGCACTAGTTAGGTAATATGTTATTAAGATTATGTAATAAATTTTTTTTATTTCAACAAAATACATTTTAACGAAAAAGTACACTATCGGCCATTGCAAGCCAATAATTGTTAAGTAATGATTAATTGAAAAATACCTATTTTACGATGAATAATTTAAAAGCCCGCGAGGAACTCACGCATACAAGCAAATGGGTATTTCGTTTAAAAGTTAAAACGTTCACATATATGCTTACTTATGCTCATGCATATGAGTGCAGTAAAAAAACACCCACCATATTCAATAATGCGCGCGCACCCGAGGATCTTACACGAGCCGTGCACGTAGTAAAAAAAGGAGGCGTGAGCGAGCAGCGCGCCATCAGTGACGAATTTTCAAAATGGCGACTACCGAGCAAGTGCCGGCTGAGAGCAGCGAGAACAGCACTTTCGTCACGGAGAACACGGTAAGTCCTAATTTAATAAGCTTGTGAACATCGCAATTGAGTATTGACATCTCGTGGTTAAAATTTTAATCGTGCAATAGCTGCAACGTCGTGGTAACATATAGCTCATATGTACGTTCGCAGCATCTTCGCTTCCTCTTACTTGCTTTCTCATTCGTTCGCAACACCTCGTGAAACATATCGAGTAAATTGAACATTTGATGGTTAACGCACGCGTCGCTTCCATGCCAGTTGAGCGAAAGCACGCGTTTCTGAGCTAATATTTTGTGGCGTGACAGTACACTCAACGGACAAACACTTCAGAGGGTGAGAAAGGGGTTATTATGCAGTATTTCCTCGCGACATCGATTCGTCTCATGCGCTCACGAATATACTACAATACACTGCTTATTTACCGCGGTGCGGCAATCTAAAAGAGACGCGGCCGTTTTGGCGGGCACGTGGTGCGCGCGAGTTCCATATCCGTTGTTGGTTAGACAAGCACGCCACTATTTGACGCTTTCTTCCATTGACTCTTTATACTTCATTCTCTTTCGGACGAATTACGTTCTCCGTAAAGTTTCTTAAACATTTGTTCAATTAACAGCATAATTTTTTTAATCACATTTCGCTGTTACCTCCAACCGTTTGCATGATGAATAACATTGTAACGTATCCTTTCCATTTTCTTTTTCGGTTTTTAATAATTGAGTTTCGCGCCATCTTATCCAATTTGATTTTGAATTCAACTCATGAAATTTCTAATGTATCTTGATTGCTGCTACTACTTAATTATTTAATTTCCACAATCTATTTACAGCATAATCATTTCATTTAATTTTATTTGATTGGTGCATATAACATTTTTACAAATTCATTATCTTCCATTTGCTATAGTTTATAACTTCTTCATTTAAAGAAAAACAAGAAAATTGCATCTTTTCCATTGCTTATGCGAATATTTCTTGTAAAGATTATAAAGTTATTGTTGTGCATTTTTACAGACATCTAAAATGGAAAGCATGGATGTCACAGAGCCAGTAAACTCGGTAACAGCCAACAAAGAAGCAACAACTACAGGTTCAACCAATTGTAAAGATGGTGTAGCAGTTGATGATATGACTTCAAGAGATTACTATTTTGACTCGTATGCCCATTATGGAATTCACGAAGAAATGTTGAAAGATGAAGTACGAACAGTAACGTATCGTAACTCTATGTACCATAACAAGCATCTATTCAAAGGAAAAATCGTATTAGACATTGGCTGTGGAACAGGAATTCTTTCTATGTTCGCTGCTAAAGCTGGTGCTGCCAAAGTCATTGGTATTGAATGTTCCAACATTGTAGAGTATGCCAAAAAAATTGTTGAAGCCAATAATCTGTCTGATGTTATTACGATTATCAAGGGCAAAGTAGAAGAAGTTACTCTACCAGATAGCATTGAAAAAGTTGATATTATTATATCAGAATGGATGGGTTACTGTTTATTTTATGAATCTATGTTAGATACTGTTCTTTTTGCAAGAGACAAATGGCTTGCTCCAGATGGAATGTTATTCCCTGATAGGGCTACATTGTACATATGTGGAATAGAGGATAGACAATATAAGGATGAAAAGATCAATTGGTGGGATGATGTCTATGGCTTTGATATGAGCAGCATACGTAAAGTTGCCATTAGTGAACCTCTAGTCGATGTTGTTGATCCTAAACAGGTGGGTTTTAAATAGGTTCTTTAGTAGGGGAAACGGTTCGGTTGTGGACACTCTATGGTTTTTGGTTCATAATTTGTCCCCAAGAGCACAGCACGATCAGACGTGTCTGTTTGCTTTGGTATTTGGCATAAAAAGATTGGGTTGCCATAATATACAAATAACAAAACCACATCTGCATTCTCTTAACAGAAATACAGGAGAGTATCCACAACCCAACCATGTGCACAACCAAACTCTTCCCTACTATTAAATAAATCTAAGTATGTTTTTGAATAATGTTCAAAGTCTCAATTCTTGTATATTAATCAAAAATAGTTTAAAGATTTATTTACATTAATTTTTTTCTATTCTCAACAGGTGGTGACCAATGCCTTCTTAATTAAAGAAGTTGATTTGTACACAGTGACCAAAGCAGATTTGACATTTTCATCGCAATTTGTACTACAAGTTCGGAGAAATGACTATGTTCAGGCACTTGTCACTTTCTTTGAAGTTGAATTTACCAAGTGCCATAAACGCATGGGATTCAGTACTGCACCTGAATCTCAGTACACGCATTGGAAACAAACTGTCTTCTACTTTGACGAATACATGACGGTTAAAAAAGGAGAAGAAATCTACGGTAAATTTTCGATGGAGCCTAACGCGCGTAATTATCGGGACCTAGACTTCACGATTGACATCGATTTTAAAGGCGAACTTTGTCAAATACATGAAAGCAACCACTATCGTATGCGCTGATACCAACGGGACAATTTCATTGACAATATTCAGGCCGTGTATAGTTACTTTTGAACGAAAAAATGACCATAATATTCAAGAACTTTGTGACTACCGATAGAAGCTGGAATCGAAGATTAAAACGATACACCAACTGTCATGTAAAAACGAATAAACGGATTATAAACGTTATTAAATTTGTTTGTCTAAATGTGTGTGCCAGCAATTGTTGGTTACTGTCGCTATTACTGAAATTACATACAATTTTTTTACGTAAATCTAGAGTTTTAATTTCTTTTTTGAAACCGCTTTTACTGTACTTCCAATTTTGTAACTTATTATAACCACACTGACAACAATTTAGTAATTTTAAGCAATTTCAATGAAATATAAAACTTATTATCTTGTAGAAAAAGAACATAGAACATGAAATGGCATCGAAATTTATTTTGATGATTTTGAATGAATATTACGTAATTTTAAATAAAGACATTGTTAAGATATTTTAACATGAAATATATTGATTTTCTTACACAAATTTTAAAACATGAATGTTTTTATCCAATTTGTAATAATATCTGATATATAAATACAATATAAAGTAACAGAAATGTATAGCTTATTATTCTTTTGTATCACGAATCACGAAATATAAGTCTTGAATTTGCAGCAAAGGCGCAAGTAAATGGAATGCCAAGACTTTCATACTTTAATAATCCAGAATTGGATTCTAAATTTTATGAAACATGTTTTTGTTTTGCCACGTCTTGAATGAATTTAGATTTTTATATTTGGAAAAGTATTAACAAAAATGATCGTCTGTTACGTAGAATCATTGTTATTGCTTATATCTATGTAGAAGATATATATTGCGTGGCTATTATATATACTGAATTACCAACTCTAAAAATAAATACTATTCTTTGCTAAAAACACGTTTCCTTTTCTATTGATATATGAATCACCGCATTTTCTCCTCAAAGCTCAATAAATTATTAACACCTACGTTGCTAATCCTTTCAACGAGTTCGCTAATTTTTGTGTCTTATAATCTGTCCTAAGTTGTATGAAAGTTGAAAGTATGGAACGATCCAGCATTGCCTGTGAAAAATTCATATTCATAGAAATTATGACGATAGAAAATATTTAAAAAAATTTTAAATTGAAGATTATGAAAAGAGTATTATTCTTTAATATTTCAGATGTTTAATCTAACCTTACAATAGGTTGAGTATTTTCCTCTTTCTGGCGTTGATTAAAAGATCCAAAAAGATCTTGGATTGTTGAAATCATGCGAGGAACACCTGTAGTCTATATGTAATATTATATAAAGTAAAACGTACCAGCTGATCGCCAGAGCAAACTTGCTTGAGGTTCTCCGGTTTGACGAGCAGCAGATTACACAGTGCGTGAAGCGTGTCGAAAAGGGTAGTGACCAGAGGTACGCCAAGCTCCTTGACGCACTTCCTGTACTCATTCATGTCGCAGATCGCGCACATCGCGCCGGCTGAGTTGAATTGAAACTGCTGCAGATGCTCGTAGATGACCCGATGGAAGCGAATGCCCAACTCGGTTAGCACGTTTTCAAGGCCTTTGCCGTCGAGTCGATCCCTAATGTGACGGATCATTCCAGAGACATATTGGCAGACAGTCAGACACGCCGGTGTATTTAGAGTATCTACCATCTCCGTTTCCGGTTTGAAATCGGTCTTACGTTGCTCTGTTTGCAAGTAGACTTTTACCCAGCCGACAATCGCATTTATGCTACGGTCCAAGCCAGTATCAATTTTCGATTCTATTTGCTCCAGAGCAAACTTTTTCTTTGCTAGACAGTCTGCATGCTTAGGCGACGATCTAGATTTTTCAAAAACGTTTCACTTATAAATTACGTATTTGAATGAATTACGTAATATAAAAAAAATTTTATATTACATACTTTTTCAATTGTAAAAAAATGTAAAAAAAACTTTGTCAATACATTAACACACAATCACTTTTAATAAAGTAATTATAAAGAATAGTATACTGACATAATTAGCGGCAGTAGATCTCCACAGAATTGTTCTTCCAACAGTCTTATAATAACATTGCATTGTCTTACGATAGTAAAGAAGTGTATCTCGGGTTGAGTCCTACTTTCGGGTATAGGTACGCATTGCAGGCCAAGTTCAAGTGCGTAATCGATGTGCTCGTTTATAAGATACTGGAGAGTCGTTTCGAGAATTTGGGTAGCATTCATAGGCAACTCCGAGGGTTGTGAAAGTAAGGAACACCTTTGAAGCGCTGTCTTACTTCTTTGCAACAAAGATATCGCTAACTCTTCGGATAAAAATGTCTCGCCACCATAGTCTTCAATCTGAGCAATGTTGATGTTAGTGCGCGTGCTTAAAACCGCTTGCAAGTCACGCTTCAACTCTTGAAAGCCTCCACTCTGCAGTTGCTTCTTTTGGTGATTCTTTGACTCATAGTACTGAATTAAGAAAGCTGCTGATTTTTCTCGCAACGCCTTTATTTCCACGCTGTAATTTTATATTTCTATTAATCACTTTATTATAGTATAAGATCACAAGGAATTACGCGTGTAGTTAGCAATCTGTCGTTATTTACTTTAGATTTAAATTTACTTTAATACTTTATTTTAAAGATAAATAAAGTTTCAAACATCTTTTACAAAAATGACAATTAAATTGATTAATTATATGACCAAGAAAATCTTTTTTTCTGCGTCGAGTTTTGAGAAAGCCACAATGCAATGGATGGTCTCGAGAACAGTTGTTATAAGACGAAACAGCAGCCATGCGAGCGCTTATATAGTTTTAACAATAATAACAACAACAGAATCAACAACAACAGCCTCAACAAGCAATTACAAATTTGGTAAATTTACTGATATGCAGTACAACATTTAATATTAATATAATTAACACTATAATATTGCTATTTCTATTATTATTCACTTGTTTGTGTTCTAATTGCTAATTCATTTGTTCACGATTTACTAAGGATTATTGAGATATTAATAAACTTTGTTTAACGTGTAATCAACAATAAGTTATTAAGAAAGACAAATAAAGTTTTAAATATCTTCTTTTTAAAATTTACCAAAAATTGATTAATTATGTGATGTCTATAATAAATTAATATACAAACTAAAAATACTAATAACAGAATTAAAAGTAATTGTTAAAACGTACGTAATATAAGCATCTAAATGTTTTTGAAAAATATTTCTTGTTAACTTTGGCAAGTATGTATCATCAGTGCCCATATCAAAACTTTTTAAGTCACCAGAAAGTTTGACGGTTTTCGAATACAGATCATATAAATTGTTGAGATACTTTTCTGGATCTGCTCGATCTGCCAATTTTGCTACAGCATATTTCTGTATTCTCAAATGATAGATATTTAGAACAAATTTTGCCATAACTTGTTCTGGATTAGAAAACACTTGTTGTATAAGTTTATAGTTTTTGGTACACATTGGTAAGACTTCTTGAAAAACATCTTTTCCACCAAATGAGCTCATCTGACTTTGTTCAATGAATGCATTTATACATTGTGAGTATCCCTTGAAGTGCATCAACATCGAAGCCAATTTTTTCATTCTAGTAGCATCTTCTGCACTTTGAGCTCTTACAAACTCCTCGATTAAATTTCTTTCAATTTCATCATATTTGGTAGCTATTTTTTTCTTTGCATTCTCAAATTTTTCTGTAGGAAGTTCTTGTGAAATCACATGAAGTTTTTGAATAACATCTGCTGCTTCATCCAACTAAAACAAATGGTGACCATACTCTACAGTTAATACTAAAATGCAGATATAATATATTATTCAATTACTTACTGATGCCTTTTCTGTAAAAATTGGATCAGTCAATGGACCAGGACTCAAAAATTCTGAAAAATGTCTCATCAATTTTTGTGCTTCAACAGTTCGAGCTCTGGGAGTATTTACACTTTCTAATTGATCTCCCAAATGGAGAACTTTTATCGCTACAAAATTTATTCTTTCATCTAATTGATGAAATAAATCTATTGCTTTTCTATTTCTCTCTCGTAGATCAGACATTTCTAATGCATGCTTTGCTTTTTCCTCCTTCAGTGCAGTTTCCAATTTATCACACTTTTTTTGTTGCCTTTCCTCCAACACTTGCAAATCTTTTATTGCTTGTAAAAATGTTTCATGAACCAGAACTGGATCAAACACACCTGAAACTCCATCTTTAGTGGTATCGTTAACTGTTCTCCAAGCTAACCTTTCAACAAATTCTTCAGGATCAAATGGCTCCTTTAAGAAATAAAAAAAAGTTGATGATACTTCACTTAGCAAATTAACTAAGTGTTGTTAATTTAATAATAGTAGAAAACATTTTTACGTGTACATATTTAAAAAAAATATTTTCACTGAAACGCTAACCTGTTCTAATTCTTTCATATATTGTTGCATCATCTTGACAACTTAATTGATAAAACACTACAATAGGACAAAATAATACTTTCTTATAAGTAAAAACGTTATAAAAATAGACACACTTTGTTTACATCGATATTGACAAGTTTATTAGTTCGTCATGTTTTGTGAAGTATGGAACAATTGCTATTCTATACATTTAGTATTTAGAAAAAATTTTGCTAAGGATTGTTACCGATATATGACAATTACCGAACATCGCAATAATGAAAACAGATTTGAAGAGAGTGGCTTTTATTGTCTCATTTATCAAAATTGAAAAACGGAATTAAAGTGACTTTGGATCAGCATATTGTATAGCATGCGCGCGCAGTTTGATGCCGTCAACCTATCGAGCATTCGCGGATGAAAGAACTCAGCGTGAACTCGACGAAAATTGATTTGAAAAAATTCTATATAAATTACACGTAACTGGCAAGGAGAGCAAAACTCGTTGATAATTTTACACAATTCAGATCTTCTTAATAAAAAAATTCCAAAAGTTAAACGCTTCCAGATAGAAGAAATATATTGAATATGCGCTACATTTTATTGCTGTCTTTGTAGAAATGAATCTATTAACAAAAATTTTCTTATTCACTGAAAATATTATAACCATCCGTTGGAGAACAAATATACTATTTATCATATTACAGCGATAAATGCCCTTGTAAGATCATATACGATAACCTAGATCTACATTTTTATGGGGCAATACTCTCTCAAGAGAAATTGCATTGTTATAATCAAATCTACATCAATAGGAATAGGTTATTTTTTAGAAGAGCCGTTAATGTTAACTATTTGTTAGAATTGGATTTTTTTAATCTAGATAAGTCTTGGAGTACTTAAAATTATTGGTTATTGAAAAATAGTACATTACGAGACAAGTGCTGAAAAGTATAGATTCTTGTCTCGTGTGACGTTTACGCCCGAGCGAAGCGAGAAACTCTTTCCCGAACATATGCCGTACCGTATTTTTTTATATGACTTGTGGAAAGTGCGATTTTCAACGCACGTTTTCTGCCGAGCGTGCAGGAAAGACGCACTTTGCGCACGGAGTATCGAAATGTACTATTAATTCATTGGATATTAAATAAGTAAGCATCGGCATATACCAGCTCTTAACATTTAATTACTAATCGGAAAACTCGATTTGCATTAACGAAGCTACAAGAAAATTGTAAGAGTAATATATTTTATTCTTAGCATATTGCTATTTTTGAAAAGTAATTTTATTAATATTAGTATGAACTTGTAAATAAAAGTATGACAAAAGTAAACGGAATAATTCTACGACTAATACGATCGTGAGTGCTTTGATCTATTGACTTCGAGTGGCTGCTGAGTTCCTTCATCCGAACTGTATAGATAGTAAGCCGTCCTGCGTACTACTATTCTCAACTCTATAGGGTATACCACACGGTCCGTTTAATCGTACACTTCGTTCTGTACGTCGCAACGCACGAAATTTGTAGAATTCCACCTCAGATTTCACATTTATGATGATAGAAATAATCTCATTCGAAAATGCGCTGCTATAATGAGTATTTTCAACTGTTTATCTTATTATTAAAGTGTGTGATTTTTCTATCTTTTGAATGTAAAGTTGTATGTACACAAACATTTATTGGATATTTGAAAAGAACGACCGCAGTTTATGTCGGTTGATCAGTTCAATCAGCTGATGTCATCAGAAAGAATGAAGCATTGAGTGCAGTGCTCATTCGCGTACGCAGCTATAGCTATACTTAATAACTAACAACGCAGCAGCTGGCGGAAGAAGGTTGACGTGTATCAGATTGTGTGGTTGTGTCGTGCGTCTTTCAGATGGTGCGTGCAGACTATAGTCTCAGAGATGATGAATGTTAGATAGAAACACACTGATCATCGTAGCTCAGTAGTTTATTAAATGCAAGAAATTTTTTAGTGTATAAAAATATGTGGTCGTTCTTCTCGCGTGATCCTACCAAGGATTTTCCTTATGAAATTGGCGAGCCCATAGAAGGGCTTGAAAACAAGAGTATTTGGAGTCTCCATAAAGCCAAAAAGAAGGTAACAATGCAACATCCTTACAAGATGATTGATTATGAGATAATGAGTCTTTACTGTTATCGACTGTATAACATATTATTACAGTACTTTGCTCTTTCTTTGAACATCCATTATAATAGTCCTATTGAATATGAGTCCTATTTTTATGATTGAAATAACATTGATTTTATTATTGACAAAATGTTTCTGATACTGGAACTACTTTACAGGGGACAACAGCAGCAATTGGAGGTGAAGATATATCTGTCTTTGTCTTCCAAGTCAAACCTGGTGCAGAATATTTGTTGGATATTGCCAGAGCGGCAGTTAAAAGACTGAAAACTTTACGTCATCCAAGCATTCTTGCTTATTTAGATAGTTTAGAAGTAAATAAACATGAACTTTTTTTTAACCATTGCTATTTAGATATTTCAATGAATTAACATATTTTTGATATTACAGACAGATAAAGCAATTTACTTGGCTACTGAACGGGTAGAGCCCCTGCATAACCGTCTTTCCAGAATTGCTGATATTGGTGATGGAGTAAAACGAGAACTTTATTTGTCATGGGGAATTTTTCAGATTACTGTGAGTCAGTTACTGGTTATAAAACTCTTAAATAACGTATCTTACTAAAATGATAATGAATAATTCAAGATTTTTAATATTTTTCTAGAGAGCTTTGAGTTTTTTAAATAATGATGGTAATCTACGCCATAATAATGTTAATGTATGGTCAGTTTTTGTTAATGAAGAAAGTGGAGAATGGAAGCTTGGTGGTGTTGAATTTATGACTGCTGTCGATGCTTCTTATTCCTCACTACCACATGTGCTTCAAGTTTATCGGCCATCTGAAGCAAAAGATAATTACAAGACCCCAACAAAATGGTATTCATTTTTAATATAGAATTTCTATTCCACTAAATTAATTCAATACCAATTTGTTTGATAATGCTTGTTATATTTACAGTTCCATAGATATTTGGGGTCTAGGCTGTCTCATTTGGGAAGCTTTTAATGGTCCACTGTCTGCACCAGGAAATTTAGATACTATGGACCAGGTTGGTATTGCATATTTGAATATTTTGAAAATTTTTTATTTGTACACTTAACTTTGTGGTCGATTTTAGCTTCCCAAAGCAATCATAACAATGTATCAAGAAATGATTAGCAGCAAGGCTGAGAGCCGACCAAACCCAGCAGACGTAATTGCGCGCTGTCGAAGCAACGGTGGTTTTTTTAAAAACGACCTGGTCGACGCGCTGCTATTTCTCGAGGAAATTCAAGTCAAAGAAAAGAACGAGAAAAGCCGATTTTTCGGTCAACTTACCTCGCAATTAGATAGTTTTCCGGAAGGCGTAGGTCGTTACAAAATACTACCACAACTCATTGCCGCATTCGAGTATGGTGATGCCGGGAGTGCCGTTTTGCCTCCACTTTTGCAATTGGGATGCACGTTACCTGATACCGAGTACCAAAAGCGAGTTGTTCCATGCGTTGTTAAATTGTTCGCCTCGAATGACAGGGCAACGAGGTTAAGATTACTTCAGCAGCTCGATAGGTTTATCAATCACTTGCAGCCCATCACCGTTAACGAAGCAATATTTCCTCAGGTTTCTATCTTTACTATTAGTAGCAATTTTTTAATAAAATAACTATTTTATACAGAAACAATGTTTTTTGTACAATAGGTTGCCAGAGGTTTCTTGGATACAAATCCAGCAGTGAGGGAACAAACGATCAAGTCAATCGTCCATTTAGCACCAAAATTAGATTATAATAATCTTAATGTTGAAGTTTTAAGATATTTTGCAAAACTTCAGTCGAAAGATGAGCAAGGCGGAATACGTACAAACACAACTGTGTGTCTAGGAAAAATTGCTCAACATTTACATCCCCAAATTAGACAAAAAGTAAAATAAACATTTTTTTTAATAGCCCAACAATGTAAAACAACGTAATTTGTAAACACGCTTCTAGGTCCTGATCGGTGCCTTTATCCGAGGAACACGTGATACTTTTCCGCCTGCGCGAAGTGCCAGCGTTTTAGCACTTGCAGCCACGCAGCAGTACTTTTTTCTACACGAAGTATCCAATAGAATATTACCTGCACTATGTCCTTTGACTACGGACCCTGACAAAGGAGTGCGGGATAATGCTTTCCGAACGATAGGTGGCTTCCTAGCTAAGCTTGAGAAAGTTTCCGAAGATCCAGGACTTCGAGAATCTATGGGTTCGTCTATATATTCAGTTGCATATACATACTATGCATAAACATTGATAAAAAGAATTGTACAAAAAATACTGTTCATGTTTGTAGAGGCTGATGTAAACACCGCCGCACCTAGTCTTAGTAATGCAGCAGCAACGTGGGCAGGTTGGGCTGTGACTGCCGTTACAGCCAAATTTTATAGAAGTCAATCAGATACGGCAAAATCTTCGGCACCACATGGAACTTCGAGAATTTTGTTTAAGAAACCAGCATCTTTAGGTATTTGAAAATTTATGAACATTTATATGATTATTGTTTGTCTATTTTAGTTGTTTCATTTTTAATTAACATCACCACTTTTCATTGCATGATAGTTAAGATATAAAAATAATTTTCATTTTTTGGAGTTAAATTTGTTTTTTTAAGAGTTGAATATATTAAATATTAAAAGAAATTTTCTTTGTTGAAGTATCAAGCTAAACTCGCTAGAAATGTTCTTTATCTTACGAATATCATGAATATATTAATTTAATACATTTTTTAAATGCTTTTAAACAAAATAAACCACTTCTATACCTAATAAATCAACTAACATTTGCATTTCATTCCTAACAGACTAATTATCATGTGGCAATCATTTGCACAAGTGCGGGATTTTTAATATTACAGGTTTTTTTACAGAGCATGCTAGTAGTTCTCAAAGTAGTACAAGCACGACGGCAACAACAAGTAGCGCAACCAGCATGACTTCGCTAGATCATGACCATGAGCACGAGCATACACAGAACACTACGAACACCAACTCTGATGGTGACTGGGACTGGGAAGGTGACTGGGGAGATATGGAAACCCAACCACCAACTAGTACTCCGCTATCTGCTCACGTTACGAATGCTTCACATTCACCCAAGAACGTTCACAATCATGAACAATGGATTAGTTTAGAAGAGAAACCCGTAAGTTTATTGATCGAAATCACATAAAGCTTTTATTTATACCAATATTTTCTCATCATCAAATTATATGTTAATTATTTTTCATATTTTCAGGAAGAGGAAGCCACGGAAACTCAAGAAAAGAACGAATCGTTGGAGTCAGGATGGGAAGATGGAGAATTTCAACCATTAGACGATTTCCAAACAAATGAAACGGGTAAGTTATCTTGGTAATAAACTTCATTGATCATATTTTTATGAATTAATGTTTTTAGGAGGGGAAAATACGAATAATAAAGCGGAAGATGCTCAAAAGAAAAGAGAAGAACGTAGATTGGCAAGACAGAGGCAGTTAGAGGCAAAGCGAGCGGCAAGGCTGGGAAGCAGTACTTTAGCTAAAAAGATCTAACTCAGATATACTATATATAAGATAGCAAATGACAATTTATGATCGTAATTTACTGTATAAATAATGACACAGGAAAACTGGACGATATAAGGATGATATTATCTTCGACAATTCAATAAAATGTTGATCATATATTATTAATATCTTCATTGCCATGGACAAAGGATAATTTAAATGAGTCTTTCAATAAAGACCATAAATTTTACAACAAAAAATATATATTCATCGATACTAGTCTTATCTTGCTACTTATCAATACAAATCTTACAATCTAGCGATTTTATAAAAACATTTTTTCTACTAACAGTATCTTTTCTAAGTTAAAAAACTTTGTTTCATCGTGACATTAAATTTTTCAATAAAAAATACTTAAATGGAAGATTGAGACAATTGTTACTATCATAACCGTGACTGTTCCGCCGGGTTATCGTAAGAAAATCGTATGTTCATGGAATTAGAGTTGCCGGGTTCTTTTTTGAAATCTAAACTTTCGTAAAATGGAATTAAGCGATCTTTGCATTCCAGCGTAAGTTTATAACACTGTAGAGTCCGTGCTAAATGTTTCACAGCCATCACTACAAGTTTGCCAAGTTGTTTTCCCCTGTATTCGCTGTTCACTACGACATCCTCCAAATGCCCACGCTGTGATAAAATATACGTTAATTAAAATTCAATTAAAATAGTTTGATAAATTTTTATATGTAAAAGATGTATTCCTTCAAGAAATGTTCGTTCATAAAATAAAAGTGATTCCTTGTGATGAAATAAGTAAAAAGAAAAGGAATCAAAATTGTGTGTGATAAACCGAGATAATTTGCTTGTGTAAATTTGAAGTAGTTAGTACTGACCAGTCCGCAACTGTGAATGAATTTTTGTTCGACAACGAGAGTGGCACTGCCTATTACTTTGTCACAGTTGAAATCTTCTACTACTATAACGTAGTATCCTCCAGAACTTTTCATATTATGAAAACGATCTACATGAAAGATATTGAAAATGTAGTTGAGGTCAAAAAGTGAATAGTGAATGTTATAACAGTATAAGATGTAAACTCACTTAAAAATTGATCTTTTGTAATGTTTCCCACTTCTGTTAACTGACTTAATAGCTGTAAAAAGCCTAAAGCAGAAGGAAATAAGATAATAAATAATTCACAAATCGTAATCCACCAACAGCGTTCTTCGTCTGAATAATTATTTGTACCTTTCTCGTAATCTTTGCTGTTGAGTGGTCTGAAAATTAATCCATCGCTACGCAATTGGTTAGCCACTCTTTCCAACAAATTAGGATTGAATAGGGCTATACCATCCACCTCGGATAGAGCATTACGCTGAAGAAAATATTTATAATTCAAGTGTAGAATAGCTCGATTAATTTAAATTATAATTTTAATTAACAAAAGCTTAATTAATTTAATATATGAATGAGAAACGACAGTTTCAACGATATTGTTTATCGAATAATCAAATTCATTTGATTTTTAATAATAAAGTTAGCCAGCCGTTATAAAAAATTAACGTTATTTTTAGATTGTTGGAATTGACCGCTCGCGGGTATATTAAATAAGAATAAACGATAAAGTTTACTCATTTTCTACATTTTCACGCAACATATTGAGAAATGTTCGTGCATTATGAAATGCAAGTGTCATAACTGACTGAAGCGAAGGTTGAACTTGATAGAATCAGCTGTTAATACGAAAAAAAAGCTTGATTATACACGCCTATAGTGTAGGATTGAACGATTGGAGAACGACGCGACGATGACGATCATGCAGTATGATCTCGCTGTGCAAAGAGCTGCACTGACACGAGTGCCTCGTCGTTTGGAACTTACATTTTTATGAAAAAAAAAGCAGTGCACTCCACGAGCTTTCAAAACACACGTGGATCAAAAGTTTAAAGCATATGGCTGGTACTTACGTGAGTTCGCGAGCTAGCCATTGTCGTCGATTGCCAACAGGACGTTTACTGGTGTCGTGAACAAGGAAGCCTGCAAGCGGCCAGAAACGGCTCAGTCGAGGACCGGTTTTCGTTGGCTGGCTGCGCCTGCTTGCGTGCGGCGTGCCGACCATCAAAATGCCTCAAAACCCACTGCTGCTCTCGCCTGCGACCGCGCAGTCGCGAGAGCGAACCCCCGTCCTATCAAATTAACGACAGCTGTGTACGTTACTTCGTTTTATCGCATGTATAGTACTGCTATTCTTGCAATGCTCGCTTGTTGCCCGAACTCTCATTCTTTGCGAAATTTTTTCAATGTCGCGTTCATACCGTTGCTAATTATCATTTTCAGTATTTTAAGCTGCTTCATTGACAATTTCCCTTTGAGCGATTTATCTCAGCCTCGCAGACATTTTATATCAAATTCTCAACAACGTCAGTCAAAAGTGTTTTCAGTCAAAAACAAATTTTACCCCCAAATACAATAAGATAATGTTTTACATTTATTCCAAACTAGCCACGTATGGATTTTATTTTTTTGTAAAATATTGCGTTGGCTAACTTACAATGATTCAATATAAATTGCTCGAGCTTATTTAACTCTATAACACTATACAATTGAACTCTGTAACATTATAAGCATCAAGTTTTCAAATATTAGTTACCAAAAGTTGATTAATGATTAGCCCATCATGACTAGAAAAAAAGCTATAAAAATCAAACATCCCGTTATTTACGTTTCTCCCTGGGGCGATATAAGCGCTTGGAATATTTTGGCGCGACGCATACAAACTTTCACCTGTCCACACCAATCGAACGTTGCTTATTCATTGCTTCCCATACTAGAGCCTCGCTTATCTTACTTTTACGATGGTTTTTCTGAATGATAATTGTTATATATGATCTGCACTAAAATATTACAAAGCCATTTATGTCATCCTTAATTAAATGCTGCAATACATTATAAAATATATTACGAATTACGATTAATTACGAGAAATTAGGAGTGGTGTCGCATTGTTTACAAAAGTGTAGAAATCGCAGCTGTTGCACAAATGTGATATTTAAATGTTACATGTATTTTATTGTAACTGTGTAATTCCTTATGTAATAGATAAATAACTAAAAATAATTGAAAATACACAATTATTTATTATTTAAATGACAAAAGAGTATAATAAAATCATTTAGTCGGTTAAGTTCATTGTGTTAATTGAGTAATGTCTATATACAATTTCGGACTTTTACAATAATATTGTTCTTTTTTTTTGTTTATTTATTATTTTCAATTATCAATAATACTTATAGAACCTGAAAACCTAGGTTACAACCTAGGTTTTCGGGTTATAATAAATAATGCTCCAAATTGAAACTCTGACCGAATCATGAATTATTAATGATCCACTGGTTCAATAATGTATGATTACGTATGTTTTAAAAATGAAGTGTCATTTCTAACAAGATTTATATTTAAAACTTAATAATCATTTAACGTGCTTGTTTTCATGAGTGCTTAAATGCGGCTTATAAATAAGCCCAAATGAACACGTAGTTGTGCCGTCAGCGCGTCAACTGTGTGCCATATGAAATCAAACCAAGGTAACCTCGAAACCTTTGACAGAGGATTTCTATGACTGACCTACAGTAGGCAGTAAAAACATTTTCTAAGTGGCTGTCAAATATTATTCCGTTTTATTATTAATTTATAAATAAACAAAATGGTCTCTATTCTCAATACTATCGATACCGGTCACGAAGACATGATTCATGATGCGGAAATGGATTATTATGGGTTAAGATTAGCTACGTGTTCGAGTGACAATTCCATCAAGATTTTTGATTTAAAGAATGGATCGCAAAATTTGGCAGCAGAACTGAAAGGACACAGTGGTCCAGTTTGGCAAATTGCTTGGGCTCATCCAAAGTTTGGGAATCTCATTGCATCATGTAGCTATGATAGGTAATTTCATATATTCAATTTGCAACTCATTCGTGCTCAAAGTCATTACTATTCATTTATTTGTTCAGAATTTCCTGTATCTACAAACGTAACAACTGAAAGCTGATATATAAAAATTATTTCATTTACAAAATATTCAAAATTAATTCGTCTTTGTAATTTTATACTAAAGAGAAAATGGAAATTTTTACTTGCTATACAGCAGAGTTTCATATTTATCTTAATATATATATATATACATTTAACACCTCTAACATCAATATAACAAAATAAATATGTATGCAATTGATTATTATTTATTTATTAATTAGATATGCTTATTATTAAGAAAATTGTAATATTCCTATTTTTCTTCAGAAAAGTTATAATATGGAAAGAACTCAATGAATGGACAAAAATTCATGAACACACTGTTCACGATTCTTCAGTCAATTCAATTGCTTGGGCACCCCATGAAATTGGACTTGTTCTTGCATGTGGCAGCTCTGATGGTTCCATATCTATTTTAACAAATAATGGAGATAACTATGAATCAACCAAGATCCCAAATGCCCACACTATTGGATGTAACTCAATTTCTTGGTGTCCAGCTGTAGAATCAACCTTAGATTCTATTTCACAACAAAAAATCCTAATTAAAAGATTAGCATCTGCTGGTTGTGATAATTTAATTAAAATATGGAAAGAAGAAGGAGAAAGATGGATTGAGGAAAATAAATTAGAAGCTCACAGTGACTGGGTAAGAACATATTTGTATAAATGTTCATTGAAATATTTATGAACTAATATCTTTCTGCAAACATGCAATCCCTAAAAAGAAACATATTTTAACAATGAAAAAAAATTGTTCAGGTGAGAGATGTTGCATGGGCTCCAGCTATAGGCCCACCAAGAGCTGCTCTAGCTTCATGCTCTCAAGATCGTAGAGTAATCATTTGGACTTCCACAGACTATGTCAGCTGGACACCAAATATTTTAAATGTTTTTGATGATGTAGTATGGAATGTTAGTTGGTCTCTCACTGGTGGAATACTCGCGGTCAGCGGCGGAGATAACAAAGTTTCTCTGTGGCGTGAAAATACCGAAGGACAATGGATTTGTATATCAGAACTCAACAAAGGCCAAGGAAATATTAATAATCCCGATCAGAGAGCCCTTTAAAAAACTTCATTATCCAATATAAGAGAAAAGGAGTTTTTTGTAAATTCCTACATTGTATACTTATTTGATTAAATATATAAGTTTGTATAAACATTTTAGATGATCTGTTTTACTTTTTATTAATTTTTTTAATGTAGAAAAAATTAATCTTGTATGTACAGTGAAGCTGTAAATACAATATCTCTTTTGATCTTTGTAGATGCTTCTTCCATTTTTTCTTTCAATGCAGGATGGCCAATAATGATAGCTGCATTTTTGACATCTTGCAATGTTTCATTCAGCTGTTGAATACATCTGACAATGATGCCCTCTTGAATGTCAGTGAGTTTCATAATTTTAGCAAAAGATTTTGCGCGAGCCCACTCGTAGACAACTCTTATCAAATGAAAATCTGGCTGCGCTATAGGTTCTAAACCATGTTCTGTTTCTATTTTAACTAATCTTTTATAAACTTTTGTCATTTTATTTTGCAACTATATAAAAAAAAAAGTATTAAAGAATGTTGTTAATACGTGAAAAGGTAATTTTGTTTTACACTTGTTCAAAGCACGTTACTTGCACTTACTTCGTTTAATCGAGGAAGTTCTTTGTACTCATTTTCCTCGTCATTGCTTCGATGTTGAAAAACTAAAGATGAAAGTATAGCAGCAATTTCTTCAGGATGATAGTTTGTTAAAATATTGTCAAGAACTAACTCTGTTAACAATATTTCATAAGTTCCCATTTCAAGGGCTACTCGTCCTTTTAGTGTAACTGGAAGGAAATCATTAAAATGTAATGATTTCAATAAGAAATATTTAAATTAAATATATATACTTGAATGGGTTTTTCAGGTAAGAAAATAAAAATATTTATCCTTTAGAATCCTTGCAAGCTGAATTTATTTGAAAAATTTTCCAACGTTTAGGCTTGTAAAGATCATATGAGGAATCATTTTTTATTTGATTACTCGAAAAACCCATTTAAATTTCAATAAGTTAGTGAGATGCTTTGAAGACAGCATCATCAAACATAAATATACATACCTCGATCTTCACTATCGATATACTTCAATTCTCTCAAAACTTTAACTCTTGCTTCATACTCTGGATAATTACTTAAATACTCATCACTCAATGTTTTAAATAAATCTTGTTGTTTTTGTTCAAGTTCTTTGTGCTTAAATACTTGTTCGAATTCCTCTTCAAAATTGGAATCCATCACTATTCGATTTTTAATTTCTTCCAAATTTTTTGCTACCTCGTGTAACGTCAAATCTTTTGTTTGTAATTCAAAGCAATTTAATTTCAGTTCTACAAATGGAAATAAAAAAGATGGATTTGAAAAGGTTTCTGTAGTTATTTTGATCAGTTCTTCCACAGCTGATTGACAAGAAGGACCTGGAGTAGCATCCCTATCAAGGAAACCAAATCATTCTTTAAATATTTGTTCAGTATCAAGTAAACCACCTTATACTTACTTAAATCTGGGTATCTGCCTCTTTTCCCAGTCAGCAAAAATATTCCTAGTGTTAACATTAGCAATAACATTTGTCACTTCTATTATAGCTGTGGCTGGCACAAATACTATTTCATGGGTTGGATTGTCTTTTGGTTTATAAAATTGAGTTTTTATTAAACTTATCATATCATACCACAAGTCAGATTTATTATCTGATGTAGCTGCTTCTTCTTCTGCAAGACTTGTCAATAGAAATACCTTGTACAATACTCCGTGAGTTTTCTTTTGCAAGCCTAAGAAAATGCCTAATTTATTTATATGATGTTTATAAGAAACCAATAATATTCTGCCTTCAATCATGGCTTTAATAGCTTTTTTTAATTCTAACATGTAAGGTCTCAGATCTTTCCATAAATCTAAATAATATTTTGCATAAGAATAGAATAATTCAAAATCTTTTTGATGCTCTCCTAACGGTGGCGTTTCCGCAATAAGATTCAAAATCTTATCTAATTCAATTCTATTTTTTTCTAAATTGGTTAATGTCTTCACTTCTCTGAATGATCTTCGCATCATTTCGCCAATAGGAATAGCTTCATTTAATCTTTTCAAATGGAGCACCATAGAATAAGTAACTTTGAATTTTGAAACTAAATTTTGTGGTGCGCCTAGGCACATTTCTTTTAGATCCTTTTCATCTGGAATAGTTTTCTTTTTACATAAAATTATCACAGTACCAGTATCATCATGTCCTCGACGCCCTGCGCGTCCAGCCATTTGGATATATTCAGTAGGTAACAAATTTCGGAAAGAACTGCCGTCATATTTCTCAATAGAGTCAAATACAACAGTTTTTGCTGGCATATTGACACCCATTGCAAATGTTTCTGTTGCAAAAAGTACCTTTAAATACAGAATCAATAATGCATTAATACCCTTCAGATATCTGACTTATTCTTTTAGAGGCTTAACACATACCTTAACAATTCCCTTTTGAAAAAGCATTTCTACAATTTCTTTTAAAATAGGTAAAATACCACTATGGTGGATACCAATACCTAATGTTAATAATCTTTGCATCCTTAAAACTTGTGGCAACTCTACGTCTGTACCTTTTAAATGCCTAACTGATTTTTTGAAAAATTCTTTGACATACATTTGATCTTGATGAGTAAGTAAGCTTTCTGTAAAAGATTCTGCAGTCTTATCACATCTATTTCTAGATAACGTAAAAACTACAACTGGCAGCAAACCCTTAAAAAAATTGAAAATCAGACTTAACAATTGTATTGGAAATTTGTTTTAACATAGTCTTAATAGGTAAATTACGTTGGACTGAAGATACTCAAGCAATGCATTGTAAATTCTTTTTTCTTTAGTTGTTATGACGTTAGCTCTTATTTTATCCTCGAGTTTCTCTTCTTCTTCTTCCAATGCAGCAACTGTACTTACTGTCTCTTCAACACTTGCATTCTTTAGCACAGCTGTAACTGGTTTCATAACTAGTGCTGGCTTTTGTTTAGCATATTGGTATTTTGTTTGCTGTAATTTTGCTTGCTTTGCTAATCCCTCTTCTTTTGCTGCTTTTGCTTGCTTTATACTAAGCACGAAAAAAATTAAATTCACATTAGTAAGAAAATCAATTTTCAGTTGTCTTACCACTCTTACCTATTTCTTTTAAATCCACCATCTTTATCAATCAATAGAAATATCTGGTCTTTACTTTTTTTATCATAGCCTGTATATAAATAATGTTGCAAAGGTACAGGCCTTTTTATTGTACTTATTACATACATTTTTCTTTTCTTAATTTGACCAACCCAATGAGCAAATTCAAGAGGATTGGGAACTGTTGCTGAAAGCATTACAATACGTACTGTAGGAGGTAAAAGAATAATTACTTCTTCCCAAACATGGCCACGCTGTAAATTCATTTGATATGAAATATTATTTTTATGGTAACATTTTCCCATTAAAATATGCTCTAATACAACTTACATCTTCATTATTTATGTAATGAACTTCATCAAATACAACATATTCAACATCCCTTATAACTTCAGCTGCACAATACAGCATTGATTTTAAAATTTCTGTTGTCATTATGAGACATGTTCCATTTGCATTTATTTGTAAGTCTCCTGTTATGAGACCAACGTTATCAAACTTTTCTTTGAATTCTCTAAACTTTTGATTAGAAAGAGCTTTTATAGGGGATGTGTAAATGGTCCTAAAAGTTGAGAATAATTATTAAGTCACAATTCAGAATAAACAAATTAAAGTTATTATCAAACCTTGTCATATGTTTTTGACTTATAGCAATTGCATATTCAGCAATTGTTGTTTTGCCTGCAGAAGTATGAGCTGCTACAAATACATCGCATTGTTCTTCTAATTTAAGGATAGCTTGCTTTTGAAAATTATCAAGTTCATAGGGAAATGCCATAGCAGGTTCAACAATTTTTTTGTCAAAATCTGTGACTGGAACATTAATATCTATTTGTTCAGCCCATTTTGTTTTCAAATTAGTTTTAGGGACTGATTCTGATATTTTAAGTACTGGAATTTTTCTCTCTTTGAAGGGTTCAATAACGTCATCAATGTTAGGTAAAGTGATATTTTCATTATTTTTGTGATTATTATTTTCTTTTTCTTCATTTTCAGTGCTTCTAGGCCAAAAAGCTACAGAATGCCCTTCTTTGTCTATGACAGACAAAAGATCATCGCTATTTTCTGTACATATTGAATCCACTTTTGATTTTTCGCTTGCTGAACTTAAACCTTTTGGAGTGCAATTATCAGCCATAAATTCAATGCCAGACTTAAAACCTTTGGCCAAAGTTTTCAAATTATTTTCAAAATCTATCTCGATCTGCTCAGGTGAATCACTGCTTTTTGGTTCATCAAAGCCACCCGGCCAAAATAAAAAATTACTTACATTCCCTATAAAAAGTAATACAAATTTCAAGAAATATCATTGAAACTATTGGATATATAAAAATTATTAAACATTTAACATACCTTTAACACCTTCTATAGCAGGTCCTGGTGCTCGGGACATGGACATTGAATTTCTTACATTCTGACCTACACTTTCAATATCAACTTCTTGCAGTTCACCAAGACAACCAGTTATTGGATCTCTTTCATACTTGAGTGTTGTTCCAGCAGGTGCTAAATCAGTATGCAAAAGTAATAATACATCTGGGTTTCTGTCCCAATATTGTTGTACTCTATCAAGTTGATGTATTGGAAGTTTCTCAGGATATACAATGTACTCTTTTAATTCAGTTTTTATATCTGATAATATTGGAGGAGGGCCAAAAGGCATCTACAAAAATTATAAAAATTAAATTTTTATTTCATCTAATGTTAAATATATCAACTTATAATCACCTCCAAATAATCTCTTTCATCTGAACCAGCCATTGTATAGACTTTTAAAACTACATAAATCTTGTAAAGCGTTTAAATTGTTATAACCACAATCACCAGTTATCTATTTCAATTTATTTTAAAATATCACATCAAATTTATAGATTTTTACTTGGTTTCATAAATTATAATGTTTATAAAAGTTCAAATTTAAAGTTCTTGTTGTATATATCGGAAATTAATGAAACATCTTTTGCTGTGCATTCAATAACTAAATCTTAACCATCTTGAGTATCTCGTATTGTGCTGTTTACATCAGAATTCCATATCCATGTGTGCATATGCGTGTGCAATTACACTGTACACATTGAGTGGGTAGGTATTTAATAGAACTACTATAGGACTGGACTAGTGGGAGTACTAGGAGTATATTGGATTACTTATCTCACTATATAAGCTGTGCAGCTTATGTATAATATATATATGTATGTATGTATATATATTATATCAGTTAATTATAATCAACACTGTTGTTATTTTTTACCATCAGTTATAAAGTGACTGCGTACTTGTGAATTTCTTTTCAATTTGTAAAATGATGTTTTGACAGTGATCAATTAAAATATTGTGCCAAAATTGTTATAAAGCAGTAAATAATTTATTTGGACAATTTTCAGCAGTGAAGAATGATTGATATTGACTGGCCCTGGCAATACAGTTTTCCTCCTTTTTTCACGTATGATTTTCCTTTACATTTTATATCTATTTCTTAAATTACAAAGCTTTTAATAAAGTTGCAGCTTTTGAGGTTATGTAATTTATTTTATTTATTGTATTTTTAATAATTTTAAAACTGTTGACGAAATTATAGATCGTAAAATAGTTTGTATAAATTGTAATCATGGCTTTTTAGACAGGCTTATAGATTTAGCAAATTTAATGTTAACTGGAAATCAGTCCAATATATGTATTTTTAGTAAATATTAACAAAAAGTTTTTTCATTATAAAGTACTTTAATATTGTAGACTCCAACCTCATGCTGAAACCAGAGCAAAACAAATTCAAGCATGGAAAAGCTTGATTCTGGAATATTTCCGTACAACAAAGCAAGCAATTTTGGATATTCGTGAAATTCACAGTAGCCCATTATTCAATAACACATCTATTGAGAGTATCCTTTTAAAAATTTAAATTTTTGTCGAAATTGAAGTGCTAAATGATATTCCTTAATCCAATATATAGGAAAACTACCATCAGAAGTTGTATCACTGATTCTTGATGAATTATCAAAATCAGGCAATGCTACTCCATTAGATAAATCAAAGCAGCGATGGCTTGTTTCATGGCATACACTTGATGAATGGGCTGATATACTGTACTCTTATGCACAAGGAAGTGGATTTGTTGGATCTGTTTGTACATTCTATGAATTAACACAAGGAGAGGACTCAATGGATCAAGGTTAATTTTTTAAATCCAAATCAAGCTGTAAAATGTGTTTTATTTTGTTTGTTCTTTCAAATTGTTGTTTACAGAATTTTATGGTTTGGACAATGAAGTACTTGTGAGAGCTTTAAGAACATTAGAAGCATCTAAAAAGGCAGAATTAATAATGTTTGATGATAATGAAGGTGTGAAGTTTTTTTAAATCTGAGTCGTTGATAATAACTTAAAATAGTTAGCATTAACATAATTTTATATATAATTAATTCCTTTGTGTATAATTTATATGCAATTATGTATTTATATACGTAAATTTAGTTACATAATTACTGCAATAAAACTTGTTAAAACTATTGACTGCATGATGATTTGTGTATAAAATTATAACTGTAAGTACCTGAAGATGCATAGAGCATAGGTACGACATTTATAACATTAATATATTTAACAGTTTAAAATTAGAGCTCTTTCTAAACTTTAACATTATAGTCTTGGTACTTGGTATTTGAGCATAATAAGTAGAGTTTTTTTGAGTGTGTTATATAGAAAATAGATTACAGAATATACATTCTAATTATATGTAACATTATATGTAATCCTTTGAGGATAAAATACGTATAAAAAAATCTTTGCAGTACGCAGATCATCGGAAAATTTTTCAAATTTTCACTGGTTCGAAGTACAACAGATATTAAAATTTAACATTAAAAACTATGAAGCAGACAATTTAATCGTCAATTTTTCTTAAGTGAGCAAGTTCAGTTGCCTCTTGTAAATCTACCGCAGCGTCCGCTGAATCGAGTTCTCCCTTGCTCATCTTTTCTATAATTATAGCTGCTAAAGCATCGCACATAACATTGACAGTTGTTCGGAATCGATCCCTTAAAGAAAACAGTTTCCAATTAATCAATATAGTAGATAATTCGAAGTACGAAATTGAAACAGAAAATAAAAGATATTTACAAAAGCCAATCGACGGCAAGAATAAGAGTGACGTCCTTGTCAGGTAGACCAACGGTGTTGAGTACCATAACCATAGTAACGAGGCCAGCTTGGGGTATTCCGGCAGCGCCAATGCTAGCCGCGGTAGCAGTGATGCTTACGCCGATGATTTTACTGATACTCATCGGAATGTGGCGTACTTGAGCGATAAAAATTGCAGCTACAGCTTCATAAAGCGCCGTACCATCCATGTTGATCGTCGCACCGATCGGCACCACGAATCGCGATATCCTTGAGTCTACTCCCATACTGTCCATGCATTGAAGCGTTATAGGCAGAGTAGCAGAACTAAAAATAACAAAACAACAAAAATCCTAATCATTTTAAACTGTCACAAGCGGTTGACGAGCAAAGGTTTCTATGTTAAATAAATTCAATCGCTCTTCGTTGAACATGCGCAAATACTTCCACCCCCTGAGGAAAACGCTGACAAATGTTGCAATTAAGCTCATTTTTTGGCGCGGGAATACATCTTTTGAAATCATCATCATTAACATGCCTAGATATATAATATTTTAATAAATAAATTAACACTGCTGATATGACAAGCTGATAATTACCTTGAGGCTGTTCCAAACGCAGTTATCATAACTTGACTCATTTTTCCGATCGCGCGGAATGGCAACTCCCTCGTGCAGACAAAGAAAATTATGGATAAAGTACCAAAGCCATGCAATATTAGTCCAATCATCACCGTTAGAAAATACATTCCTAACGATTGAACGATACTTGCAAAATCTTTAACCTCCATGATTTGAGATGCTACTAGGAATGTTACTCCCATTGGTGACAACCTGCCGACATTCGCAAATTGGTCTCACTGATCTTGTTATAATATTATTATTATTATTATTATTATTATTACGATAATTATTATTATTGACTAACAACGCACTGCAGTACTCGTCTTTGCTCGAATTAATATCTCGAAAAGCAGCCTCATATATTCATCCGAAATATTCACGAACGACCTTGTCGGAAATAATTTATGTATAAAATTATAATAAAAAGATCTCAATTAGTAAATTTGCTGACAGTTATTTACAATTTATAGCCATTTATAAAGTTTAAATTTTGGGCATATATAAGAATAATAAACAGTTATTTTCTGTTAAAAAAACGCCATTATTAAAAAATAACAGTTTTTTTCAGTTACTAACAGTTATATGCATTTTTATTCACCAAAACAAATTTCTTTTGAGAAATAATAGATGCAAATAACTGTAAATAACTGCAAATAACAGTTACCACTAATTGTAACTATTGGAATAAAAAATTATTAACTATTATTTGCATTTAATTGTTATTATTAATTTGTCAATACCAGACACGAAGAAAGTACTTATAAGCAAAAAAAATTAAGTAATAATAACAATATATAAGTGTTTAAAATAATTTTTAATTATCACATATGATAACTAACTATTTATTATAGTTGTAAACAATTAATTATATTTGTGAAATTGATTAAAAACTGTTCATTACTGCTATTAAAAGCAAATTTTGTTATGCTAACAAAGTGCATTTTCCAAATTGTCTATAACTGTTAATGACTACCTAATTATTACTGAGAGAATAAAACTGTTAATAACTGTTATACCTGTCTAAAATCTGATGTTCATAAACTATTTTAACTTGCAAATAACTACGTGTAATAATTTAACGCAAAAATTATTCCCAACAGGGGATTACACGAAATGACATTTTTCAAGTAGAAATCCTTGTCATTATCTGACGATGGTCAGTTTTATGGTTAGAGTAATTATAAATGTTGTTTGGTAGTTATCAAAATAATTCCAAATAATGGATTACTCATTTTCTAAAATACCTCGACATGCGAAAAGTTATAAGAATTTCATTGTTTAGCTTAAAAGAACTTACCAAATAACCCAATTTGTAATGACCATCATAGCTTCTGATAAACATGTGAAGAAATCTAACAATGGTTTGCCCTGCTCTCCCATTTTACCGATGGCTATTCCCAGAATAATACCGAAAATTACGAGACCCAAGGTATTTGTACCATCTCCGTATGATGACGATATGGTCCATTCATGTTTGTTCGTTACTAGAGAAATAAATTATAAATGGCTAATTTAGTAACATCGACTCTATTGTCGTTTCAGAAACGTGTATGAAAAAATTTTAATTCTACCGTTTGTCGCATTGGCTGGTGGCATCAATTCGGTTCGATACTGAAAACCAATAAAGAATAATTTCATTACATAATTCTTCAGTATTACTTAGGTCAAAAAGTAGACTTATTTGTAGCTTACTTGGGCTAAGCAGGCTTGAACTAAATTAGGTGGGAATATATTTCTGTGAAAGAAATAAATAAATAAATTTAAACGTTTGTTGTTAAATAAAATACAGGAAATTGTGAATTTTTGTAATAGATCGATAATTTACCTGATTAAATCTAAAAGTGTATCGGCAGTGGTAATGTTTCTTTTCGGAGCTTTGTTCTCATCCGTTAAAAAATCAGCCTCGTTACCATAAGTTCCAGGTCGTATTGTCGTAACCAAAATTATGCCAAGAACTACAGCACAAATGGTCGTAGTTGCGTAATAATAAATCGATCTCATACCAATCTTACCTAGATAAACAAAATTATATAAATTTTGAATTTAATTTAAAATAACTACATAGCATACCAACAATTATTGATCCAAATTATATTTGACCTTCATATTCTATATAAGTAATATTGATACAGTATGATCAAATTTCAGGAAAATCTATAAATTACATTGTTTATATACTGGTATAACATTGAACAAGCAATAAGTCACATCAAAATACTAATATTTTTCAAATATTTTAGTATTTTGAATAACTACATCGAAAAAAATTTGGAGCACGTTTTATGTTTCTGAATGTCAAATAAATAAAGATTTTCCAATAAACGACAAGAAATAATAGTAGTAAATTTGCTGTCGCGACAAAGACTATTTCTGATTCTTAATTTTAATTAAATTTTCGGGTGTAATGATGTTTGCTAAATTCTGTTATTATGCGTTTACGCGGTGCGCGTGAATTAGAATTGTTTTGTAAGTGCGTAACCGTGACTTTTTTATTTGCACAGTTATGCAGTAAACGGAATTGTAATTAAAAAATGTACACCAATGAAGTTAAATTAAAAATATATAAGTACCTATTTCTCACGACATCTTTCCATAAATTTGCAAGAAAAAACTGAGCTTTTCCCAACTCGTCGATGGCCCTGGCAGAGTCTTTTACGATCTGGCAAATGAGAGAATCGCGTAATATTTCTCTCAAATAAAATAACAAGTTTCGCCAGTCTTCCGGAGTAAAACTGACTATTTTATCGCGATGTCGGTAAAAAGAAAATATGTAAAATAAACGAGAAAGGAAAAGCTTACCAGAAAGACCAAGGTCGAGACTGCCTATAGCGCTAACAATACTGGAAATGATGAGGGGCAGAATGAGAGCTTTGAGCATGCGGAGGAAAAGGTCACCGGGAAACTGGATGTACATGATTTCTCGCTTCGTCCAGGGATCTTCTTCGGATCTTGAGTATTTTAGGATAAAGCCCAGGCCTATGCCGAAGAACACGCCGATCACCGTCAGCAACATCAGCGCGTTCTCCGACATGCAACTCTTCCATCTTTTCGTTCTCGACATTTGTGCCTCTTCGATAGATCAACTTGTCGACTCCAATCTGCAATTTCAAATTATTTGACCATTCTCCAGTTGCCACTATAAGCAAGTTTGCCGAGTATTTTAACTCATTACTGCACGTAATTAATAATACGATCAGCAATGTTTTCAATGATGAAATATTAAGTCTATAATTCATAAATAAATATATCTACGAGTGTCTAGTGCGCGAGTAATTAAGGCGTACTGATGTAGACTACACATAAAGCATTCACGGTGATTCGTTTTAAGCGAAAAATTCAACTCGAAGTTGATATGAAAAAAATAATAATAAAAAATACTGCATTTGTTATTGTAATTTATATACGTCTTATTGTAATCTCGAAAAGAGTTAAGTATAGAATAGCGATAAGTTTGCCGCTTAGCGAATATGGCTTTATTCTTTGAAAAACGCGCAAGTAATATGCAACGATAGGTATAGGAAACGTCACTGGTTGTACTTGGAAAGAAAAATGACGAAAAACAATTCACTTAGTATTTAATTCAGCCGTATAGTAACAATTCTAAGCGTTAGTTTGACATCACCGACGCGACGCAATCTGGCAGCATCGAGAAGAATAGAAAGTGCCATCAGGCGCACCTAAAAAATTTCATTAAATAGAGACGTTGCTTTCGGAGTTTGTAAATTTCGTAAAAACAAGAGCGCACGAGCATTTATTTACGATAAAGGCCGAGAGTGAAGAGTAAAAAAAAGACAGACGAGTCAATTAGCGTCATGGTGATCGAGGAAGTGGACGTTTTTGTCAGCGTCGTACCACCCGTCATTGGCCTATCTTTTTCCATGTGTCTCTACTGGCTTTCCGTATGTACATCGATTAATCGCGTGTAGCTCGCGTCACGTATCGCCATAGCGCCAATCATCTGGTTCGAACCGGCTTGCGTCTTTTCTTAATGTCTCGCGCTTCTACGTTGTCCATCACCCACATGCACAGTCGACGCTATATTTTCGAGACGCACTGGAATTTTCTCGTTTCCTCGTTTTATTATTCATTCAGGCTGTTGCTGTGTATATAAAGCATACGCTTCGCATAAGTAGATGCTGCCACCACGAGCCTTTGGATTAGCTCATTGCGTTTTTTACTCTACTACACTCTAATAAGTTTTTCCTCTTGTATGCTTAATTAAAATTTCAGAGTTATTCTCAAGGATTTTTATCTAAACGCTTTGTTCGGCTTCAAGTTTAATTTTCTATTTCTTCTTTTCTTGCGCGCCGTATATCTTCATTTAGCATTGTTTTTTTAAAGACTGTATTCTATGCCGCTACCTCATTTCGAGTATACAGTTATTTGAACAGTTACACTACTTTCAAGAAGTTTATTTATTGATGCTAAAATAAAAAATATTCATCTTAAGTAGACTAAATATATAGATTTGCTTTTATCAAGTGATCACGTGAGTCTCTCGAAATTTTACATTGTCGTTTTATTAGTCATTACAATAATGCAATGGAAGCATCCCTTTTAATTAAGCATATATTTGCTTGATTGACATGGCGATCAAAAATAACGAGCTTTCGATATGCGTGATAAAAATGAATAAAATTACACAATTACGTAAGTCGAATTATCATTCGCGCGAAATCCAAGTTTATTTCGAAAATCGAAATAGCTTTAAATGAGAAATTGCTGTGTATTCATAGCTTTTTTTCCTCTAGTGCTTTATCTATAACAATTTTCTACGGAGTGCTTCATTGCATATTCATCGGTTTTTTTATTTCTTTAATATAACATTGTTAATGAATCAATGAATCAAAGAATCGAAGAATCAAAAGCATTATTTAAATATTTGATAAAATCAATTTTTAAGATTTTGAATTAAGATTTACTATCTTAAAAAGTAATGAGTCGTCGACATTCTTGTGATTGGTTGATGCTAAAAAAGAGCATGAAAATTTAGAATTTTCGTATACTTTGAAATATTTTTATTATATATCTAGAATTATGAGATTTATATTTCAGCAGTCAATTCAATTTATGAATAATTAAGATGAAAATCTATAATAATTAAAATGGAAATATGACTTTAATAAATCGTTTTGAGAACATGAGACGTTATTTTTTGAAATTATCATTAGAGATTGTTAATTTTATAACCACCTGTGATACTGAAATGAATATTGTCATATGAAAATTTGGTAGAAAAAATGAATAGAATAAAATAGAGGAGAAGATATTTTTATCTTTTGTACATTGTGACTCAAGAAATATGCGAGCAACGGAAACAAATTATCAGAATATTAACCTCGTTAAATTTGAAAAATATTAGTGGGTGTTAAACGACGTTAAACGTCTTACTCATACTAATATACGATTGATACCATAATCACTACGATTGCGTATGCAAAATGTAATGTTGTATAACACTATAATAGCTTTATCGATCATGGGTCGAATTTATCTTTTGGATAATTTATCTTGAAATGAATAAAAGTTCATCGGTTCTTGTGAAGAAATGGGTGAATGTTCTGTTTTTACTCGTTAATGGTGTATTAATCTATTTTTAACAGCATGACTCATTCGTACCTATTAGAATCTTCAAGTTGGCATGTAAAAGGTTCAAATAATGTAATAAATAACAGAAAAACATAAAAGAAAGAGCGCGCTAAATAACACTAGTTATAAACATAATCGAAGGCAAACGCAATTATAGCCTGCAGAATTTTATTTGAAAATCCAATTGTTCGTAACGTATTATACTACTTGAGCTCAACTCCGGTACAGTACTGCTCGAGTCGGTGATACTAGTGCCGTTTACGATATGACAAAGCTTTACACCCCAAGCCGTACCGTACAATGACATTTACATCAGTTTACCATGAATACCTATTTCAATCATGAATTAATTATCTTTCAATTTTTAAATGAGGCAACTTGGATTCTTTTCCAACACTGTCTTTCAACAAGCGTATCTAATTCTTTATCGTGAAAGCTCGTTTTTTAAATAGCACTGATAATGCTCTCATGTTGTCGAATAGATAAAGAGCAACAACGAAGCAAACTCATTTCAATGAGGCAGATCACGGCACAGAAATGATATTCATTGTTGATGAATGTAAAGTATTATAGCTGTTGAAATGTTGCTAGATATTGAAGTCACGAGGCTTCACTGGTGATTTTTTGATGCTAGTGCGTTTTCGTTGAGTCGTTTTATTGGAAATCCAGCGCTCTTACATCAAGGGGAGATCGACAAAGGGAATAATGCACTCGCAGACGCGCAATATTTATCAATTGTTTTTTTTTCCTCCACGACTTTGCGTGCCTCGAGCAATTGGACGAAACATATACCTCACTTATTACAAGCGTAACGGCGATAATACGGAGATAATCTAACCTTTTATTGAGTTTATAGTGAGATAAAAAATACGATTTCAAGCAATTTTTCACTATAAATCGACAGATTCAAATTTGATAACACAAATTCATTTCACGAACATTTTTAATCTCAAATCATAGAAAATGAATGGTTTTGCAAGACCACAATCGATTTATTCTTGACGGTAGATTGTCCTTTTGATAAATTTAAATGCCGGCAAACAAACATCGATAGGTAGTCATGAATATTTTAGACATAATATATTATTTTGTCATAATATAGTCATAGAAATGGTGAAGAAGCAGGCTTATTTGGTGGCTGGGATGAACAATCACATTTCGCAAATGTGCGGTTGGCGATGATACTTCGGATCGCGACAGATGCCTTTTTTCAGCAAGCTAATACATCAATCCGCGAATGTATAAGTTATTTTGTTTTCATTTGTTGCTCGCTCGTCACCTGTGCTACGATTTGTCGCTTGAATTGATGAAAATCGACGCATTATTCAGAGTACACACAGTGGGTAATTGCTGCTGGAGATGTTTTATCGTGACCCGCAGTCACGATCAACGCGCGCTTTGCGTTTCCCGCATTTAATTGAGCCGTCGTTCTTTTAGTATTCTTTCCTCGCTCTCGATGAGCAAGTGTAAACATCTCCAGGAATAAAATATAAATAATGTCTTGTTACAAGTTTCGATAGAAAAGAAAAGTGATACAAACGTTTCTGATTGGGAAACATCAACGTATAAAGTAAATTATGTTCGACAAAGCGTAAGATGTAGACAAAAAAAAATTATGAAGTGCGTGGGCTTATCGGTTCTTTGACAGATATCGCAAAACGAGTGATTCAGAAGCTGTGGTCAACGCGAGTTGAGAAGTTAAAATTTCCCCGACGCGATAATCCATCGCTCAATTATTTAGCAAGTTTACTGCCCACCACATCGGATGCATTCGAGTATTTTGAAAGTATGTCGCGATGGCAATGTCACACTCTCACTCGCAAAGCTTTAGCGGAACAATGTTTCAATATAAAAGGAAAAAGCACATAGCGCGTTGAATGCTGCCAGTCCGCGTATAAGATCGCACAGGGGCCGGTAAGCGATGTACTCCCGAGAGTTCCAGTAGGAGGGAAGCGCGCCGAGGATTGCTTCGATCATTCAAAGTTTATTCGCGTGCGAAACTTCGCAACGTCGGCTTTCCTCGAGAACGCCGAACGCTCGAAAGCTTGTTTTCATCCTGAAAATGAAAGCGACGGAGAGAAGGTTCCGATTGCGCGAGCGATCGAGGGCAGCGCTGCGGCACAATCGCACCATAAAGCATTATACCAAGTACGACTTTGCGCTCAGATTTGTGCTTTCCTCCCATTGTTTTGAAAAGAACCGTAGCTAACATGCTCGGTAGAGATTCTGTCCAGCCTCGCTTCGCTCGGGCGTACACCTCTCGCGAGACAAGAATTTACTTTTCCGCGTCAGTTAGCTAATGTACAATTAGAATCCGTGTAATTTCGTGCGCCAGTGTCGACTCTGACTGTGACAGGGACGAAAATGTGCTCGCCTTCTGGTAAAAGAAATAAAAAGAGTGTCAGCTATGAAAATTCGCTGTTTTTGTCGCGCTGGGCCAACCCAATTCTTCACACACCATTGTAGAATATTTAAGCGGGTTCGCCGATGAGTAATCGATTGTGTATACCGGGGAGCACACACGTATCAATCTCGAGCTACGTGTTTGCCTCCAAAAGCCGCACTGAAATCATTCGCTCCTGGAGGTTTCTCGGAGCGCGCGCGCGCATGGTACAGCGAGCTTACCGATACACACGCCTATCGCGCCAAAATCAAAATGTCGGCGCGGGCGCGAAATGTGCTCGATTGAAAATGAAAAAAAAAAAAAAAAAAAACAGCAATGCAGAGGCTCACCTGCAGCTTCGGTGGCAGACTGCGCGAATGACAGTAGCGGCACTGAACTTGGCTCGACAACGTAGGCTGTTAACAGTTACTTGCACTAGAAAGTATATAGCGACAGTGGAGCATCGACCGTTCACGGCAACACGCGCGACTCGCGAGGCTCGAGCGTTGGCTTCGGACTGCGAGCTGCTGCGAACGCGGCTCAACTCGCCACTAGCAATATCCATACACGCGCGCCGCCTCTCTCTCTCTCTCTCTCTCTCTCTCTCTCTCTCTCTCTCTCTCTCTCTCTCTCTCTCGCGCGCTCCCGACCTGTGTACTTTGAGAGGCGCACTTCAGCGTGTACTGGCGTTTGGACGCGCCATCGGGCATTCCAGATGCCGGCTCGCACGGTGCGCTTGGGGAATCCCGAGATCTGTCTTTTTTTCTTTTTCTTTTTCACTAGACTTTTTAGCGCCACGAGGTCGCCCCTTATTTGCCATCCTTTCGGCCTTCGATAACGTCACGTCGTCACTCGCCAGTCATCCCGGTTTCCAGCTTTTGCCTTATACTTTTTCGACAAAGCTACTACTCTCGTGAGCCGCCATCCACCTCTCCGCTTCTGTTCGGCTATTCTTTCATATGCTAATTCATCATTTGGTCTATTACTTAGTCCATGCCTCCAGACTTATTGTCCATTTATCATTTACAGCTGACTTACAATGAGAACTTCATTTTGTCAAAGTGTAAAAAGGATATCACATTTTATTGCCTATAGTAGCAGCACCTTTTTTGCTCTATAGCAATAAGACGGACTATGGACAAGATGTAGCCAAAACATTAAACATCCTGACCGTAATCGGGGCTCAAAGCGCGAAAGGGCAGCCACTCGAAGTCAATAGATCAAAGCACGCACGATCGTATTAGTTGTAGAATTATTTCGTTTATTTTTGTCATACTTTTTATTTACAAGTTCATACTTATATTAATAAAATTGCTTTTCAAAAATAATTATACGCTAAGAGTAATATTACTCTTACAATTTTCTTGTAGCTATACGTTAATGCGAATAGAGTTTTCCGATTTAAAATCAAAAGATTACTAATCAGAAGAGTAACTCTTGATTAGTAATCAAAAATTAAGAGCTGGTATTTGCCGGTGCTTCCTTATTTAACATCCAATGAATTAATAGTACATTACGATACAAGTGTGGGAATAGTACATTACGATACTATCTTGTCGAGACAAGAATCTACTTTCCCGCACTCGTATCATAATATACTATTTTCAAATCCCTACTGTGATAAAACTAATAATTGTACATTTTAAGAGATGTGCATCAAAACTTTGAGTTTAGACTACCAAATAATATACAGTTTACTTCGTATGTTTCTGCTGTTCAAAGTTATTGCCTTTAACCCATCTGTTATTTACAAATATGTTTTATTAATCATTTATGATTCCTTAGAATATGACTAAAATTTTAACTCATTGTGCCTAGTTAATCAACATAATTACTGCACTTATGTAATTTGCGATAAAATTACAATGTAAATAAATTTTTTCTTTATTTACAATCTACCTAATATACAGAGACAATAAGTAAATATTATTACTAAGTGATACGTGCATATGAAATTCAGAAGAATGCTCCAGAGAATATTCTACCTTTATTGTAAAGTGTGCATATATCAAATAGATTGAGATTTATTTATACTATAGATGCGTCAAGCGCGCTCATACCACCTTTTTCATTTTTTTATGTCAACTCACTGACTATTCATACACCAACAGTTTCGCAAACAAACTTAAATGCTCCAATACACGATGAAATACATATATGATTATAAAATTAAAAAATTTCACAATTGTCAACTTTGAATATTAAATAAATAAATAATTAACTAGAGTTCGGAAGAAGTAAGAAAATTATTTTATAGTTTCAAATATATAAATATAAAAAAAATTGTCAAACTTCTTAAGATATTGATGCGTAATCGTATTCATAACTTAATATTATAAACAGCAAACTTTAGTTGACGCTTTACGGTTAAGAAGAAACGAATAAACCTACTTAAAATTGACTGTTTGCTTAAGATTTTAGAGTTGAAAATTCAAATTAATTTATCATTTTTGTACAAACTAATTATTTGACTTATTATCTGATATTTTGCTTAATGTTAATACATATAATTACGTCATTAGTCAGTTACAATTTACAATCGTTATTTACAAAACATTTATATTTCATATATTTAAAATTCACAATTTATCACATTGAAAACTGTTAATTCAACGTTCTTTCCAACTACAATTATCCAGGATGATTATTCTACATTATTGTTTATTACTATTGCTATATCGACAATGATTTTGAGATTTTTACAGATGACAAAATCAAAATATTGATTAGTAATAATCAATAATTAGCATAATCTTGAAACGTAATATCTTATTTTTTCAAAAAGACTTATTTCGCACACTAATCAAATCAGCGACACATAGTCATATATGCGTATACGTGATACGTCATACCACGTGACCATCTCTCAGCCAATTACATCATCATATCACGAATAAAACGCGACACTTTCCAGTCCATCTTCTTTATTATATAGGACATTCATTAGTCTATTTTTTTCCACAACCATGAATATATTCATTGACCTTTAAAAAATCAAGATTATTATCACGCTAGTGAAAGAAAAATGAAAGGCGATATCTTAGATAACTCATTAGTTTGTGTTTCTTTAGTGTGCGGTGATATGGTAATGGATGTCTGGGAAAGTCTGCTGATAAGTTTATTTGGGTAGTTTTGAAGTCTGATATTATATTTTGTGTAAAACTTCTTAATTGCTTCTTTTATTATTGAAACCTGTAGATTATTTCATAAAATTTCATTCGGAATGAACCATCGTAGGACTTTCCAAATCTTTCCAGGATTTCAATATTTAATATTGAAGCAGCACCCCATTCAATAACTGAAACCAGTTTTTTTTTCATTCGCGCACAATCAAAAGAATTTTTCATTCACAACAATTGTAAATATATTAAAATATTAATAGAAATTATCAATGAAGCTCAGTTTGTTTTATCAGTACAATTTCATATATCATTCGAATCATTAAACATTGATAAAATTTTCTAGAGTTTCCGAAAGAAATATTCTCTTTAATAGTGAGTTACAATAGTGTTCCAAATATTCAAAGTTTTAGAATAATGATACTCGGGATCGCCTGTGAAATTACGTCATAATGATGAGTTCGTCGGTTGTGGGATCGCAGGTAAAAAAAAGACTAGTTATGCTGACTCTGCTCGAATGGCGCAAATTAACACTCGGTTACTTTTTTCCAAAACGTGAACGCAGATATAATGGGCAAATCAACATAAATTAAGCGTAAAATTTATTGCTCACATGAATGATAACATCTACGAAAAATCTGTAGCGAACAAATAACACGGTCGCAAAATTATTTGGCGTGAAAGATAACCGCCGTACGGTGTCAGATTTAGTTTTTGCAGTTCGATTATCTCCGCTTAACATTTTATGACAAAATAAAATAAAATAAAAATACTTTCATTTTAACAGTTATCAAAATACTGTGCTCACTTATACGCAAACTCTATTAATATATATGCAATGATATTTGTAGTCATTGCAATTACAGGATCGACCTCTCAAAAGTTAAAATCTCAGATCTTTCAATTCATATACTTTTTATCGCTGCTTACTTGTAATATTTAATTGGTGGAAAGGTAGTTTTCAAAAGAAAAATTTCTCAACTATGTAGATACTTTTGAGCACAGACATTTATCAAATTAATTGCGACATTTCGAGAGTATAATTAATTCTCATTATCAAGCATTAATATGTTGAACTTCATCAGAGAAAAGAAAAAAATATAAAGACAGGCGTGACAATAATGTAATGATCTTGGTGATAAATTGTCGTTAAATTTTGAATGATATCGAGTTAAACATATTAATTATTGATAATGAGAATTAATGATATTTTCGAAACGTGCATATTTGATAGATGTCTATGCTCAAAAGGTATACGTAAATGATGAATTTAATTCTGATAAATTTAATTATTTTTACCAATAAAAGTTAAATGTACAGCTTAAATCTTATCTTAAATGTACAGCTAACACTGAACAGTCTGAGTTCCGTTAAAAGCTGCTTATCGATAGATTTTAATTGATTATAATTTATAAATTTAATTTATTTTACGTCAATAAACTCATCTTTGAAAACAATTCAAACTTAGCTACATGTTTAGGTTCCATATTCCTTGATCCGTTTTAATTAAAAATATTCCTTTTTGTTCACATTTTTTTATTAAAACAAGTATTTTGGTATATTGATCTATTATTAGCATCAAAACAATATTTGACCCATTTTTTTATCGATTCTATACACTGGAAAGAATATGTTTGATAAAAATCTCATTTCGATAACTTAGCTACGTAAACAAAAGATATACAAACTGGAAATGTCGACTAGGCTACTTTTACTTGCAAGGTTATATGAAAATTATCTATATACGCGGTTTGAAATGAGTAATCACTTCATTAGTATACAGATTGCAACTCATTTTGCTGAGTTGGCCGTAATCGACTTTCTATAAGAGCCATCAGACGTCGAACGTTGGACGAGTACTGAGGTAAATTGATTGTTTGTCATTATCTTACCAAAGATTTATACGTGGTAATGTGCAACATTTATTTTTATGTTACCAATTAATGTTAAATAATTAATTTATTTTTACACCTTCATGCATGTCTGACATCCAATGTCCGATGTCTGATGGCTCTTACGTAGAAAATCCCTGAACGTACGGGACCAAAGGTATATTTATGGAAAAATATGAATGAAAGTGGTGTCACTTTACAGTTCTTATTATAAAACAAAGTGAACGATTTATTTTTAGATTGACATATTAATTTACCTATAGTTTGAATCAATTAATATATATTCTAGTTATATTAGGGTTATAGATTGTAATAAAATATACTGTTTGCAGCAAACTTGCAACTTGGACTGCAAATGCGTATAAGGAAATATGTCTCTCAGAGTGATCAATATGACCATGAGAGCATGTATGTTTCCATGCTAATTGTTGTGAGAATTAGGAATAGCGGTGATGGGAGCCACGGCAGAATACACAAAGTACATCAATAAAGTCGCGTGCGTTTTCCTAAATAGATTGAGGCCATCATTA